ATTTATATCTCCTGCCAAATTTGGAAGTTTTTAGCAGTCTTTTTTTTTTTGGGGGGGGGGGAGGAAGGCAGGAAGGAAGGGAATAAGGACGGTAGGGAGGAAGGAAGAGATGAAGGGAGGAAGCGGGGAGGGAGGGAGGGAGGGAAGGGAAGAAAGGAAATCAAGCAATGAAAGAGACATTGCCGACCTGGATCTAGAGGTTTACAAGTTGATTTCTTTTTTTTTGAGAGAAGGAAAGAAAAAAATAATAATAATAAGTAAAGGAGAGGAAGAAAGAGGAAGAGAAAGAGGGAGAGTAAATGGAAATATTGCTTTATTTTGAAAAAAATTGGGTATTAATAATGGCCAATCAATGTTTCATTTAAACTAATGGGTAGGTGTGATGTGGTATTGACAAGAATGTATATTTTGTGTATTTGAAGTGGAGAGCTCTATAAATATTTATTAAGTTTACTTGTTCTGGATCTGAGTTCGAGTCCTTGATATCCTTATTAATTTTCTGTCTCATTGAATCTAAGTCTCCTATCTGGGTGTTAGGATCGTTATCTCTTGTTGCATTGATCCTTTTACCACTATATCTTTGTTGCTTTAAAATCTATTTTATCCGATACAAGAATTGCAACTCCTGCTTTTTATTTATTTATTATTTATTTTTGCTCTCCATTTGGTTGGTAAATCTTTCTCCATCCCTTTGTTTTGAGTCTTTGTGTATCCTTGCATGTGAAACAGGTCTGGATGTAACATGCCGTTGGGTTTTGGCTGTGTCTTTTGATTGGGAATGCAGTCAATTTAAATTTAGGGTTACTGCCATTTGATGTTGACTGGCTGTTTTATCCATTTGTTGGTGTAAATTCTTCTTTATGTTGGTGCTCTTTACTTTTTGGTATATTTTTAGAAAGGCTAATACTGGTTGTTTCTTTCTGTGTGTAATGCTTCTTTCAGAAGCTCTTGTAAAGCAGGCCTGGTGGTAATAAAATCTCTGAGTTCTTGCTTGTTCATAAAAGATTTTATTTTTCCTTCAGTTGTAAAGCTTAGTTTGGCTGGATATGAAATTCTGGGCTGAAGGTTCTGTTCTTTGAGGATGTTGAATATTGGCCCCCACTCTCTTCTGGCCTGTAGAATTTCTGCCGAGAGATCTGCAGTAAGTCTGATAGGCTTGCCTTTGTGGGTAATCTGACCTTTCTCTCTGGCTGCCCTTAGTATCCTCTCCTTCGTTTCAACCCTGGTGAATCTAATGATTATGTGCCTTGGGGTTGCTCTTCTTGAGGAATATCTTTGTGGTGTTCTCTGTATTACCTGGGATTGAATGTTGACCTGCTTTGCTAGTTTAGGAAAATTTTCCTGAATAATATCCTGAAGGGTATTTTCCAGCTTGGATTCATTCTCTCCGTCGCATTCAGGTACACCTATCAAACGTAAATTTGGTCTTTTCACATAGTCCCACATTTCTTGGAGACTTTGCTCATTCCTTTTTATCCTTTTTTCTCTAATCTTTTCTTCACGTTTTATTTCATTAAGTTGGACTTTGACCTCTGATATCCCTTCTTCTGCTTGAACAATTCGAGTGTTTAAACCTGTGCATACTTCTCGGAGTTCCTGTATTGTATTCTTCAGTTCCATTAATTCACTCATACTCCTCTCTAAGTTGTCTATTCTCAATAGGATTTCATCAAACCTTTTTTCAAAGTTCCTAGTTTCTTTACGTTGGGCTACAACATGTTCTTTTAACTCACCGAAGTTTGTTATTACCCATTCCTTGAAGAGTGATTCTGTCATTGGGATACGCTCATTCTCCATCAAGCCTTGTTCCATTGTTGATGTGGAACTGTGATCATCTTTAGAGGGAGAGGCGTTCTGACTTTTAGTATTCTCAGCTTTTTTACGCTGGTTTCTTCCCGTCATTGTAAATTTATCCTCCTGTCGTCTTTGAAATTACCAACTTTCAGATTAGGTCTCTTGAGTGGACGTCCAGGTTGTTAGTTCCCAGGGCCAGAGCAGCGGCGTTAAAACTGACGGTGCTTTTCTGCCCAGGATTCTCCTGTCGGGCTTCCTTCTTGTTTCCGTAGTAGTTTACTCTGCGCCGAGCGCTGCCGCCTCGAGGTGCCGGCAGAACTGCTGCGCCCACCACGAGAGTCGTGCTGGCGACTTGTGTGTTTCCACCACTGGGGGATCTTCTGCTCCGTGAGCGACCAGACTTTGTCTGAAAGTGTGGCGTCCTCTAGTTCTCTGCGCCTTCCCTGAGAGCTGCAATCCCGGGATGTTAGTGATCGGCCATCTTGGATCGTTCTCATCTTTTTTTTTTAACTAGACAGTTTGCTCCTGTTGCCCAGGCTGGAGTGCAGTGGCATGATCTGCAACCTCTGCCTCTCTGTTCAAGTGATTCTCCTGCCTCAGCCTCCCAAGTAGTTGGGCCTACCAATGCCTGTCACCACACCTGGCTAATTTTTTTTTTTTTTTTTTTTTTTTTTTTTGAGATGGAGTCTCGCTCTGTCACCCAGGCTGTGATCTCGGCTCACTGCAACCTCCACTTCTCAGGTTCAGGTGATTTTCCTGCCTCAATCTCCTGAGGAACTGGACTACAGGCGCATACCACCATGCCTGGATAATTTTTTTTTTTTTTTTCTGAGACAGAGTCTCACTCTGTCGCCCAGGCTGGAGTGCAATGGCATAATCACGGCTTGCTGCAACCTCCGCCTCCCAGGTTCAAGTGATTCTCCTGCCTCAGCCTCCTGAGTAGCTGGGATTACAGGTCTGTGCCACCACACCCAGCTAATTTTTGTATTTTTAGTAGAGATGGGGTTTTACTGTGTTAGCCAGGATGGTTTCAATCTCCTGGCCTTGTGATCTGCCTGCCTCAGCCTCCCAAAGTGTTGGGGTTACAGGCATGAGCCACCATGCCTGGCCAATTTTTGTATTTTTAATAGAGACAGGATTTCACCCTGTTGGCCAGGCTAGTCTTGAACTCCTGACCTCAGATGATCTGCCCACCTTGGCATCCCAAAGTGCTGGGATTATAGGATGAGCCACTGCCGGGCTTCAGCAGTCATTTTTTGAGTACTTCTCAGCCCTACCTTCTTTCTCCTTTCTGAAGACATGAATACTAATCTTTTGTTACTGTCCCACAGGTTTCTGGGACTGTTCATTTATTTATTTTCACTGTGTTGTTCAGATGAGGTGTTTCTGTCTTCAAGTTCACTGATTCTTTCCTCTTTTCCCTCCATTATGCTGGTGAACCTGCTATCGTGTTTTCCATTTTGGTTATACTTCTCAGTTTAAAAACTTGCATTTGGTTGTCTTTTATTTCTTTAGGGAGACTCCCTATTCGTTTGTTTCAAGCGTATTCATAATTGCTTGCTAATGTATTGATGACAGCTTTAAAATCTTTATAGATAAATGAATGTCTCTGTCATCTTGATGTTGGCCTCTTGATTTTTTTTTCTTCTGGCAATTGGTTGTGATCTTCCTGATTTTTGGAGCAGTAAGTTATTTTCTATTGAATGCTGTTGAAACTGGGATATCTTGGATGTTATGAGACTTTTTTTTTTTTTTGATAGAGTGTTGCTCTGTTGCCCAAGCTGGAGTGTAGTGGCATGATCTCAGCTCACTGCAACCTCCGCCTCCTGGGTTCAAGCAATCCTCATGCCTCAGCCTCCTGAGTACCTGAGGTTATGGGTCTGTGCCACCACATCCAGCTAATTTTTATATTTTCAGTAGAGCAAGGTTGCACCATGTTGGCCAGACTGTTCTTAAACTCATGGCCTCGAGACATCTGCCCGCCTCAGCCTCCCAAAGTGCTGGGATTACAGGCGTGACCCACCATACCCAGTTGCTGTATCTTAATTAAATTTTTTGTTTTAGCTGGCTTCCTCTGACACTGCTCTGGTTGCTAGGTTGTTACTGCCAGGTGGGGGGTAGCTGTCCAGTTTCCCAACTCAGACTCTCATATTCCACTGGGGAGAGGCTAGAAGTTCTAGCTTCACAGGATGCCTCAACTGATTGCTTTCTCGCTGACAGTGGTGAGCACCTCATTACAGCTCCCCGTCCGGTCTCTAGTGACCCAGTGGAGAGTAGGCTGACTGAAGGAAAAGAGGGTATTGGGAGGCACTAGTTACTATTGAATGGTGGCAGAAAGTCCTGACTCTCCACCAGGCCTTTTCTGACACCACATTGGTGGGGGTCAGGGCACCTCATTGCTGCCAGGTGGAAACCCAGGTTCCCCATGTGGTCTCCATAGGAAGGGATGTCATCCTCTTCCCACTTCAGGGATGAAGTGCTGGCACCCTATTCTGTTGCCCTTCTCTGATACCATACTTGTGAGCCGGTTGAGGCACCTCATTCTATAGCCTTGTGAGGATGGAAATCTTGACCGTACCCTCTCCTTTTGGTCAGATTGGGGCCACAGTTTTGTCTGTGGTGTTTGTCTGGAGTAGAGGCAGTTAATGTTAACTTTTCTGTCTTGCTGGTCTGCCTCTTTTCTGGTCCTTTGGCTAGACAGAGCAGGTTTAAAAAAAATTTTTTTTTTAAATGATGAGGGTCTCACTGTGTCGACCAGGCTGAAGTGCAGTGGCTATTCACAGGCACTATCCGAGCACTCTATAGCCCTGAACTCCTAGGCTCTGGTGTTCCTCTTGCCTCAGCCTCTGTCGTAGCTGGGGCTGCAGGTGCATGCCAGCATGCCCAGCTAGAGAGCACGGCTTTTCTTGTTGGAGCTTTTATATTCTCTGCCTTTGGGTGTTTCTGGGTTGCTGGCTTCTCCAGGACCCAGTCTGGTATATATGAGGCAAAAAGAAAACCCAGAGACCTGATGGCCATGTCATTCTTCGGGTCTCCAGAGTCACCTTGTGTTTATTTTATATATAAATTCAGGGTTTTAGTTTACCTTAATAGCAGGAATAAGGAAAAGTACATCTACTTGATCTTCTCTGAAGTAGTCTCAAATCTAGTATTTAAATGAAAAGTTATTGCCAAATTCTAACATTGCTCTTCTCTGTTCTTAATAGAAGCCTGAAAATAATGTACATCCTGCAAAGTCCAAAAAATTACACAAGTTGGTCGGGAATTCCTTGTCCATAAATAATCCAGGGCTCTTCACCTCCTTAGGACCTCCTCTTCGGTCAACAACTTGCCATCGCTGTGGCCTGTTTGGTAAGCATATTGTTCTTAGGTGTCTGAATTCTTCTGCATATTGAAAAACATTTTTATTATGGCAGATGTTAAACATTAAGTGTATAGAACAGTATCCATATGCCACACGCCTGTCTCAGCATCTGTCAGCATCCTGCTGTGCCTCTTCACCCATCCCTTCCCATTCTTTCTGCTTCCTCAGTGAATGAGGATGATTATAGTTTTTTTAGGGGAAGCTCAAATGCACTGAAAGTCTGTAAGTCACAGACTTACATCCTTGTCATAATATAGGATGTTTCTGTCTCTGCAGGAAGTTTTCTCATGTCCTTTCCCAGTCCCTACTTCTGAGAAGCAACCACTGTTTTGTTTTTTTTTTAATTAATCATAAATCAATTTTGCCTGTCACAGAATTTCATATAAGTGGAATCATACAGCATGGACTCGTTTGTGTAAAGCTTATTTCAGGTACAGCCATACTTTAGAGGTTAATCCATGCTGCTGTATGTATCATTATTTTTTGTTTACTCCTGAGTAGTATCTCATTGCATTGCTATACCACAGTTGATCTGTTTTCTTATTGTTGAACATTTTGGCTAGGTACAGCTTTTGTCTGTAATGAATAGAGCTCTCTAAACATTTTTGTACAAGTGTTTGCATATGTTTTCATTTATCGTGGGTGCACAGGCAGATGTAGAATGGCTGAGTCAAAGGGTAGGTCTATGTTTAACTGTATAAGAAGCTATCAAACCATTGCCAAGGTGTTCTCCCATTTTCTGTTCCCACTGGTAGGGAGTTTTGGTTGTTCTACATCCTCATCCACATTTGGTGTTGTCTGTCTTTTTAATTATAGTCCTTCCCTGGGATAAGTTGGAACTGTCATATGCCTCTTGAGTTCTAATTTTTCAATTCATAAGTTTTACTTGCATGGCATTTACCAGTTTACAGTTAAACTTGCAGTGCTCTCATGATCGCTGATCTTGAGCAGTTTTTCCTGTGTTTATTACTGGTTATTTGGATATTTAACTTTTTTTTTTTTAAGTTTATTTTAGGGTGGGAGCATTTGAGGCCAGACTGGTTGGTGGTTGCTTCTTTGTGGGGTTGTTTTGTTTTTGGTTTTGGTTTCGAGAAACCTGTTTTTTTGTTTGTTTTTGAGATGGAGTCTCGCAATGTCACCCAGGCTATAGTGCCGTGGTGCGATCTCTGCACACTGCCATCTTCGCCTCCTGGGTTCAAGCGATTCTCCTGTTTCAGCCTCCCGAGTAGCTGGGACTACAGGCGTGCATCACCATGCCCAGCTAATTTTTTTGTATTTTTTAGTAGAGACGGGGTTTCACCATGTTGTCCAGGATGATCTCAGTCTCCTGACTTGGTGATCCACCCGCCTCAGCCTCCCAAAGTGTTGGGATCACAGGCATGAACCACCGTGCCCAGACGATAACCTGTTTCTTATCATGAACACTGATAGGATTTAAAAAAATACTTCATATCAAAATATGTGTTTTTTTGGTGATTCTCATTATTTTCTTGTTGTTTTTCATGATACACAGTAAGCCATTTCCGTCACTTGTACAAGTCTGTTTTCACTACAACAAAGTTTTGCTTCATTTTGGCTCACTCCACCTCTGCCTCCTGGGTTCAAGTGATTCTCCTGCCTCAGCCTCCCAAGTAGCTGGGACTGCAGATGTACACAACCATGCCCAGCTTATTTTTGTATTTTTGTAGAGACAGGCTTTCACCATATTGACCAGGTTGGTTTTGAACTCCTGACCTTAAGTGATCCACCCACCTTGACCTCCCAAAGTGCTGGGATTACAGATGTGAGCCATTGCACCATTTGCACCACTGCTTGCTGCTTTTTTTTTTCTTTTCTGAGATGGAGTCTTGCTCTCATCACCCAGACTGGAATGCAGTGGCATGATCTCAGCTCACTGCCACTTCTGCCTCCCAGGTTCAAGCGATTCTCATATCTCAGCTTCCTGAGTAGCTGGGATTACAGGTGCCTACTACCATGGCTGGCTAATTTTTGTATTTTTAGTAGAGATGAGGTTTCAGCATGTTGGCCAGGCTGATCTCAAACTCTTGACCTCAGGTGATCCGCCTGCCTTGGCCTTCCAAAGTGCTAGTATTACAGGTGTGAGCCAGTGCACCCAGTGGCTTGCTGCTTTTATAACATGTATTCTGAGGTCTGTTTTAGGAAACTCGGTTATGTATCCCAGTCTGATCTCCCTTTTTAAAATCTCTGTAGTACCTTTTTCTCTGTATTATGGGAGTTTAAAAATGTAATCTGAATACCTAATCCTAAATAGCATAATTCTCTTCAGATAGTCTTACTAATATGGTTCATATAATGATGTTTGATAACGTGTGGGCTTTGAGAATGTCTTGATCTTAATGTGAACTATTTGGAGTAACATTGATGATGTGATGGGTGGTGTTCTCTAGGATCTCTGAGGTGCTCTCAGTGCAAGCAGACCTACTATTGCTCCACAGCATGTCAGAGAAGAGACTGGTCGGCACACAGCATCGTGTGCAAGCCTGTTCAACCAAAGTAAGGGTCCATGATCTTTTTATTCATTAAGGATAATGTAAAAAGTCTTTTTCTGATAGAATAAGGATCCAATTAAGCAGACCACAACCAAGTACAAGTTATTTTTGTTAAGCTCTATAACAAAGTGTATAAATCTGAAGTGAACAGTTCTACGAACTTAATTTTCCTGAGTACTGTTTTATTAGATAGGACATGTTGTTATTTAAAAGCTTAAAAGAGTTTTTCTTAATGTTCAGAGCTTTAGAATGCCTTACTTTTAATCATGTGTACTTTCCTGGTTTTTAATAAGTTTGGAACTCTTACATGCTTTTCGAGTTATGTTTTTATTTTTAATAAATTGTACTTGCGTGGCATTTACCAGTTTACAAAACAGTTTCACATATGACCCCAAAATTCTGTGTAAGTAAGGGAGGGAGTTAATTTCCAGTTTACAGATAAGAAAACTAAGGCTTGGAGATACTCTCTCATTAGGTGGCTTTTGGAAGAAGCACACCTGTGCACACACAGGATATGGACCACTGTGTAGCCAGCATTGGGAGGCTTTACATTACCACTGTGATTCTGGAAGAAACTGTTTTGTTCTTTCAGGATTTTGTTCATTGAGAATGTGCCATAATTGCGGTTTAGAGTCCCTAACATTAATTGCCTGTGTAGTATAAGTACTTTAATCTGTTGCTTTCAGTTTCCATAAACTTGAAGATAATAAACCATCTTTTGAAACAAAGGATGTGGAAGTAAACAATAAGGTATGGCATATTTTGTCATTAAATTTTCAGTGACTCTTCTTTATTGAATTAGGATGTGAGATAAATATTTTGGGCATATTTCTATTTCAGTATTTTATCAATATTTAAAAGCAAGTGTCCTATTATATAAATATGTACACCATAGTGATATGATCAGGGATTTTTTTTTTTTTTTGGAGGTGGAGTTTCACTCTTGTTGCCCAGGCTGGAGTGCAATGGTGCAACCTCCGCCTTGGCTCAAGGGTTTTTGAGAATTATTTCCAGCCTTTTATTCAAAAAGGATGTGGCGGCATCTCAGTGTAAAATCATGTGGATTAAAGAGTCCCTTTAGCCTCTGCAGACATAGGTTTTAGCTTTGTGTGCTGTACTCAAACAGGGCCTACATATCTATCAAAGGAGTACTTTTTTTATAATAGTAGTTCTCCTCCATTTAGACAACTACATGGGCTGAATTATTTGTAATCTGAAAAACATCTGTCATGTCTAGCTCATATTTATAAATAATTTTTAGCTTTAGACGTTTCTAGCCTCTACTTAAAAAAATGTGACTTCGGCCCGGTGCGGTGGCTCACGCCTGTAATCCCAGCACTTCGGGAGGCCAAGGTGGGTGGATCACGAGGTCAAGAGATCAAGACCATCCTGGTCAACATGGTGAAACCCTGTCTCTACTAAAAATACAAAAAATTAGCTGGGCACAGTGGCGCGTGCCTGTAATCCCAGCTACTCAGGAGGCTGAGGCAGGAGAATTGCCTGGACCCAGGAGGCGGAGGTTTCGGTGAGCCGAGATCGCACCATTGCACTCCAGCCTGGGTAACGAGCGAAACTCCATCTCAAAAAAAAAAGGGTAGGGGGACTTCAAGTATTCGTTCTTACAGAAAACATTAACAAGTGCAGATTTAAAGTACTACCTACACTGCCACTGGTTTTTATTTATTTATTTTATTTTATTTTTTTTAAACTCAACCTTCTCTTTACCAGCACGACCTTATTCTTGGCTTATCCCCAGTGCTGTGCACGCTGCCTGTGGATGGTGGGTTTTAGTGACTCTCGGAGGCCTTCCCTGTTTCTGTGTTCTTTAATTCAAGCCTAAGAGTCAGGATATTGTGGCTGCAATTCTGGCATGTAGAGGTCATAGAATTGTTAAAACGTGCTTTTAAGTAACTCAGTTTTGTGTTCTTTTGTTTTTTTCTTTTGTTATTGTTTTGATTTTTTCCAAACCAGAGTGACTGTCCACTTGGAGTTACCAAGGAAATAACCATGTGGGCTAAGAAAGTAATGTTTTCTGATTTGAGAAGCCTACAGCTCAAGAAAACCATGGAAATAAAGGTATTTGTTATTCTTCAGTCTCCATAGACAGAGATCCAGAGAACTGTATGTATTTTCTTGTTTCCTATTTTTGAGTTCACACGATAGCTACAAAACATATCTGATTAATAAACATTACAAAAACTGCCTATGATGCTGTTTCTATTTTAGCAAGCTTTAAGAAATTTACATTTGCTTGTGTGCCTTATGAATTATTCCTCTTTTTATCTTTGAAAGGGCACAGTTACTGAATTCAAACACCCAGGGGACTTTTATGCGCAGTTATATTCTTCAGAAGTTTTAGAATACATGAACCAACTCTCTGCCAGCTTAAAGGAAACATATGCAAACATGCATGAAAAAGACTATATTCCTATTACGGGGGAAGTTTGTGTTGCCAAGTACACTGTTGATCAGGTAACCCCTAATGAAATATTTAATCAAATGTTTGAGCTGACTTTGGTAATATCACCTGAACACCGGAGCTTTTAATGATGCATGACAAGGCTTAAAGCCAGCTTCCAATTACCCTTTTGTTCCTCTTCTTCAGTATCCCATGCTCTGTTCAGCTTGCTTCCTCCCTGTCTTACCCCTTTCCAGCTCTGTGTACGGGTTCCTGAATTACTGGTTATAGCCTGATTGCTAGTCTTAGAGCTTGTGTTTTATTTGTGCAGCTGAGGCATTAGTATGTGATAGTGTGGCCTAGAAATAGCTTTGGAGTAGTTGTGCATATTATTAATAACATGTCCTAACTAGACAGTTTTAGGGATTTCTTAGCAAGATTCTTAGAAAATTGACTTCTTAAATGAGTGCTTCAGAACAGGAGCCTTTGCTTTGCATGTTCTGTAGATTGGTTGAGGGTTTTTAAATCTAAGGTTTTGAAATGCCGTTTTGACACAGAGTACCATTATATTCCACTTTCAGACCTGGAACAGAGTGACCATACAAGATGTTGATGTGCTACAAAAGAAGGCACATGTCTTATATATTGATTATGGAAATGAAGAAATAATTCCATTAAACAGAATTTACCAACTCAACAGCAGCATTGACTTGTTTCCTCCTTGTGTGAGTGTCTTTTACTTTCTAGATTTCTAGTAGTGTCCCAGAGGAGCTGTTTTCAGTGTTTTGATGGGCACAATGTTTGCTTGTTTTATTCTGCTGTGTTATTGTAACTATACTATATAAATAAACACTCATTGACTATCTATCTTGACGTTATTTAGTTAAATACTGCCCAAGGTAAGAAACTAACATTTTTAGGTACATCTTTTCAATTTGCTTTTCGAAACAATCATTTCTATATTTATTATCTTATTGGAAGTGGCCTTAATTTATGTAGAATTTAGGGATAATTATTCTTTCGTGAATTTCTCAAGCTTTGAGTACCAAAAGTAAGCGTTAGGAATAGAGCAGGAGCAGAGTAATAATTATACATAAAATTGTCTATCTGATAAGTACTTCGAAGATTTGTGAAAATTTTTCAGCATGAAATACATTCTTTTATACACCATTAATTAGAAAAAGTCATTTTTAAGTAGTAATTTTTGTAAGTAACCTGCATAAAATCTTTCAGGCCATAAAGTGCTTTCTAGCCAATGTAATCCCAGCAGAAGGGAATTGGAGCACTGACTGTATCAAAGCTACTAAACCACTGTTAATGGAGCAGTACTGCACCATAAAGATTGTCGACATCATGGAAGAAGTGGTGGTTACCTTTGCTGTAGAAGTTATGCTGCCAAATTCAGGTAAGAGCTGTCTTTTTGAGTTGAGTACTTAAAAGGGTGTGTCATTTCTACTTGTTACTCAGAAGAAATGGAAACATCTAGTGAGGCCGGGCAAACTGCTCTCTGGAGTCATTCAGATTGTGACTGAACCCATTCTGAAATTGACAGTTCGTCAAAGATATGGCACAAATTCACAGAATTAGGTGGCTTAATGGGCTAGATTTAGACTTCATGTGGGCATAATTATTATCCCCTTCAATAGAGCCATTATAATATCTATGAATTTTGACTCCTTTGTTGGGAGAAATTCTTGAAGTTTTCTGAGTTCATCTTTATCAGTGCATTTTCTTGGAGTAGTAAACTTCACAGAACTACATTTAACTAGTACATAGTAGCTAAGCTGTGGAAATGGAAATGCTTTAGAATTTTCTTCTCTTTTGGCCGCTCACCTGTTTGATAAATGACTTCTCACAGTGTGATGGGTGCCTTCCAGTTTCCAGGTATCGTCCCTCTGCTTTCAGAGATCTGGCGTCGTGTCTGATTTGGTAGAAAATCAGCTAATCTCTTGTGGAATTAAGTAAAAAAAATCTATTTTGTTTGCCGTTTCATGTTACGATCTCAGTTTTGGATATTATTTCAGGGAACTTAAGTTTGGATCCATGCTGACCTTTGTTTCAGCTGTACTTACGTATTAAATTTATTTCCCACAAACAGTGGTCATTGTAAGCATATGGATTTCGAAGTGAAATCTTTTCATTAAAATTTCTGTCTAATGGAGAATATAAGACTGGTTGTCAGAGGCCAGGAAGGATAGTCAGAGGCTGGGAGTAGGTGGAGATGGTTAATGGGTACAAAGCAAAAACAGTTAAAAAAACTGACTAAGACCTACTGTTCGGTAGCACAATAGGGTGACTGTAGTCAAGAATAATTGTACATTTTAAAGTCACTTAGACTGTAATCAGATGGCTTGTAACTCAAAGGATGCTTGAGGGGATGGTCACCCTTTCTCTGTGGTGTGCTTATTTCACATGGCATGCCTGTGTCAAAACATGTCATGTAACTCATAAATATGTATGCCTGTATACCCACAAAAATTTTAAAAATTATATTTCAGGCCGGGCGCAGTGGCTCACGCCTGTAATCCTAGCACTTTGGGAGGCCGAGGCGGGTGGATCACGAGGTCAACAGATGGAAACCATCCTGGTCAACATGGTGAAACCTCGTCTCTACTAAAAATACAAAAAATTAGCTGGGCATGGTGCTGGGATTACACGCATGTAATCCCAGCTAATTGGGATTACGTGTCTGTAATCCCAGCTACTTAGGAGGCTGAGGCAGGAGAATTGCCTGAACCCAGAAGGCGGAAGTTGCGGTGAGCCAAGATTGCGCCATTGCACTCCAGCCTGGGTAACAAGAACAAAACCCTGTCTCAAAAAACAAAAGAAAACAAAACAAAAATTATGTTTCAGAGAAATTCTGTCAAGTGACAAGTAAATTTGTCTCAGTTTCTTAAGTTAGGTGTTACTATAGCTTGCCCCTAGAATTGAATTAACATGTCAGCCTATTAATAGCTATAAATATGGGTTATATGATTGACTTGTTTCTTCTTTATACTTTTCAAATAATGCTTTGCATAGTTTCTCAACCGAGGTATATTTTCTTAATCACTTTTCAGGAAAACTTTTAGACCATGTGCTTATCGAAATGGGATATGGCTTGAAACCCAACGGACGAGATTCTAAGAAGGAAAGTGCAGATCAAAGTGAGTATAGATTGATATTAAGCGGTATAGCGACTTCAGTTATTGAAGAGCATCTACCTGCTAAACAAAGGCGCAGCTTTAGCACTGCTAAGACTTGTTAATGATAAACATTCTATGGATGATTTAAATATGCTATTTTGCATTTAGTAGTATATCATTTCTAATCTCAGTCTTTCCTGCATTCTCCTCCTCTGTCCATTTTCCACACAAATCCTTAACATGGTAATCAGAGATTATGAACTGTTACATATCATAATACTTTAGAGTAAGGGCTTTTTTTTCTTTGATTTTTTTTTTTTTTTTTTTTTTTTCCCTGAGACAGGGTCTCCCTCTGTCACCCAGGCTGGAATGCAGTGGCACCATCTCAGCTCACTGCAACCTCCACCTCCTGGTTCAAGCAATTCTCCTGCCTCAACCTCCAGAGGAGCTGGGATTGCAGGTGCCTGCCACCACGCCCAGCAAATTTTTTGTATTTTTAGTAGAGACAGGGTTTCACCATGTTGACCAGGCTGGTTTTGAACTGCTGACCTCAGGTGATTCACCTACCTCAGCCTCCAAAAGTGCTGGGACTACAGGCATGAGCCACCACAGCCAACCAAATTAGGGCTTATTAGCTCACATTTTTTTAGTTTGTTTTTCTTCCTTCTTGGGTATTCCACCCGTAATTAATAGGGCCATAAAATTCTGTTCTAGTAGGACAGTGTTTCTTATGGTTTTTAATTCTGTAAAAACTTCTGTGTATGGTTTATGTAGATTTTTTTTTGAGACGGAGTTTCGCGCTTGTCACCCAGGCTGGAGTGCAATGGCACGATCTCGGCTCACCACAACCTCCGCCTCCTGGGTTCAGGCAATTCTCCTGCCTCAGCCTCCTGAGTAGCTGGGATTACAGGCACGCGCCACCATGCCCAGCTGATTTTCTGTATTTTTAGTAGAGATGGGGTTTCACCATGTTGACCAGGATGGTCTTGATCTCTTGACCTCGTGATCCACCCATCTCGGCCTCCCAAAGTGCTGGGATTACAGGTGTGAGCCATCGCGCCCAGCCGGTTTATGTAGATTAACAAGAGAACCAAGAAATTTTGCTTTCGGCATTTTATTAATTGCCTAGTCACCTGTGTTTGTGTTGTCTTCTTGATCCTTTACTTTGCTTCTGTACCTATTGCTTTAGAAGTAGATATAATTCATTGTCTCTTGCTCATTCATCCAGAGGTGATTGCCAGATTGACAGTGCCATGATTGGACACATTCTGTCACATAAACACACTTGACTCATCCTTAAATCTGACTTCTTCCTACCTCCCATCTGTTTGCCTATCTAATTGGTTGCCAAGTCTTTATTGATTCTTCTTCCCAAGTATCCTTTGTATATGCCTTTTTTCTTTCTTTCTCTACTACCATTTTCTAAGCTCCTCAGTCATCATTCCTGGACAATTGAAACAATTTTCTGATGTCATAGTTTATCTCCCTGTCTGATTTGCCTGTGTGGTATGTCTGAGACACAACTTTTGGTGGGACAGCTCTGATGAAAAGCTTTCAGGTCTTTTTCATTTGGAGGAGGAAACCAAACAGTGCTTTAGTGGTAGTCATGGTTGAAACCCTAAGTTGCTAGTGCAACAGAATGAGGAAAAATAATGAGGAGGATGAAGCTGGGGCCTGCAACTTGTAGTGAGGAGCTGTGTTTGGAAAGGTGAGAACAGAATGGGAAAAACCTTGCCAGAGCGGCAGAGGGGTAAACGCTTCCAGGACTGGGAGTCATCAGTAATGTCAGATGCTATGAAGGTATCCAATGGAAGGTACATTGGATATCTTAGTGAGCAATATCTTCTTCACTAAGGCACTATGAAGGTGCCTTCATCCAGTACAGACATGCAGAAGAAATTATGTAGGATAGAGAAATCAGGTGTAATAGAGAAAGTGCAGCGTGCAATGGAAGCAGGTGGGAAGGTACCTAAGACTTGCAGTGAAGCCATCTGGAAGTGATGCCACATGGAGCAGGAAGTAACCAGGTGCTGGGGGTGAGGAGTTTGCGGCAAGAAAAGGAACATGTGTTAAGGCCTAGAGATGGGAAAAAGCATGATCAGGCCTGAGAAACTGAAAAATAAGTAGGGCTGGATTTGACAGATGGTGAAGAGATGTAGGATGGGGAGGTTTAGGTCAGGAGGTAAGCTAGAGCAGATCACTAAAGGTCCCAGGAGCTGTGTTAAGGGGGTTGGACATGATTCTGAAGCCAACATAGGGAATGGAGGCTTGAGACACCGCTGGATTCAGCTTGCTGGATTCAAGTCATGTTTGTGGGTATCAGATTTGGAAGTTAGAAAAGATGAGATATGGAATATTGCTGAGACTTCCCTTTAAACCGTCTTAAGAACTTAGCTGTGCCTCTGTCCTGCCTGTTTTTAACTTAGCCTGGCTGAAAGCCTTTATAACTTGGTCTCTACTGTCAGCACACCGAGCCAGTGGCATGACTAGGCTTTTGTCCCCTCCTCCTACAGTGTTGCTAAACCCAGCTGCACTCAGCCTGCATTATGATTGTGCACCCTCTTGTGAAATTTATCACATTGTAGCTCGTGATTGAAATCTTCTGTCTTCTACAATATTTAGAATATCTAGATGCAAAGACTGTGTTCTCTTACTTAACTACTTCTCCCCATTGCTTAGTATGACATCTGACCTACATTAGATGTTTAAGATAAATTTTTTTTTTTTGAGATGGCATCTTGCTCTGTCTCCAGGCTGGAGTGCAGTGGTGTGATCTCAGCTCACTGCAGCCTCCTCCTCCTGGGTTTAAGTGATTCTCCTGCCTCGGCCTCCCAAGTAGCTGGGTCAACAGGCCTGTGCCACCATGCCCAGCTAATTTTTTTGTATTTTTATTAGAGATGGTTTCACCATGTTGGCCGGGATGGTCTTGGTCCCCTAATCTCAGGATCTGCTTGCCTTGACCTCCCAAAGTTCTGGGATTACAGGTATGAGCCACCATGCTGGCCAAATAAAATTTTTAAAGTTGGCACAGTGGCTTGCTTCTCTAGTCTCGACTACTCAGGAGGCTAAAGTGGGAGGATGGGTTGGAGACCAGGAGTTTGAGGCCCCCAGTGTGCCATGATTGCACTTGTGAATAGCCACTGTGCTCCAGCCTGGGCAACACAGCAAGGCCCTGTCTCTTAAAAAAAAAAAAAAAAAAAAACAGTAACTCATGGAGGATGTTATGACGGACTCATGCAGCTGAAAGGAACCATCCAGATCTCCCATACCACCTTTGTACATGCAAAGAAACAGAAGCTGACTGGTCCAGTTGGTCACCTTAAGCCTGGAGATGTAGAACCAGAATCTAGGCCCTGTTGCTCCAGTTTACTGCTCTTTCCATCATTATGCATCCTGTGCTGTGAAACAACAGGACAGTGGTTCCTTTTCCTTACTGTTAAGTTTTTCTCTTCCTTTTTCCCTTATTTATGTTGTGATTTTATAGGAGGGAGAACATTTTAAAGAAATGATTTTCAATTTGAGCCTATCTCTTGCCTTTTACACTTGGGATCATTAAATTTACTTGGGCTACTGTTATGAGCCAGTTATCCATTTCAGTGGGATTTCTAACATAACTTCAAGAATCCATTGTACTACATTCTGAGAGGTCACTCCTAGATAGCAAATTCCCTCCACTTTTCATGGTCTATCCCAGTCACCCCTTGGTCTTCAATGGTAAGAACCATTTCCTTTAATAAGTCTATAATATAGATAATTATTTTCTCATATTTCTGTGATTAAAAGCAATGATGTCAACCTTAGTTTTATGTGAATGGTATCTTATCATTTAGTTCCTTTAAGCAGCAGTAGTTTTTCTTTGTCTTCCAGCATTCTGATAGGTTGTCATAATGTCTCTAAGTATCTTGATGCTAAAAATACATTCCTTGAGTAGTTGGAATTGTATAGACTGTATACTTTTTTCATTTCTGTGAGTTTCCTGAGTTATTTTTCATTGCGCTTTTGAAGCCTTTCCTTCTTAGACTCTTAGGTTGGCCCTACTTACTTTTCTCTTGACTTGTTACTTAGGTTGCTTCTATCTTTTTTGAACTGTTGGATACGTTTTAAATTTATAATTATTTTATCCTAATTGTTCCCTGTGGGATTTATCATTTCACTGTAGAGTAAGTAGGTCCTAATCTGATATGTTTGTACTTCAGTATAATGAGAGGATATCTATTCCAAATTACATTTTCTTGAACCCTTTTAGGGACTATAAAGAGTCTGTTATAGAACGTTTTAATTAGATCTGAACTTGTCTTTTCTAAGTCCACTGATTTTCTTTCTTGGGACACTCTAGCTTTTGGTGACATTGAAAACTGGCTTTATTATAAACATTTATTATTGGGAAGAAGAAACACCATGAGCTCTCAGACTGCCATCTTCCAGGAACCTTGCAGTCATAGTCATACTCTTTTTCAAATGATTAAAGCATGCATATATATATATATATATATATATATATATATATATATATATATATATGTGTGTGTATATGTATGTATGTATGTATGTATGTATTTTTTTTTAACTTTGGATGAAAACAAAATGGCTTACTTTTCTGTTTTCTTCTGATAAGGTGTTCCTGAAGATGCTGGAAAAATGATAGCTGACAACAAAATTGTTGTAGACAAAAGTGACCTAATCCCGAAAGTGTTAACTTTGAATAAAGGTGATGAGTTTTGTGGTGTGGTGGCCCACATTCAAACACCAGAAGACTTCTTTTGTCAACAACTGCAAAGTGGCCGTAAGTCAGTTCTCTTGATTTGCTGTCAAGCTAAAATACTTCAAGAGACTCGACATGTAGAAATAATGTATATATACATGTTTCTTTAAGATGTGATCTTTATCCGCAGGTAAGCTTGCTGAACTTCAGGCGTCCCTTAGTGAATACTGTTGTCACTTATCTCCGCGCTCTGATTTTTATCCAGCCATTGGTGATATATGTTGTGCTCAGTTCTCAGGTAAGGAAAGAGTATTACTGATTTTTTAAATTTATTATTATTTTTAACTTACAATTGAGTAAAAATTGTTGAAACATAGTCTTTGGTTTGCATTGATGGCTGGATTTGAAGCTTGAGTATTAGAGTCAACCAATCATGTTTTTAAATAGATCAAATTAAACCGGTTGGAAGGAGTGTCGTCTGATCTGGGTAAGGGCAAGAGGGCCTGTATGTGTCAAAGAGATGGAGGTGTAAAGGAGGTATTTTGGGTTATTTTGTCAGCCTTTTGGTTTTTGGAGACTGGTAAAGATAATTCTGTTTAAGCTAATAGGGGGATATACAAACTCCCAGGATCATATCTTCACTGGTTTTATTGAAACAGCAAGAGGGCCTGGAAGTGTGGAGCTGTCATGGTGCAGCCTTTGTATGGCACAAGTCCTGCCTTATGATAACCAGGTTATGTTATTCTCGGCCAAAGAGAGGTCCAGGGGCCTCATGGAAGGGGAGATGCAGTCAGTAGGTTGGTGTAGTCTAGTTGACTCATGCTTGCCAGGTGTTTTATAACTAGTCTTGCTAGTAAATGCTTCATGTACTGATTGAGACCTTGTGATTCACATGATCAGTATATGTTCTCTGTCCTAATGAGCTAACTCTACTGGAGAGATAAGGCATGTAAACTAATAATGACAGCATATGGCATAATTAATGTAGTACACTACTAATAAAGATTACATTTTAGGAGTTGAAGGCTTCTGATAAGCAAAATTAGTAAACATACTGTTGTATAAACTTGGTATCTATTAAAGAAAAATCTATAAATGACCATCTCTAATTCGAGGAGGAAAGGTTTTTGTTTATTTCTACAGTGGGAAAATCATTGGAGATTGAGTCTCTCCCTTTTTCTCAGAGGATGATCAGTGGTACCGTGCCTCCGTTTTGGCTTACGCTTCTGAAGACTCTGTACTGGTTGGATATGTAGATTATGGAAACTTTGAAATCCTGAGTTTGATGAGACTTTGCCCCATAATCCCAAAGTTGTTGGAATTGCCAATGCAAGCTATAAAATGTGTGCTAGCAGGTATGGAATTTTCATAGCCTCCATATTCTTTAAAATTCTAAAGATGAAGAGGGAAACATGAAAAGATACCTGAAATAGGGAAGAGCTGCTTCTCAAAACGACATGATCAGATGCTTAAAAGTTTCTATACATGTCATTTATCCCTCTAGGATCAGAGATTTCTTTCCACATCCATCAGTTGGCTTCATTAAAATGTACCATAATTTATAAGGAGTTTGCTATCTCAGAGGGTATTTCAAAGTATTTGCTCGAAGCAACATTCTTAGAATTACATTTGCAGCTTATCCCAGATCTTTTCCTTAGGCAATGTTACAAAATGTAGTTATATCCCAAAATACTTCCTTAGGCTACATTCCCACGGGTGGAAGGGGTCAGTAAGTCATCGTCTTTTCATGTTTGTGATACATACTGTGCATTGTCTTCCAGAAAGCATTAACCTAGTTTACATGCCCACCAGAAAAGTATGAGCGAGTCCATTCTTGTACACATTGATGCATCAGAAGGATGCTTCTATGTTATTTGATCCTGGCCAATTTTGATAGGGTAAAAATGAAGTCACTTTAATTTGCCTAATTACCAGTGAGGCGAAACATTATTTTATAAGTTACTTGGCCCTTGCATTTAATGAACTGACTGAAGCATAACTTGGGATTGCTGATTTTAAGTGCCCTGTCAGTATTGAGTTGTAAGTGCCACCGATGTTTCATATGTTGATCTAAGGGACCAGTATTTCTTCAGGGATTGTTTTATACTTTTTGTGTATGGCTTTCTTAATTTTATCGGGCTATAATTTACTTGCCATAATGTTCACTTTAGGTGTTAGCTATACAATGCAGTAATCCTCACTAAATTTACTAAGTTGTACAAACATCACCATAGTCTGATTTAGAACATTTCCATCACCCCAGGATGGTCTCTTGTGCCTATTTATGGTTAGTCTTTTCTCCCCAGGTAGTAACCCATCTACTTTCTGGCTCTGTAGATTTGTCCTTCTGGATGTTTTATGTCAGTGAAATTATGTGGGTTTTGTTTTACATATTATAGAAGCTTTTTACAAGCTTTTTCTTTTGTTGTTGGTAGAGATGTGAGTCTGGCCCTGTTGCCCTGGCTGGTCTCAAACCTCCTGCCTCGGCCTCCCAGAGTGCTGGAATGAGCTATTGCGCCCAACAGGAGTGAGCCACTGCACCCAACCGGCAGGCTTTTTCTTTGTTAATGATGCATTCATCTTTATGCCCTTAAGTGAGATGTTCTTTGTTTCAGTGTTTGTCATAGGTTTCTTGAGTTTAACTTGGGGAAATTAGGAGCTACATTTCTAAATGCTTTAAAATTTTAACATTTATTCAAAATTCTTTGTTAGGAGTAAAGCCATCATTAGGAATTTGGACTCCTGAAGCTATTTGTCTCATGAAAAAACTTGTGCAGAACAAAATAATCACAGTGAAAGTGGTGGACAAGTTGGAAAACAGTTCCCTGGTGGAGCTTATCGATAAATCCAAGATGCCTCATGTCAGCATTAGCAAAGTTCTCATAGATGCAGCCTTTGCTGTGGGAGAACAGGGGATGGTGGCAGATAAACCCAGTGACATGAAAGAAGCCAGTGGTAAGTAAAATGGTTACTGGATAATGCATGTTCTGGAGTTCAGATGGTTCTGTAAATACAAGTTTCTTGTACTTAAAAAAAGAATTACGTTGAATGCCTTTCATCTTAAATAAAGCATTCATCTGAATATTTTAAGAATGTTTGAAAAATAAAACTTTATGGAGAGTTGTACAGGTTGCCGGCAGCTGATCAGAAATATAAATTTGAAGTTTACTTAGATAATTATAAGACTGACCTTAAGGTTTAATATTCCTATAAAGTCACTTAAAAAGTCAGTGGAAATTCAGTTCTTCAAAAGCAGATTCCTCAGCAACTCCAGCCTTGCTGCATCCTCCCTCCGTTATGTCCATTTATTTTGCAAAATATTTAATTATTTTCACAGTTCCCCTGGGTGTGGAAAGAAAAGTAAATCCACTGGAGTGGACGTGGGTTGAACTTGCTGTTGACCAAACAGTAGATGTTGTAGTCTGTGTAATATATAGTCCTGGAGAATTTTATTGCCACGTGCTTAAAGAGGATGGTAAGTTGATTTTTGTCATTTGTTTCTTTTTACAAATACATTGGCATAGATAACTTCACGTGAGTTGGTTACTGAGTGATCAAAGTACCTTTCCAAGAAGAACCAAGTAGGTATTTGTATTTCCAAGAAAGATTTGGTTGTACTTGGTTAGCTTTTATTCTGTTTGTATTTTCAGCAACACCTGTTTATATTTAAACCAGTTTATATTTCATAGAATATCTCCTAAATACATTTACAGAAATTAAATTTGGCCTGGTATAGTGGCTTACACCTAAAATCCCAACACTTTGGGACGCTGAGGCAAGAGGATGAGGAGCCCAGGAGTTCAAGGGTGCAGTGAGCTTTGATCATGCCAGTGCACTCCAGCCTGGGCAGCAGAGCTAGGCCCTGTCTCTAGAAAACAACAACAAAAAAGAAATTAAGTTTAACTTATATTGAAGTATTAACATATAGAGACGTATGTAAATAGGAGTACAACATAATGAATTATCACAAACTCCACAAACTTGTATAACTGGCCTCTGAGTCAAGCAATATAAAACATTACCAGTATTCCAGAAGTTTCCCTCCTGTCCCCTCCCATCATTACCTCTTCTCTCTTTCAAAAATAAATATTTCTGGTTTCTAATAGCACAGATTAGTTCTTCCCGGTTTTGAACTTTATAGAAATGGGATTACACACTATGTGAGTCCCTGCCTTGCTGCTGCCCACTCCACTGTGACATTGTTGCATGTATCTGCACCTTGCTTTTCCTTGCTGCATGGTGTTCATAGTATGTTACATGTGTCTGTTATGTTGTTTTTCTTTGCTGCATAGTGTTGCATCCTATGAATTGTATTGCAGTTTGTTTCCTTCTACCATTGGACACTTGGCTTGTTTCACTTGGGCTGTAGATTAATGTTGCTGTGAACATTACAGCACATCTGGTGTACATGTGCAGGCATTTTCATGGAGTCCATACCTAGGAATGAAATTGTTGGGTCATAAAGGGTATGTAAATGTGCAGCTTCCCCATCTGCAAAGGCCAGTTTCTGAAGTGATTAAGGAACATGTGGTTGCTCCACCTCACAAGCACTGTGTTTAATTTTTCATTTGAGCCATTCTGGTGAGCATCATTGATCTTGACTTTGCAAATCTTGGTTTTTCTTCGTCAAACAAGTACATTTACCTAGATAGTAAGGCCCTGTCAGACCCCGTAGTTGGGAGATTTGTCATTCCTTCATTCAGAATAATCTGGTAGGTAGGCCACCATTGCACTAGGTTAAAATTTATACTTTTGAAGTTCCTTTTTATTTTTATAGGTGATTATTATACAAACATCTAAAAATTCTAAAGATGAAGAAGGAAACATGAAAACATGTTTCAAAAGTTACAAAATTCAAAAGTTACAAAAGTGTGTATAGTGGAAAGTAAGTTTCCTGGCTCCTCTTCTCACTAAGTGTTCTTTCAGAGTTACTCTATGCATATGCTTGTATGAATATATACCTTTTATGTATCTATAAATGGTATAAAGTGGTTTAAGTAATTTTTCATTTTTTCTTCCACTATCTTTTAGGTATCAATTCACATAGAGTTTTCTCCAGTCTCTTTTTAAATAACACTTTTTATTTTGGAATAATTTTAGGTTTACAGAAACTCGCAAAGATGGTACATAGAGTTCCCATATGCCCCTCACTCAGCTTCTCCTGTAGTTAGCACGTGATCATGGCATATTTGTTGCAACAAAGAGACCAACAATGGTATTATTACTAGTAACTGAATGCCAAACTTCATTGGGTTTTCACTAGCTTTTCCACTAATGTCCTTTTTCTGTTCCAGGACCTACTCTGTGACGCCACATTGGTGTTCAGTCTCCATTCCATTCTTTTTCATGGCTACATGGTATTCCACTGTGTGGGTTAATCCTAATTTAATTAACCTAATTGTGGATAAATACAGAATTAGTGATTTACAAGCTTTATTCCTAAAACAAATCCTCGTACTGTGGTTTTTACTTTAGGAGTACATCCCTGGGGCAAGTTGCTGAAGTATTAGGTCAAAGGAACGTGTGTGTTTGTGCTTTTGAGAGCTAGTGTTCTTAGAGGCCAGCCAAACAATCCTCCAGCAACTAGAGTATATCATTGCCTATCATGTGTCCTTAAACTTTATTTAGGCTAACCTGAAAGGTGAAACATCTGACACATTAGAATTTATTTTCCATTTCGGTAAGTGAGCCTTTGTCACACACTTTTGATACTACTGAGTGGTTCAGATCCCTTTCTTCTGCATGCAGAAGCTCTCCATGGTCTGCATTTTGCAGGGACACCTCTGATATCTTTCTCCAGAGGCCACCTGTCCACTTGTCTGCTTTGCTAGCCTGCTGCCCGCTTTTGGCTGCCTAGTTTCATAATTTTGTCCTTTTTCTCAGAGCCACGTCTTCCTTCTGGAAATACCCTCCCCTTCAAATGTGGAGTACTTTGAATTTATGAAACCTCCAAGATACAAAGCTCGTGAGCTCTGACTTCTTAGCATACATGATCTGTGCTGTCCATTTAGTGATTATAGTCACTTTCGGGACAGCTTTTATTTAGTTTCTCTGTGGGCTTGTATGTTTTGTCTGCCTGCAAAGTTCCTGCTTTAGTGTATTGATAATCATGCTGTAATTATGTCTTTGTGCCAAGTAAATCATTAGTGTTGGGTTTACTGAGACTATTAACTAAGTAACAACTTATTTGCCCAATAATTTTTTAATAAGGAAAAGCATTGGGGTGAAACTAGTAGTTTGGGGAGGTACCTGGGATTTTTTTTTTAATTTTTTAAAAAATTTATTTTACTTTAGGTGCATACTATATCTGGCATTTTCCCCCATGTTATCCCTCCCCACACTCCCCTCCCTGAGATTTTTATGATCAAGACATTTTCTGACTTTAAAGGAAAATTTATGTTCTGTGTCTTCTAATATGAAATGCTACGTGTATTTTATGTTCAGCTTTAAAGAAACTCAATGATTTGAACAAGTCACTAGCAGAACATTGCCAGCAGAAGTTACCTAATGGTTTCAAGGCAGAGGCAGGACAACCTTGTTGTGCTTTTTTTGCAGGTAAGTTCCAATTGGTGTAATCTTGACTTTCAGAACCTTATGTTTCTTAACATCCAACCCTTATTTTTAGTGTACGCTTTCTTAACGTTTAAGCAAATGTTTTCATGGCCAAGACTAAATGAATACTTATGATGTCATATGTTTTTCCTTCTCTCTTTGTAACAAGGAACCTCCAAGTGATGCTCTGTTGCCTGAACTTTATTAAACATTATTTTAATGCTTTTATATTTCCAGAATTTCTGATAATGTTAGATAAGTTAGCTCATGGAAGAGCTGTTCACGGCAGGTTCATTATTTCTTCTGGTTGTTCTATAAGTGTTTACAGTATTTTGAAAATGTATTTGATGAATCATCTTTATTACAAGAATGTTTCTACTTTTTGCTGCTACTACTAATTATTGTTGTTGTTATTGAGATGGAGTCTTGCTTTGTCACCCAGGCTGGAGTGCAGTGGCATGATCTTGGCTTACTGCCACCTCCACCTCCTGGGTTCAAGTGATTCTCCTGCCTCACCCTCCCAAGTAGCTGGGACTACAGGTGCATGCCACCACACCCAACTAATTTTTTGTATTTTTAGTAGAGACGGGGTTTCACTGTGTTAGCCAGGATGGTTTCAATCTCCTGAACTCGTGATTCATTCACCTCAGCCTCCCAAAGTGCTGGGATTACAGGTGTAAGCCACCACGCCCTGCCACTGCTTATATTATTTTTTACCACATAACAAGTAAAATAATCTGAGCTGTTAGTGGTAAGAGTATTATACATGTCCAAAACTGACAAGTATATTCAAGTCTTACCTTCATCTTTACACTCTGTTTATTGGATGGGTTATCAATGAAATCTTTTAATTTAAAATTTTTTAAATTATGGTACTACAAATTTTGGAAATCGTCTAAAAATAGATTTCTAGAGATTTTTGAATTTTGAAAAACGAAAGGCATGATTTGGGGAAGTAAGCAAATTGATCACCTACTTTTAGATAAAGGGTGGCTTTTTTCAAAATAAGTATTTCGGTAGAAAGGAAATGTTCCATGTCACAAACTCTCTGTTAAACCTAGGTGATGGTAATTGGTATCGTGCTTTAGTCAAGCAAATCTTACCAAATGGAAATGTTAAAGTACATTTTGTGGATTACGGAAACATCGAAGAAGTTACTACAGGTGAACTCCGAATGATACCATCATCATTTTTAAACCTTCCCTTTCAGGGGATACGGTGCTGGTTAGCAGGTATGGTATACAATAAGAAACTTTCTCAACTACTTTCTAATAATTAGGGCATATAATTTTCTGAGTATTAATATCTACAATTTTAACATTTTGTGTGGGTTAGAAAATCCTGCTTCATATTATAAAACTTAGAAATTTATTTACAATATTGGCCAGAATGTCCAGTGTTGTCAGAGTAGGGAAACGGCTGCTTTACTGACCGTGGGAGTAGAAACTGCACGATCCTCTGGACAGCATTGGCAGGATTCCTCAAGAACCTCAAGTGTTCATACCTTCTGACTTAGTAGTTTTTCTCCTAGTAGTTTATCCCAGAGAAATCTGGGAATTGCACAGAATAGGTTACAAAAATAATTAGTACACTGCTGTTAATAATGGCAAAATAACATAATAATAGCAGATTGGGTAAATGATTTATTGAATGGATAACGATAGTAATTATTTCGTAGGGTTTGTTAGGATTAAGCAAAGGTTTAGGGCAGGGTCTGGCACTCAGTAAATTCTGCATGTTTAACTGTTTACTGCACAGTCATTAAGAGGATGTTAAGTATGTGTTACTAATACGAAGAATTGCTCAGGATTTAAGTGAAGAAAGCAGGTTATAAAAGAGTGTTTTAATGAAGACAAGAGACTCCAGAGCCATCTCTGCTGCTTGCTTTCTATGAGACATTTAGGCAAATTATTTAAACTTTCGGTGCTTCTGTTTCATCATCTGGAAATTATTACTACCTTCCTCAGAGTTGTTAATAAAAGAAAAATACAAAGCACTAACAGTGCTTGGCATTATACCTGGAGTAGTGGTTATTATTAAAAACACTTGATAAGAGAATGTGTGTACATGTGCATGTGTGTATCTTTGACATCTGCCCATAAAAATTGTGGATGATGGTTGGACTCTAAAATGTTAACAGTGGTCAAGTCAGGCAGCACAGATGCATTTATTTCTTCTGCTAATCTGTTTTCTATTTATTTTGCAGTAAGTTTCAGATTATTGTTCTTTTTGCTTTTCTTTTTCTTTTTGAGATGGAGTTTTGCTCTTGTTGCCCAGGCTGGAGTGCAAATGGCATGGTCTTGGCTCACTGCAGCCTCTGCCTCTTGGGTTCAAGCAATTCTCCTACCTCAGCCTTCCAAGTAGCTGGGATTACAGGCATGTGCCACCACACCTGCCTAAATTTTTTTGTATAGTAGAGATGGGCTTTCTCAATGTTGGCTGGGCTGGTCTTAAACTCCTGACCTCAGGTGATCTGCCACCTTGGCCTCCCAGAGTGCTGGGATTACAGGCGTAAGCCACCGTGCCCAGCCCAGATTATTATTTTTAATTACTGTGTTTTATTCCAGTTCTGCTTAAAATATGGCCCCCAAACCAGCAACATCAACATTGCAACTTGTTAAAAACTCTAGATCCTTGGCTTCCACCCCAGACCTACCAAAATTAGAAACTCTGGGTAGGGCCCCACAGTCAGTGTTTTAACAAGGCCTCTAGGTGATTGAGATACATGTTCAAGTTTGAAAAATCACTGCAAAGAAAACAAGGGTATAAATCAAAATTATCCAAGAAAAATAATTTTTGCTTACATAATGAAAAACATTTTGAAATTATTAGAAAACTGTCCGTCCACAAAAATAGACGTCTTTTACCTGCATAATGGTTAACTCATGATTTTATACTAACAAATTCTAAAACAAACAGTACTCCTATTTTTTCCTATTGGAAAATGCCAGGTAAAGATAATGTTACCGGGGAAAGTAAGGAAAGGTCCTGAGCCTCCTGATATCCTAGAGTGTATTAGCAAATGCTTTATCTATGAGTCAGGCATGGAGGGTATTGAAGATACTCAGGATTGCTGACCTGAAAAGTTATCTTGGCGAAGATCTGGTCCTGGGTATTACTAAAGCAAAAATGAAGCTTGTACGTAGGATTCTTTTTACTGCTGTCTTTATTTTCCAGATATACAGTCTAAAAGCAAGCATTGGTCTGAAGAAACCATAGCAAGATTTCAGAAATGTGTTGCTGGGATAAAATTGCAAGCCAGAGTGGTTGAAGTCACTGAAAATGGCACAGGAATTGAACTCACTGATCTTTCCACTTCCTATCCTTTAATAATTAGTGATGTTCTGATTGATGAACATCTGGTTTTACGATCTGTTTTACCACGTAACAACTTACCAAATGACAGACTTGTTAATAAACATGAGCTTCAAGTTCATGCACAGGAACTTCAAGGTAACATTTTAAAACCATTTATGTGTTTAAATTTGTTATTTCTTGCTCTCAGAGAATGAAAATGTTTTCATCATAAATGACAGTTTTCCTGTCATTTATGGACATAGGATGCTTTATGGACATAGATTAATAGGTTAATAATGTATTTATTGAAACATTATTTTGTTATACCGGACCGAGCATAGAAAGTCAACATCAAGACAAAAGTATGCCAAATTGCAGGGTTTATTGCCGGTGACCACAGAGGACTCACGTCTCTCCAACCCATGGCAGAGAAAGAAGAGTGACAAGACCTTTTTATACCCGAAAAACCACCTTGGGAGTGGGGATGAGGAGAGGGGATGGGGGTGAGGGGCTTCAGACATTTCGAGGGCTTAGTGAATTCTGTAAATCACCTTCTGGGCGGAGATGAGGGTGAGGGGCTTCCGGACATTCCGAGGGCCAGAGGACTATTTGACATTCTGATTGTTACTTAGGTGGTTCACAAAAGCTAAGATTAGCATTCGTCTACACATTGTCTGGGTAGGGTGGGGATCACAGTCCTTAATTACTTATTCACATTTGGGTTATAGAGAACAGTTTCAACAGAAAGCTGAGGTATGCAGTTTGATGGGGCTTTTTACCATGTCACAATTTTATTGAACAAATACACTCATTTTAATTAATTATCAGATAAACATGTATTATACAGATAAATGTCCCTTAAAGATTGGCTAAATTGTAAGAATTATATTAAATATTTGAGAGAGATAGAAATACAATACAGAAATATACTACAGGAGTGTAATAGTTCAAGGATTCTCACTGTAGTCAACTTTTTTGCACTGCTCACAAAATCCCTCAAATTGAATACATTGTTCTGTGAAAATACAGATTTTTATTTTGGGAATTTGCAAACATTGATAATCAGTTGATGAACAAATGATTGAATTATTATGTTACTGAGAAAAACAACAGTAAATTTTTTTTATTCCATGTGTTTTGCATGTTTTCAGCTACCTCTTCAGCTGATCAATGGAAGACAATAGAATTGTCGGTTAGTGAAACTGTACAAGCATATGTATTAGAAATCATAAGCCCAAACTTGTTTTATGCTCTACCAAACAGAATGCCAGGTAAGAAACCAAAATTCGAGACATACTTACGCTCATCTTTTAAACTGTAAAATGAAAGTGCTGGTCTTGAATTCCTTAGGAAGTGAAGGGGAAAAGAGGCTCACTGTTTTAAGGAAGAGCTGATCATAACACTTAAGGCAAATGTAGTTATAAAACATGAGTGGGGACTGGGTGCAGTGGCTCATGTCTGCACTTTGGGAGGCCGAAGTGGGTGGATCACAAGGTCAGGAGTTGGAGAACATCCTGGCCAATATGGTGAAACCCTGTCTCTACTAAAAAATACAAAAATTAGCCGGGTGTAGTCCCAGCTACTCCGGAGGCGGGAGAAATGCTCAAACCCGGGAGGCGGAGGTTGCAGCCAGCAGAGATCATGCAACTGCACTCCAGCCTGGGAGAGACTCTGTCTCAAAAACAAAACAAAACAATGGGAACATGAAGGGAAGCCCTACTACAGTCAGCACCTACCCATCCAGTAGCCTGGTCTTGGTAGTCTACACCTTTTTAATAACAAAAGTGTCCTTAATTACTGTATAATTTTTTTTTTTTTTGAGAAGGAGTTTCGCTCTTGTTACCCAGGCTGGAGTGCAATGGCGCGATCTCGGCTCACTGAAACCTCCGCCTCCTGGGTTCAGGCAATTCTCCTGCCTCAGCCTCCTTAGTAGCTGGGATTACAGGCACGTGCCACCATGCCCGGCTAATTTTTTGTATTTTTTTTTTTTAGTAGAGACGGGGTTTCACCATGTTGACCAAGATGGTCTCTATCTCTTGACCTCGTGATCCACCTGCCTCGGCCTCCCAAAGTGCTGAGATTACAGGCTTGAGCCACCTCGCCCGGCCCATTACTGTATAATTTCTTATTTAAAAACACATTGTTTGTATTGAATCTTATTTACTGTTTTAGATATATTGAAAGACCTTGTAATCCATCCGTAATCATAGCTTTACTACATCTTAGAGGCTTTAGAGAAACGTTTCACACCGGAACAAACAATGTAGAAAAGTAGCACGTGGAAGTTTATTTTTAATTTTTCTTTTTTCCTTTCATGGAAGTTTACAATTAAGGAATATCTTAAATGTATATGACTTTATTCTTGTAGTATCTGAATAAAAGTTAGTGCAAGTTGAATGCAGTGTTTTTAGAATAATTTGCAGACACTTAAGGCTGAAAAAAATGAACCTTTGTTTCAAATTGTCAAAGTTAGAACTGTGGTAATGCCAATAACTGCTCTTAAATTTATCTCATACTACAAAATTAACTTTGTTCTGTGTATTAAAAAGCAGGAGCTTAGGGTTTTTTGATCCTGACAACATGTAGTATCATGAATTTGAAATACTATTAAGAAAAATTTTATTAAGTATAACACTCACTGACAAGTACACTAAACAATTGTAAAAATACAGCTTAACAAGTTTTCACAGAGTGAGCAAACTGGTCACTGATCCACCCTGATCAAGAAATTGATCCACCGGAGGCTTACTCCCTATTCCCACCTAATATTGATTGCATCTCTTCTGCAAATGCAACTAGTCGTGGGTATATTTATTTTTAAATACAATGTATATTGTATATACATGTATATATTTTAAATATGCATATTTTAATACACAAAGGATTTTTTGATTAGACTTGGCATTCTTTCATATACTGTTCTTTCCAAGAACATTGGAAATTTTCTTCACAAAAGATCGTTTTTATATATTTTAGAAAATCAGGAAAAACTCTGCCTATTGACAGCTGAATTATTAGAGTACTGCAATGCTTCGAAAAGTCAACCATCCTATAGACCAAGAATTGGAGACGCGTGCTGTGCCAAATACACAAGTAAGGTTCTTTTAGGGAAAATATTTGAGGAAAGGTACTGGGTCTGTTTTCTTTTACATTATACTATGTAGATTTTGATGTTTTCGCTGCATATTTCATTTGGTTTAGGTAGAGAAGGAAGGCAGCGTTGTGGATTTAATTCATATTATTTGGCTTTTCAATTCTATATAGATTATTTTTAGGCAAGAATATAGGTAGATTTGTACAAATCTGTCAGTACTTACAGATAACCAGCTTGAGATAACCATACTCTATTCTAGTGGATCAGTCACATTGCATTTATTTATGGAGGGGTTGCAAAGAATTTATATGGCTCTATATATGAATGTACTAAAAGAAGAATGCCTCAGGGAGCCAGGCTCATTGATGAGGGTATACTTTGATCATTATCCATTTTAATACTTCATTTTAACAAATTTCTTAAGCTAACATAAATAACACTTGAAGTAAATATTGTGATTTACCTCTGGGATCAAGGTTAATGGGAGTGGAGCCAGGTTGTAGGGCTGCTTCATGGTCCGCAGTCAGGTCCACTTGGCAGGCCTGTGACTGGGGGCATGGATAAGCATGGCTCCTGCCAGTCCCTGGGCAGTGGTGGCTAGTGGCAGGATGGCAGCCAAGTGGGGCTAGAGCTGAGTTCACCTGGGGACAGGGCTGCTTCCAGTCAGCAGCTGAGAACAAGGTCTTAAAACTCTGCCACTGGGCCATAGGCCTGCCTTCTGAAAAAGCCCTCCTCCACCTTGGGCTCCAGTGGAGTTTCAGACCCCCCCGGTCTGGATCACAAACCTCTTAAAAAGGCATTTTTGTGGCTAGGTGGACACCAAAGTACTTTTGTTGGGGGACACAAGTTGGGGGACCTTCAAACTTCATGGTCTTGCAGATGTCACTAGTTTTCTCTTTTGTATGGCAACTGGATCTACATTTTCTCTCCCTTTCTTCCCACAATAAATTTAACTTCATTAGGACTGTTTAACTTCATTAGGACTGCATAAACACTATAGCTGAGCGGCGTAGTATATTACAGTTACATTCTCTTTCCTCTTTGTTGTTAGTGTTCTATATACTTTGACTATTCATTACCAGTTCTCTATATTAGTGCAAACTCCCCAGAACACTACATGTACTTTATCAACTTTTACCATATTGAAGGCATCTTCAGCCTTCCATCCTGCTTCGGTACAGGCTGCTTGTCTCCCAGACCTGGGCTGTTAGCCTGGGTTTTCCCTCCCCATGCTGAGGATTGTTTCAGCACTGCCCCCTTGTTTCCGGGACTGCCCCAGCCTGTGTTAGCTAAATTGCTTGCTCCCTCACCCCCTTGTTTTTTGGATCCCTGATTTCCCATTTGATTGACTCCCATGTTCTGGCGGATCCTGTCCTCTAGAAGTTGAGAAAAGGTGCATGTAAGATAAATTTTCTGTTAGCTCCTATGTTTGAAAAAGTCTTTATCCTAATAGTTAATTAATAGGTTGCCTGGATACAGAATTCGATTGGAAATCATCTTCCCTTTACAGTTTTGAAAGCACTACTTCCATTGTGTTCTAGCTGTTCCTGTTTCTGGTCAAAAGATTGATGTTATTCTGGATTCCACGAACTTCGTACATTTTTTCTCCCTTTCTGGAAGTGTTAGTATTCTCTTAACCTGTTTTGAAATTTATGACGTGACCTTAGTATGGTGTTTTTCTTTTTACTATTGTGCTGGGCACTCAGTGGGTAGACCCCTTAAGTCTGGAAATTCATGAGTTTCAGTTTGAGAAACTTTCCTGAAATTGATGCTTTTATTTCCTTTTGTTTTCTTTTCTTTTCTGAGCTCTAAGTCTTCTAGTGTTTGAACTCTTCTGTTAAATATCCTCTTCTCTGTCATCTCTTTTAATACTACCCTGTTCTTTGAAGGGTGGAATGTCAGTTCTCCAAGGATATTATTGTCAGTCTTGTAATGTTCATTGCCGTCTTCCTCCTTTGCCTTGGCTTCCCTAAGGTCCTGTTTTGTTTTGGTCTCCTCTTGATGTTAGAGGCTTTCTTCAAATCTCCGATGATCCTGTGCTGTTCCTGTATTTAAGATGGGGCACTGAGAAGTTGTTGGGAAGTCACTTTGAGAGTGGGCAGGAGCTTGTCCTGGTGGCCTTCACTGTGGGTGATCTGGTTGTGCCATTTCACTGTGGACTCCCAGTGTCACCATATTGATGGGCTATCGTGGGGGCTGGTCACCTCCTGCCTGAAGTGTACAGCTTGCCTGCCAGTGTTAAACTGTCCTTGGTCTGCTCTGCCTTATGTTCTCTAGTCCACGGCCTCTGGACTAGAGATTGGAGGAAACCTCCAATCTTCTTTACTCAAGTAGAAGCATTATTAAAACATGGGAACATAAAGCTCACCATTCTCTTCAGTAACTTTAAAAATAGGTGTTACATGTAAATGAGTTTATGAGCTAAAGCCTGTTCAGATGTCTTTGCAAGTAACTCTGCTTCCTTAGCCAGTCTTCATTTCCAACTCCATCTTAACTCCTACTTTTGAATGGTAACACCAATCCTTGAGGCTTTAGGGGTTGGGGATCTGCGATGCGAGCTGGGATGCATTTTGGCTTCCCCACTGCCAACTGTGGTTGAGCTACCATGGCTCTACTAGATCATTTTCATTCAGGCATCTGCTTTCCAGCTTCCAATATTCGGTTGTCTTTTCTCTTGTTCTCTATTCTTGTGGTTTTATGCATTAAAAAAAAAAATCCTATTGGGTTGGGCGCGGTGTCTTACGCCTGTAATCCCAGCACTTTGGGAGGCTGAGGCCGTAGGATAGCTTGAGTTCAGAAGTTCAAGACCAGCCTGGGCAGCATGGCAAGACCCTATCTCTACCAAAAATAAACAATTTGCTGGAAATGTGGTATACACCTGTAGTCCCAGCTACTCGAGAAGACTGCTTAAGCCTGGGAGGTGGAGGTTACAGTGAGCCAAGATTGTGTCACTGCACTCCAGCCTGGGCTACAGAGCCAGACCCTGTCTCAAAAAAAAAAAAAAAAAAATTACATTTTTAGTGGGAATGTAGAGGTAAATGCTTTATTTAATTTTAATTGTAACCAGAAATTTTGGTGTGGGTGTTTAAGTGATGTAAATATAATAACTATGAATAACTCTCTTAAGATAGGAAGAGTCACTGTAAGTTCTTACTGAGATTCCATTATATTTTCAGATGATGATTTTTGGTATCGTGCAGTTGTTCTGGGGACATCAGACACTGATGTGAAGGTGCTCTATGCAGACTATGGAAACATTGAAACGCTGCCTCTTTGCAGAGTACAACCAATCACCTCTGGCCACCTGGAGCTTCCTTTCCAAATTATCAGATGTTCACTTGAAGGTAGACGGCTAAGTCACTTTCCAGTTTAGGTGTATGATTTTTTTCCTCTTTATGTTTCATAGCTCTAAGTCAGTCAAATGATATTTCCAGCAACTGCCTATTTTTAAATATTAAGAGAGTTTTCAATTAAGTTTTATAGCCTTTATTTTAGAGGGTCAGGATTCAGACATTCAGTTTTGCCCCTTGTTTAGGCCAGGATGTGAACCAGGGTATCTAGTGTCTGTGAAGCAGGGTGTCTGACCTCTCATTTGGGGGTCTTCCTGCTTTGTCACATCTCTTTAGGGACTAGAGGCATTCAGATAACACCATTTTTGGCTACCTTATATATAATAAATCTGCATATATTCAACTCCTCAGTTGGAATTTGAAAAAAGTGAACAAAAATACTTAAAGTAGCTTTTTACTCTTACTGCTGATATCTTTATGCAGAGGACTTGCAGATACTTCCATACCGATTGCCTTATGGTCCTCTCTGGTTTTGACTCAGAGTTGGAAAAGTATCTCTGTTTTTCTGTTTCTCCTGTTGCAATATATGAAGGACACGTGTCTGTTTCATGCCCTCTAGTGCAAGATTAATGCCTGACGCCTTGTTCTGTGATCAGTAAATATGTATTGAATAAATTTGCCTTTTGTAATGCAACAGCAGTAGTGTATCAAAGCATACTTAAATCCAGCTGAATCCAATAAGCCTTTTGCTTGTTATTCTTACGTAATTGATCTAAATACTATCTTTTTAAAAGGAACTAAAAGACCGTAATATCCATCTTTTCTAGGATTAATGGAATTGAATGGAAGCTCTTCTCAATTAATAATAATGCTATTTAAAAATTTCATGTTGAATCAGAACGTCATACTTTCTGTGAAAGGAATTACAAAGAATGTCCATGAGGTGTCAGTGGAGAAATGTTCCGAGAACGGGACAGTCGATGTAGCTGATAAGCTGGTGACATTTGGACTGGCAAAAAACAGCATACCTCAAAGGCAGAGTGCTTTAAATAAAGGTATTCTTTTCACGTGTTACTGTAACAGATGATCAATTTAGTTGACTTGACCTTTCCTCACTCCCTGTGCCGTACTCCCTTCGCCTCCACAAATCCGGTGGCCGGGCTCTCACTCCTGTGGCTACCTGGACGGGCCGCCTAGATAGAGGCAGTCCCCGAGTCCTGATAGTCCGCAGCGCTCGGCAGCACTGTTGTGGGGATTGACGCCAAGAGCTTTGGAAATGCCAGGTTTTCTGCACATTTTCTATTTCCAATTTGCTTTTTGATCCTGATGAAAATGAGGAGTCCTATTTTTGAGATTACATCTTCCTGGTACTTGATAAGATGTATATTTGACAGACCTGGCCTCAATCAAAAAGAGAGATTCCATATATGATAGACGAAGAACCTAAACCTTGGAGACATGGTTGTTAACGTGGTCAAATCCAGACCACGGTAGTAGATAATCTCAAAGCCCAAATGGATCCATCCAGGCCTTTGTAGTTGGGACCCAGGCACAAGGGTCAGAGCTATCTGTTTATGTTTAGACTCCCAAGTTCTTTACATTATATGTAATCTAGTGGCTTTTTTTTTTTGTATTTGCTTTCAGAAGAGATGTGTAGGATGAATTGCTGCTGCACAGAGTTACAGAAGCAAGTAGGTACAATTTTCCTTTAAGTGAAATTATGCTCCTAATGTTTTTAGAAATTAAATCATATGCTTTCCTTTTCACCCACAGGTTGAAAAACATGAACACATTCTTCTCTTCCTCTTAAACAATTCAACAAACCAAAATAAATTTATTGAAATGAAAAAACTGTTAAGTTAAATAAGATAAATTTGATGTTTTTGCCTCTTGCGGTCAGCAGTGTGACATCTTCAGGTATATTGTCTGGATAGAGCTGACGACGTGAAACCTATTTTAAGGCTGGACTTTTGTGGTTTAATGACTGAGGTTTGGTTATCATGCTTCTGTTGTCTTTGTAGCTTTGGTCTGATCATTTTCCTTTGCCACTGCTAAGGGAACTGAGCCCCTAGGGCGTTCCACTTGTAATAGCCTTTCTTTATTGTTGTTTGATTTTGAGAATGCCAATGTTATTGATACGTGGATGGGCTTGTAAAAGTTGTTGTGATATAAAGCTTAGCCTCAGATTTTTTGTCTAGATTTGAAATTAGCTCAACTCTCACGCACATTGCTGTAAATATCTTTAGTGCTTTTTGTGAAGATTATCCAAAGGGCCAAGAATGGAAAGTGGGCTGCACTGAGGGTATGTTCATTTCAAAACAAAACATACTTCCTGCTTCTGCTGTGGTGATTCTAGTGTCTATAAAGAACATACTGGTGAGTTTCAAACCAGCAGTTCCTCCTCCCACCCCGCCTTTTTTTTTTTTTTAAACTGTCTGGGATCCTTTGTTGTAAGATGGCTCTCAGAAATAAATTTTTGATTAAGAGCCAGTTAGAACTTGTAATCACAGCTGGGCACAGTGGCTCAGGCCTGTAATCCCAGCCCTTTGGGAGGCCAAGGTGGGCAGATCACCTGAGCCCAGGAGTTCAAAACCAGCTTGAGCAACATGGCAAAACGCTGTCTCTACTAAAAATACAAAAATTAGCTGGGCATGGTGGTATATGCCTGTTATCCCAGCTACTTGGGAGGCTGAGATGGGAGAATCGCTTGAATCCAGGAGGTGGAGGTTGCAGTGAGCCAAGATTGCACTTCTGTACTCCAGCCTGAGTGAGACTCCATCTCAAAAAACAAAAAACAAACTTCTGATTTCAAAATGAAGTTGTCCTTCTCACAGTTGGTATAGTTCCAGCCAAAAGCAAAGAAACTTTGATTTACTTAATATGTGCACTTTTGTTGGCTAACAAGCAGTTTATATTAGACTGTTTGGAAATAGCCCAAGAGGTAGCCATTTTACTCTTTGTGAATCTTTTATGGGTGTAGTAACTCTTAAGTAAAAACCAACTATGTAAAACATACTTCCCATGTGGTAATAGACTGTTCTCTTGTTTTTTTAAGAAAGATTAAACTGAATTCTAAGCTAAACATAATTAATGTAAGATCAACTGTCTTCTCACGTTTCCTTTTACAAATTTTGGGTTATTACAGTTTTCAGTCTTTTCTAATACATTGTCTTAATACTACTGTTTTGCATGTTTTAGCTTAAAATGTTTTTTTTTTTTTGGAGTCTTCCTGTCATCCAGGCTGGAGTGCAGTGGCACAGTCTCGGCTCACTGCAACCTCTGCCTCCCAGGTTCACACAGTCCTTGTGCTTCGGCCTCCCAAGTAGCTGAGACTATAGGCACGCACTGCCACGCCCGGCTAATCTTAAACTTAATAGAGGTGATTTTACTTTAATAGATTAAGGAACATACAATGACATGGATTTCTGGAATTTAGTCCTAGTACCAAGTCATTATATTTTTGACCAAGTTGGTTGGCCTGTTTGTGCTTCTTATCTGTGTAATAGGGTTTATTGAGAGTGCTTACACATCTATACCTTAAGGTGAAATTTCGTTGTTTCTTGATTGAGACAGGGCTTGGAAAGGACAAAGGAAAACTTGATTTATAGCATAGTAGTTGAACTGGATTTTTCCCTACTGTGGGAATACATATTTTGTTTACATTTGAATACAGTGTAATACCTAGTGTTTGGGTAGTGTATATTTACAAAGCACTTTTACATCTACTCACATACTTAATCTTCACAATATCCTTGAAAATAAAGTAGGACCCATTTTACAGTTATGGAAGTTGAGGCCCAGAGAAGGTTACATGACTGTCCAAAATCACACACAAACTGAATTAGGTCTTACAACTCAAAACTGAGTTCTCTCAACTTCCATTAGCTGCTGTATGTCCAGTACCCTTTTAGATCAATTCCACAGGGCATGAAACTAGAGGATTACATTATTAGGACAACATGATGTACATGGTTGCTTAAGCATGACTTCGTTGTGGTGAAAATACAGCTGAGTACTCCTTTGAATTGTTCTTTGAGATAGAGTGGGTGTAAAAATGTATTTTGGCTGGGCACAGTGGCTCATGCTTTGTAGTCTCAGCACTTGGGGAGGCTGAGGTGGGCAGAACACAGGAGGCCCAGGAGTGTGAGACCATCCTGGCCAACATGGTGAAACTTCATCTCTGTCAAAAAAAAATACAGAATTAGCCAGGTGAGGTGGTGTAAACCTGTAGTCCCAGCTACTGGGGAGGTTGAGGCAGAAGAACTGCTTGAACATGGGAGCCGAAGGTTTCAGTGAGCTGGCATGGCACCACTGCACTCTAGCTTGGGCAACAGAGTGAGAGCATGTCTCAAAAACAAAACAAAACACACCAAAAAACTGTATCTCACCATCTCTGGAGAAATTTAGTTGTCACAAATTTAATATTAAAATTGCTAAAATAGAAGTGCTGTGATAAGAACATAAAACCCTCTGTAATCTGTTGCTCAAGTGATAAATGTTCCAACACACAAGTTAATGTCAGATATCCTTTATATGTGAAGGAGAGTGCAAACAGCTCCATTTTACATTTGTGAAGGGGAGTATAAAAAGCTCTACTTAGTATATATCATGCTATGTTGTGGTGGCTAATTTTCTTAACTGACATTTCTGACTTAAATGTGTAATTTCAATTAAAAGTGAATATTTGCTTTGCTTATATTTGAAGTTAAGAGCCACAGCGATACTGAGTTTCGTGTAAGGCGCAACGGCAGCTGATTGTTTTCTTTCTCAGAACCAGCCTCTCCGAGGTAAACACTTAAAGGAATCTGCAAAGGCTAGACTTAGCAGAGAAAGTACAGTACCTGGTGTTTTCGTTTGTGGGAACCTTTTCTTTTTCCAGTTTCTCTGTAACGACCTTCTATGTTTTTGCCTGCCTGCCATTCCCTTACTAGGCTGGTAGTTTTTATTTTTCTCTAAGTTCTTCCCATCAAATAAATAAGTATTGTGTAAAAAATTCATACCAAATCTATAAGAATACTGGCAAGGAATACATAGGGGCTTTCTACTATATGTGTAACTTTTTATTGCTAAAAGGTACTGAAGAAAGGCCAGGTGTGGTAGCTCACACCTGTAATCCCAGCACTTAGGGAGGCTAAGGAGGGAGGATCCCTTGAGGCCAGGAGTTCAAAGTTACAGTGAGCTATGATAGTGCCACTGCACTCCAGCCTGGGAGTGCAGCCTGCTGAGAGATCTTGTCTCTAAAACAAAAAACAAAAACTAGTTGGTGGATGTGACTTTTATTTTCTATATATTTGAAATAATTTGTAATATTCACTGCATTCTCTCTCTCCTGCTTCTTCCACATAAAAAATGTCCTTTGCTTTCTTGTTTCTTTGTTATCTTGTCTTTTCCTGTCCACTTGGAGGTCATCAGTTTCTCTCTGTCCTTAATTGGATTACTTTTCTTTTGGCCTTTGGGCACAGAGTCTGTTTGGCCTCTGGACCCCTCTACCTGGAGAAGGAACTTTATCTTCCCTCTCCTGATGTCCACACCCTTAGAAACCTATAGCCAGTTAGATTTTTGTTGTAGGTAGAATTTGCTGTTTCTGAAACCCAAATACAGTTATCAGTTTAAGGTAAAAAGACAAGAGTATATATTTTTCCTGAAGAATGTAAAATAATCTCAAGTAAACCACACATATGCAGGATTATGGGCCAGCTGACTTTGCTGCCAACTCCAAAATTTGAATTTTTTCATGATTTAACTGTCAGACTATGAAACCTAAGATGGTTCTCACTAACTCATAGCAGATACTTAAAAAATACTTTATTTTTTGGGTTTACTGGCAATGTATGTTGGCTAATCTGTTAGATTAAATGGAATTTTTTCTGATGTAAAAGTTGTCAAACACAGATGTGCTTCTGTTAGATATAAGTTCATGCTGCTTTGCTCAATAAAATTATATCACTTCCCAGCCAGCTTTCGCTTTCATTCTTACTGCAGGCTTTTTTTTTTTTTTTTGGTTGCATTTTAGGTATTGGGGTACATGGGAAGAACGTGCAAGATTGTTGCGTAGGTACACACATGGTAGTGGGATTTGCGGCCTTCCTTCCCTTCACCTATATCTGGCATTTCTCCCCATGCTGTCTCCCCAACTCCCCATCCCCCACTGTCCCTCCCCTATTTCCCCCCGACGGACCCCAGTGTGTGATGCTCTCCTCCCTGTGTCCATGTGTTCCCATTGTTCAACACCCACCTATGAGTTAGAACATGCGGTGTTTGATTTTCTGTTCTTGGTGTCAGTGTGCTGAGAATGATGGTTTCCAGGTTCGTCCATGTCCCTACAAAGGATATGAACTCATCATTTTCGATGGCTGCATAGTATTTCATGGTGTATATATGCCACATTTTCCCTGTCCAGTCTATCATCTATGGGCATTTGGGTTGGTTCCAGGTCTTTGCTATTGTAAACAGTGCTGCAATGAACATTCATGTGCATGTGTCCTTATAGTAGAACGATTTATAATCCTTTGGATATATACCCAGTAATGGGATTGCTGGGTCAAATGGAATTTTTATTTCTAGGTCCTTGAGCCATCACCACACTCTCTTCCACAATGGTTGAACTAATTTACCCCCCCACCAATAGCATAAAACTGTTCCTATTTCCCCACATCCTCTCCAGCATCTGTTGTCTCCAGATTTTTTAATTTTCTTATACGTAGTGGGAGAATTAGAGACTTAAATTTGTTCATACTGTTTTTTTCTAACCACAGAGGAAGTACAAACAAGCCTGTGGAATCACAAAATTGCCCTTTTATTAAGGAAAATTAGAGAAGTCAAGGAACATAGAAAATCAGGAGTCAAAATTTGTCTTCAAATTGTAACATTTTATCCTATGGTACTAGACATTTGAATAGGAACTGTTTTAATTAAAGGGAATTTAATGTTATTTGATGATTGAGCTAATTTGCCTTGGTCTCCGAAAGAGATGAATATCTATACCACTAGTCTCACAGATAGATGGCTTAAATGTCTTCTAGACTAATTAGACATACTGGATCATCAGGTCTTACTTCTGAGTAGATTTAACATGTTTCTGATTTTAATTAACGTGCCAGCTACATGTTTCACTCCATGAATGTTTGAGCTCCGGCTATGAGTCTGACGTTGAGGTATGTGCCAGATTAACTGTTTATTAGGGCCAGCATAGCCCTGTCATACCAGTCTTCAGATCCCCTAAAATATCTGGTTTGGTCATAAGTACAATAGAGCTGAGACCATGTATCTGAACAAATGATTTATTCTTGGGAGGCGGGGAGGGCGGGAGGCCTTGTAATGTTAAGATGAATCTCACCCAGTTTGCCAGGGAGATTTCTGTCATGAACAGTGAAGTCCTGGGGGTTGACAAGGGAAAAGGGACATAGTTGATGTGCCGCTTGTTTGGCTAAAGTTATTTTGCTGCAGCAGCTAGAAATGTAAATGTCTCAATTGCGAGTGAGGATAATTACTATTCTGAAATTGGTCTCTCTTGCTATGTAATAACAGCTCTGGAAACCAACACATGAAGATCTTCATCAGTGGGACCCTAAGCTGCCAAATTCCCAGAAAGAAAATAAGTGATTGTGAGGCTCACTGCCGAGAGACTGTCGGCCATGAGCAGTAAATCGTTAGTGTTACTAATAGGCTCCTCAGCAACACAGCTGCCTGGATTTGCAAGTCGAGCTCTTCTGGGATCAGCCAAAGAGGACACCTGGGCTCCTCACCAGTGTAGGTGGTTTTGTGGCCAGACCTGCTCCCAAACGGCTCTAACTACATACAAGATTGTCGGAGTGGTTTTGTTTTTACAGATAAAGGGAATTTGAAGGTAATCTGTGTTCTAAACATGCAGTTGAGAAAGAATGGTAGAATGGTTTTGCTTGCTGTAATTAAGGCGTTGAAGTTCTGTTAGAGGTAAGGTTACTGCCCAATCGCACAGGGTGAGAACTGCAGAAGGCTTGCCCCGAGAACCAACCATTAACATTCCGTTATTGCCCTGATCTACGCACTGCAGTCTGATTTTCCTAGGGAAATTCTTGCATTCTGGGTGTAGCTTCAGATGACCTAAAACTGGCTTCATTTAAGGTGTTAGCTAGCTGTGGAGCCACAGCTATTTTATCCATGCTTGCTTGCTTCCCTTAACAGCCTGAGGGGATGCAGTTTTTAACACCTACTGGTGTTAACCTTTTGATGAAGAGGTCGTTATCTTCTGTGATTTGAACCTTCCAGGAAGTAAGATAGACTCTGATGCTTATTAAACGTAGGAGCGTACTCTGCCTCCGGGGTGCACCTAGATGCCTCTCTCAATGTGCTGCGTGAATACTTAATGTTAAGGCAGACAAACAGACGTGGAAACTAAAATTCATGATACTGGGAATTTGGAGAGGAAATGGAAATAACAGAGAAGTATTGACAGTTTGATGTAGAGCATTTACAAAGTTTCAATTGTTGGCTGAGTGACTATTACCCAAGCCTGTGCCTTTGTTCTGTGTTTACTTGGTTCAGCCGGAAAGCACCACATTTCCCAACATCAAAAATCCAATCTTAAGTTTGTGCATAGTTCTTACTGTGTTAAGCAGGAGCTGGGATGGATGCTTTTACACTTAAACAATTGGTGCCCATTCCAAACCTCAGTGGCGTTATCTTTGAGATGGCAGTATTTCTGTTCCTCACATCCTGTCTCTCTCTCTGCCCCCAACTTTGTTCTCTCTCCCTGCTCTTGGCCCCACAGTTAACAGACCACAGACAAAATGCAGCTGCGGCTTAATCTGCTGCCTGTTGAGCACTTCCAAGTCAGGCCCTCTGTTTACTCTGGGTTGGTTTCTTTGCTGTTTCATAGGTACTGTTTCCTGTTACTTTATTTCTCAGTAAGAGGGCTCAGTTACTGACATCAAACTGTCAATACTTCTATATTATATCTAGCTCCTCTCCAAATTCCCAGCATCATGAATTTTTGTTTTCACATGCGTATGTCTGCTTTTAAGTATTCATGGAGCACAGTTAGAGAGGCATGTCTAAAGACTACTATGTGGCTTTTGGAAAATACACAACTCTCGCAGCCCTGTTAGGCATTCTTCTTTGTGTCTGTTCCTTTCATGTGTGATTTACCTTTGATTATTTGAGGGACTGGATCAAAGAATTTTAGTTAGGGTTCTGCAGAGTTAGGAACTGTTGTAGCCATCACGCTTGATAGGTCAGGAAACTGAGCAATCAAAAGTGAGGCATCTTTTCTGTGTTACAAAGCCAATAGGCAGGAGCCACCCCCCCCCGCCCCCCAATCTATGAAGCCACAGTCATTCTACTACAATGGGTGCCTCATGATGATGCATGTCACCAAGTACGGATGTCTGTATTTGTCCCTGAATGAAATTCAAAGTCCTGTGTCTTGTGTTTACAACCGAGGCACACGGTACAGGGCAACTTGAGAGTTAACATTGTAGAAGGTGTCAAGTGAAGAATGAGAAAGTTCATGAATTTGGAAAGGAGAGCTTGATTTTTCATAAAGGGTGGCCACCGCTCCGGTCTGGGGAATATAGCCTCCAGCCAGAAACTAGAAACAGACACTTACAGGGTGGGGAAAAATAAAACAGGACTTCATGCTGAATAGAGTTTGAAATATACAGTGAGCTATAGGAAGAGTCATGAATATTTATGAAAGGAGATAAACGTGTGTAATTAACCTTTATGATTCTTCATGGGTTGCATGTACAAAAAAATGGCATTAGCAGGATTCTGGGGTGGAGTTTTTGGTCCTCTTAGGTCAAAAGGTGAAGCCGAGGATACAGCCCTCATTGTGCATCTTGATAAACTAGCCAGAACCACTCTGTGGTCCATTGTCTCCTAGGAAGGAATTCTGGTGGCTTGGTTTGTTGAAGCCTTAAAAGGGAGGGGCAGCATGATGCGGTTGGTTCATGTTAATAGTAGAAGCCAGGTGCAGTGGCTCACACCTGCAGTCCCAACACTGTGGGAGGATCCCCTTGAGTTCGAGGAGTTCAAAACCAGCCAGGGCAACAGAGCAACACCTCATCTCTACCCAAAACAACTGGTGCAGTGGTACATGGTTGTAATCCCAGCTACTTTGGTGGCTGAGGCAGGAGGACTGCTTGAGTCCAGAAGGTCAACGCTGCAGTGAGCTATGATTGCACCACTCACTTGTACTTCATTCTGGGGGATACAGTGAGACCCTCAAAAACAGTAAGGGTAGAGCAAGTCTTTCCTGAAGGGCCAGTTTCTGTTTAACCCTTAAGAAAGAAGGCTGGATACTATGGCTCATGCCTGTCAGCTCAGCACTTTGGGAGGGTGAGGTGGGCAGATTGCTTGATCCCAGGAGCTCAAGACCAGCTTAGGCAACACAAATCTCGTCTCTACCCAAAAAGAAAAAAAAAAAAAAACTGGTGTGGTGACATGTTACCTGTAGTCCCAACTACTCAGAAGCCTGAGGTGGGAGGATTAATTGAGCCCAGGGTCAAGGCAGGTCAAAGCTGCAGTGAGCCAAGATCACACCACTGTACTCCAGACTGGGCAACAGAGCAAGGCCTTTTCTCAAAAAGAAAAAAAAAAAAAGCCTAATGGCCGTTAGTGAAGCAGCAGGTGCAACAAACTGTGTCCTGCCTCCCTTCTAGTCAGGTATGGGAGCTCAGCTTTTAAGAGTTCTCCAGATGACTTGAGGTCAGGAGTTCAAGACCAGCCTGGCCAACATGGTGAAACCCTGTCTCTACTAGAAATACAAACATTAGCCGGCCCTGGTGGCAGGCTTCTGTAATCCCAGCTACTCAGGAGGCTGAGTCATGAGAATCGATTGAACCCAGGAGGCCGAGTTTACAGAGAGTTGAGATCGAGTCACTGAATTCTAGTGTGGGCAATAGAGTGAGACTCAGTCTCAAAAAAATTGTCTGGGGTCTTCTTAGACAAGAGAGGGTCCTTACAGTCAGTGGAGGACATGGAATTTTATTTCTCAGAGGGTATTTACTGTGTGCAAATTACTGGGCATGGGGCTGCAAAGATGAATAAGGCAAGCTCCTGAGAAGCAAGAAGTTTACCTGCCCTTTTGGATGATGGTAATTCATAATCACTTTATTTTTTAAATCCTTATAAATCTTCACAAAGGAAGGGACGTCATGGATGACAAAAGTAGCTACCTAGCTTTCTGCAGAAAAAGCCTCCACCCTTGCTGGTCACCCACTCAGCACTCTGCAGGGCTTACACCACCTGCCTTCCCTCCCGCCTGCACAACCCAGACAGGCTGATTATACATTGATGTGAAGCGGTCTGAAGCAACAGGTATCTTCACCATATTTATAGTTTCAGTTCTTCTTAATCACAGAGTGAAAATGTGAAGTAACCCCCCCAATTAAAGGCATTCCAAATCTGTCAGGAACAACCAGGATCGAAATTTGACTTCTCCAAGGTAAACCTGATTAGGCAAGAGTATGCTGGCACCTGGTAAATAGAGTAAGGGATGCGGGGAGAGGGTTGTCAAAGGTAGAATTTCCACTTTCTTGAGGCGCTGGGGTCTGCCCTTGTTGGATGTCTCCTCTGGAACAGCACAGGCCACTCACCCCATGTGACTATTAAGCATTTTAAAATGGGGCGAGTCCACATGGAGATGTGCTTGTGAGTATAGCACACAACAGGATGGAGATGTGCTTGTGAGGATAGAACACAACAGGATTGGCCGGGTGAAGTGGCTCATGCCTGTAATCCCAGCACTTTGGGAGGCCAAGGAGTGTGGATCATCTGAGGTCAGGAGTTTGAGACCAGCCTGGCCAACAGGGCAAAACCCTGTCTTTACTGAAAATACAAAAATTAGCTGGGCGTGGTAGCACATGCCTGTAATCCCAGCTACTTGGGAGGCTGAGGCAGGAGAACCATTTGAACTCAGGAGGCACAGTTTTCGGTAAGCCAAGATCGCACCGGTCCACTCCAGCCTGGGCAACAGAGTGAGACTGTCTCCAAAAAAAAACAAAAGCCCAGGATTTTGAAGATGATATAAAACATCTTTATTGATTACATGTTGAGATAATGTGGATCTTTAGGTTATTATTGAAATCCGTTTCTTTTCACTTTAAAAAAGAATGCCACTAGAACATTTAAAATTACGTGGCTTGCACGATATTTATCTGGGACAATGCTGATCTAGAGACAGAGACCATCCCTCCCCAGCAGTCAGACCTCGAAACTAACTGCTGTCCCCTGCAGGGATGACATTCTAGTACATTATGTCTGCTGCTCTGGTGTGGCCCTGTTTTCACTTTTGGGTGCTCAGTAAATGTTACTGGGATAAATGAATTAAGGGAAAAATGAGTCCTTCCCCAGCCTCCCTCAGTGAGGTTGCAACATAAAGTCACCATGGGCCACTTTGACTGGAAGCTGTCAATGTCAGGTTTGTAAACAGAACTACAGACAGGAAAGGTGTAAACAAAATTATTTTCCAATGAAATTGACAGAATAATGGGAAGGAGCATCGAAAAGAGGAAGCAGGTCAGCCTTCTTTGAAGACAGTTTGATAATGTGCATCAAAAGCGTTAAATTGTATAAACCCTGTATCCCAGAAATTTCTCTTTTGGTAGTTTATTCCAAGGAAGTAGTTGGACCAAAGCATAAATTCATCTAATTGTATTAAAGTGGAAAGTTTAATATTCAACAATAGCAGATAGGTTAAGTACATTAGGACATTACGTAGTGGGTCAAAACATAGATGTTGACAAAAGGAAGTGGAAATCCTGGTTAATGTACAGCTTGTATGAAATAAACTAAAAATAAATTTTTGGATAGGTAGAATAACATTACACCCATAATGTTAACAGTGATTATCTCTGGGAGGTGGAAAATGAGTAATTCATCAACTTATTGTTACTTCTTTTTTTTTTTGCAATGAGCAGATACTATGCCCTGACAATTTTTAAATGAAGTATTGGAATTACAGATTTTGCAGTCATAGAGCTGACTTTATATAAAGGGTCATGCCAGGCGTTGTGCTTTGTGGCATATGATTTTTTAAAAAATCAAACACCCTCTAGACTTGAGGGTAATTAAAAGGCAGTTGCCATGACAATAGGAAAGATGCCAAAGTCAACATTTTTTCAAGGAGCAACAAACGCGCGGAGGAGTCGGCTGATGGCACAATGTTCGCTGCTGCACCGCTCAGAGGCTGGGTGTCCCGCATAGAAGTAAGTGTTGCTATATTTGCTGACCTTGGCCTATACAGCGTTAAAAAGCACGAGGGGCGAGGCCAGCCGGATTCCCAGAAGTGCCCAATGCACCTCCCCGGCGGGAGTGCCTCCGGGCCACATTGCCGCCCTCTCCTGGGAAAGACAAACGGGTGTCCCACGTGGCAGCAGTGCCCTGGGGTGCCCCTCCTGCAGGTCCGTAGCGCCCCCTGGCTCAAGTTGCCCTGCGCCTGTGAGCCGAGCCGCCCGGGGAACTGAGCGCTGGTCGCCGCGCTCCTCCCAGTGAGTCCCAGCCCCGAGTTGGCTCTGGCACCCGGGTCCCCGCCAGCCGGCCGGGCGGGGGATGCCGCTGCCTGATTCGCGCTGTCAGGACAGAGGCCCGCTCTGCCCGGCCGCCCCTGCCCCAAGCGCCAGGGCTGCGCGGCCCCGCGGAGGGTGCGGGCTTTGTTCGCTTGTCTGCGCGCACCTGAGCGCGGCCTTCCCGGGACGGCGGCACTGGGGAAAGAGCGCACCTGGCGTGTGCCTCCCGCCTGGCCTCTCGCGGTCCGCCCCGGGCGAGTCTGGAGAGGGGCGCGGTCCGCAGGTAAGGGGGTAGAGGCTCCGGGTACAGGAGTGGAGGAGGGCATGTATTAAACCCAAGCTGCTTGCCTGGCACAGTTGCGGGGCCCCATTCCCCAGCGGCCGCGGAAAGGGACTCGCCTTTCGAATAAAGGCTCAGGTGACATGACCGCCTCCACACCACACCCTATTACAGGACATACACAAGTGTTAAGGGGTCTCGGGCAGTTTTCCCAGGCAGAACGGGTGCCCCAGCGATGTGTCTGCTACAGAACCGGAGAGGGGCCGGCTGCCCTGAGACACTCGCGCCTGGGCAATGGGAACCCCAGGAGTTTGTCGTCCCAGTGACTTCCCCACCAGGCTCAGCCCTGCTTCCTGCATGTCTTCCCTTCTCATAAGGCTAACCTTTCCCTAGCTAAGCTGACCTCTCCCTCCCTCCTACCTTGGGCCCTTGGCCACCTGCTGGGACGGTGAATGGGAGGGTCTCAGAATTGCACCTTGGAAACTTGCTGGGGCCACTAGACAGAAGAGAGGGGAGGAGGGCACCTTGCTGCCTGTGACAGTGGAATCCAGGGCTCCAGCTGAGCGGGGTCTTGCCATGGTGACACCATAGGATGTGTTTGATGTTTTGGAGATGGGAATAATTAGAACCTGTACGATTTTCAAATTATAAGCTGCTTCAGGTAAAATAAACACCACAACCTCTAAGTGGTTTATAGATTCATTCAAGGTCTCTTTTGCTCTCAAGGTGACACTGTATTAAGAAATGTCGACTTACTGAAAAGAGTCAGAAAAGTGAAGAGGTCACAGAGGTATCACTAGAGTTGGCCGAAGCCACAGGCATGAATTTGTAAATGCTACTGGCTTTCAGCAGCCTGAAGCCAGCCTCTCTTGTGACTGATGGCAGTACAGAGCTCCCTGGGCCTTACGTTTTTGTAGAAATCCAGCCCAGAGCTGCCATCTAGTAGTATAAGAATTTCTCAGCCTAGGTCCCCAGGCAAATCCCAGGTTGCAGAAGTTTGCTTTCTTCATCACCTCTATCTGGCTGAAAACCGTCAGTGTATTTTCATTAAGTCTGGTTTTTGGTCTACCATCCAGAGATTACAGCTACTATTTCCCCTCCCTTCAACGGGCACAGGCCCCTGGAATGAATCATAGTCAGAAGCCCATGTTTTTACAGATCAGGAAACCAAGACCTACTTTTAGGGTGTTAGGTTCAAAGCAAAACTGAGCAGAAGGTACAGATTTCCCATACACCTCCCGTCCCAACCCATGTACAGCTTCCCTCATTATCAGCATACCCCAGTTCAGTGGTACATTTGTTCCAATTGATGAACCGACACTGGCACATCATGACCCAAAGTTCATAGTTTGCACTGGGGTTTGCTCCTGTTGTACATTCTGTGGCTTTGGACAAATGTAAAATGATGTAATTCCACCATAATCAAACAGCATAGTTTCACTTCCCTAAAAATCCTCTGTGTTCCACCTATTCATCCCACCCTACCTACAGCCCATGGTAATCAGTGATCCTCTGTCTCAATAGCTTTACCTTTTCCAGAATGGCTATGACTGGAATCATGCAGTACATAGCTTTTCAGATTGGTGTCTTTTGCTCAGTACTATACATTGACGTTTCCCCTCCTGGCTTTTTAGTGAGCATCAGAAACAGCACAATCGCTATGTGGCTGTGATGGCATCGGAGATAAGCTCCTGGTGAAAATGTCTTTTTAAAATAAATTTCCTGCCATCTGTGCATCTTATAAAGCATTGTCCTTGCATCCCTGGCACCTGGAAAGGTACTGGCCACAGGGCAGATGCTTAATAATTTTATTGGATAAATGAAATTTCATATAATTATAGCAATGGGAGGGTCAGCAACCCTACGAGGTTGTTTTAGAACAGTGGTCCTCAAACTTCTGCAGTTCATGTATCAGTAAGTGAAAACCTCGTTAAACTGGGAGGGCTGCAATAGAATCATTTTAAATTTTATCCCATAAGGTATTTTAAAATAAAACAAATCTCCCTCCCCCTTCACTCCCTACGTAATCAAGGAGGCTATTGGAAGTCTCTTGGTGACTGTACATGTATTCCCTGCAAAATATTTCTGTATAACCCCAAAGCAGGACACTGGGACAGCTGAATACATTTGAAGTCCCTTCCTTTCTGTGCCCTTTCATCTCCTAAACAGCTGGACTGCCTACTTCTCCTCTTTCACAACATGACCTGCTGACTTTCCTGGAATGTGATTACTGCCCTCAGTCCTCCATTTCCTTTTGTGATCACAAGTCTCGTCTCTTGAACTAGATTTCCCTGCTGTCAAATTAGGAAACTCTGGCCTTGTCCTGGGAGCCTTTGCATTGTGGTTTCATGGGATCCTGGTGACAGCCTTTCCAGGGAAATAGGATGGATGTTTGTCACCTCCGTTTTAGAAGGAAACTGAGAGACTGAAGTGAAGGAATTTACCCAGGAGGCTTATGCTCAGGTGTCCTGCCATCAGATGGTTGATCTTTTCAGTGCCTGTGTACCACACATGGTGCCTTTGCATACCAGTGCACCTGTGTACCTGTGCCTCTGTGTTACAGTGCCTCTGTGTCCCCATGCCTCGTACTGCATGCCTCTGTGTACCACAGTGCCTCTGCATGCCACAGTGCCTCTGTGTACCTGAGTCTCTGTACCACGTGCCTCTGCTTACCCATGCCTCTACTGTGTGCCTCTGTGTACCATGAGCCTCTGCGTACCCATGCCTCTGTACCGCGTGCCTCTGTGCACCACATGCCTCTGCATACCCATGCCTCTGTACTGCATGCCTCTGTACCATGTGCCTCTGTGTACCACAGTGCCTCTGCATGCCACGGTGCCGCTGTGTACCTGTCTCTCTGTACCACATGCCTCTGCTTACCCATGCCTCTGTACCACGTGCCTCTGTGTACCATGTGCCTCTGTGTACCACATGCCGCTGCATACCCATGCCTCTGTACCACGTGCCTGTGCGTACCACGGTGTGTCTGCATACAACGGAGCCTCCGTGTACCCATGCCTCTGCGTACCACATGCCTCTATGTACCGCCTGCCTCTGTGTACCGCGTGCCTCTGTACCGCATGCCTCTGCATACCGCTTGCCTCTGCATAATGGTGCCTCTGGTCATAGCTGAGAAGTCCTGGGCTGGACTCTAAGCTTGAGGTTTTCTTGCTCTGTGACTTTGGGTCTTATCTTCTCCAAGACCATTTCCTCATCTCTAAAAATGGTTGTGATAATGTCTATCCTATAGGTTATGAGTGTTTTTAAATGAATATATTAAATGTAATGATAAACTTTTAACACCATTCATTTAGAAAGTGTTTTACTACTTAGCAGAGACTGTCCTACCCTATCTCACTGGATCTTTACAAGGCTGGGGGAGTTTATGAAACTGAGATTCTCCCCATTAGGCAGGGGAGGTTGTTGCTTGCAGTCACCCAGGTGCTAGGAGCAGAGCTGGGTTGGAATCCTCATTCTGGACTTTGGGTCCTGTGTTCTCCCATACCTCAGAGCTAATCCCAGTGTCCCATACAGTGAATTCGGATTTTGTACAATTTAAACCATTTTAAAATAATAGCCCATCAAAACAAACATGAACTCTTCTGGCTAAAACTGTCTCTGCAGATGCAGAGAGGGTGGGAGGGCTTGTGATCTGTGCCTATCTTCCCAGCTTTTCTGCCTGACCCTCCAGGGAATTCACAGATAGCATGTTGTTCATTCCTTGGTGCTCACTTTTGGTTGTCAGGCTGCTGAGTTTTGAAAATTTACTAATTATTTTGGGGGAGCGTGACTTTCCCCAAGCAGCTTTTAAAATGTTTTCCCTGCCATGTCAGACTAGAAACATGTCATCCACATCCGTTGACTCTCTGGGCCTGAGCCAGATATTTAGCCAAAGGGACAGGAAAATGATTGTTATGGCAAGGACTTCCCCGCCGGAGATTTTTACCTCTGATTTCAGTCTTCTCATTCAGGCATGTAGTGTTCTTGTAAAGCACTCTGATTTCCATCCTGCTGACTTGGAGAAGGCTGCCGAGAGCCAGTCTATTTGGGGTTGGAGTTGGATTTTGTGAGGAAGCAGAAATGGTTTCCTCCTTTTCCCTCCACTCATTTCATTTCCGTTCCTAGAGAAGGCAGACATTATCCTGCAAAATTGCCTTCAGCTATCCCCAATCTGGCCCTTTTTTTTTTTTTTTAAAGTAGCCTTGTTTTGGCTTTTATTTGTTCCTGTGTCATGGGAAATGTAATTTCTGGGTAATGCACAGTGAGAAGTTTTGTGGCATGCTGCAGCAGCCTCCACATGCCTGCTGTCCCAAGTGCAGCTGGTGCTGCGTGGAAGCAGGATCCGAAGGCCACACTCTGATGAGGAGAGCAGGGATATGCATGGGGAGCATCTAAATCTGTGGATGAGAACACAGAAGCCAGGAGGAACACAGTGGGAATAGCATGAGTAATGGAACAGAAGGGCACAACGTGATGAGCGAGGTGCTGTAATGGAAAAGGCTTGGCGAGGTGTACCTGGGAACGAGTGGTCTGTTCCAGCCCCAGGCTTGCAGATCACTCCCAGCTACTTTGTAGGAAGGCAGAGGGCCCTGGTAAATCTTACCTTGTGCTGGATGGAGCCTGGGAGTTGCTGGCAGGTATTAGCTGGAGTCGGGGTGGGTGTGTGGAATTGCCAACAGGTGGGATTCAGGGTGGCAGATTTAAAATTATGCTTCTGTGCTTCTGTTACTGCCCCTAGTTCATGGCCTGTTTTCTGGAGCCTGGACTTCTGCCAGAGTGTCGCCTCTTACCCGCTGCCCCACCACCTCTCCCTTGTTGAACATTCTGAGGCTGCTTTCCCCAGAACTGGGAAGGTGACGCTGGGAGGTCAGAATGGAATCTGATCCACTGATTAGCCATGTAATCTCAGGCAAAATACTTCATGTCTCGGCTTTCTCACCTGCAAAATGGGGATAATACACCCTCCCTGGCTGGCTTCGAGGACCAGGAGAGAAGACACGAAAGGTGGAAGCTGGCGGCAGGCACACAAGACATGCTCACTATGTGAGCATGGCAAAAGCTGTTGATTTTTACTGTGTAATTCATACTTTAAAAAAAAGCTTTCTAGGTGTAGGGCTGTATCTTGGAGGTCAAATTAGTATTGTAGGAAAATTTGGATATGAGAAGGGAATGAGCCACATATTTGAGATGATTGGGTGGGAACAGAGTGCAAACAATACTTCACCAGCATCGCAGTAGCATTTGTTTCATTCATCTTGGCAAAAAAAAGAATGCAGTGAACACAGGGAGTGCAGTGATGCCCCTGGAGGGATCCCTCTAGCCCTCCTATAGGATGCATTCTGGTGCTTCGTTTGTCCACCAAGCGAGGACTTCCTCTACAGTACACCAGGCACAGGCAGGTCTCTGGAGCTCCAGCAGAGACTAAGATACAGTCTGTAGTCTCAGGCATTTGCCACCTGGAAGTGAAGACAAACATCTCACTGGGCAGTTTCGGCGTGGGCTGTGTGACAACAGGGATTGTGTTGATGGGCACAGGAGAGGGAGGTGCTGCGGAGGTTACAGAGCCAACACCATCTGATTGATCCAAACAGCTAGGAGAAGGCATTTGACGTGCTGGGTACATCTGCAGATTGCCAACATAAAATCTGTTTTAATGAGCGGAAACTTGGGCAACTCTGGAAAACCATTCAGCTGGGCAAGCAGAGGCACATAGTGGAGCAAGATGAAGCTGTTTATGTTGGTCTCACAGCATGGAGGGAAGGGGCCTGTGTTTACTGGGTGCCTTCCCATGTGGCAGGAACCTTCTGTACTTCCTTCCGCATGATCCTTACATAGCAGCCTGGGGAGGTGGCTGCTAAGATCTCTATTGTATAAACAATTACCAGGCCTGAGCCTCAATCTCTGGGTCATTCTGAGGGTCAGAAGCTGTAACTCCAGAAAATCGTCCTGAACACAGGAACTAGAGACAGCATTGAGAAGCTCTTCACCCCATCCTTGCTGCCTTGCCCCTGCCTGACTCCCAGGCGGCAAGTGGGGGCTTGTTCTGCCTCTGTGGTGTGAAGTAAAAGGGGGAAAAAAAACATGTTCTTAGGGGAAAGGGAAATCATGAGTCCTTTCTTGCTGGCATGCACAGGGCTGGAAGCTAGCAGGAAGTGGGTGCTGCTGGTCAATATCCTCCCCACCACCTTTCTCCCTTTGATCGTGTCTGGAGAGCTCCTGACTTCCTGGCTCTTGCCATGTTGGGTGTCTGATTTTCACTTAGATCAGGGGAAGGCTTGAGCCTCTTAGGCATTTGAAGCAGGAAGACCCTGCACAGACTCTCAGCTGGCAGGGACATTTGTTTTATAATAGTTTGTTTCAGGATTTCTTTGAAATCCAAGGATCTCTATAGACTCTTCCAAGTGGTGCATATTCTAGAATTAGGTAGAATCTGGTGGCATCATGAATATAACCATACAGTCTGAGAATATTGGGTGGTCACTATATGCTCCATCCTCCAGGAGGACCACTCTATGTGGCACCCTGGACTACCTGCCCTGCGAGATGATTGAAGGTCGGATGCATGAGGAGAAGGTGGATCCCTGGAGCTTTGGAGTTCTTCGCTATGAATTTTTAGTCAGGAAGCCTCCTTTTGAGGCAAACACATACCAGGAGACCTACAAAAGAAGATAATGGGTTAGGCCTGGCATGGTGGCTCATGCCTGTAATCCCAGCACTTTGGGAGGCTGAGTAAGGTGGATCACTTGAGATCAGGAGTTTGAGACCAGCCTGACCAACATGGTGAAACCTCCTCCCTACTAAAAATACAAAAATTAGCCAGGTGTGGTGGTGCATGCCTGTAATCTTAGCTACTGGAAAGGCTGAGACAGGAGAATCACTTGAACCCAGGAGGTGGAGGTTGCAGTGAGCTGAGTCCACACCATTGCACTCCAGCCTGGGCAATAAGAGCCAGTGTTCAGAGAAGTATTTGAACACCCCTGGATCACAGCAAATTCATCAAAACCATCCAATTGCCAAAACAAAGAATCACCTAGCCTACAGTCTTAGGAATTGTGCATGGGGAGGAATCCTTGAGCCAGGGCTGTGTAACCTGTCAGAAACGAGCTACTGACATTTATTTTACCATTGACTGCCACCCTCAGTCTAGAGCACTACAGGAAACATTTGTTCTACTGTGCGCCTGGCAGTGCCTCAGCCTCTCTAATCAGAAAGCTCCACATCACCAAACGTGACACTGAAGTGAACATAGCCACGAGAATTGTGCTACTTATACTGGTTTGTAATCTGGAGGCAAGGTTTCACTGCAGCTGCCCCCCCGCCAGTGCCAGGCATGGTATCCTCACAGGAGACAAATCCAGAGTCTGGCTGTGGGGAAAGTGACCACTTTGCCCCGACTCAATTGGTTAAGGAGCTGTGCAATAACCTTCCAGGTACTTGAGTGCGTGTGTAACTTACTGGGTTGGCCAAGCCTAGTAAAGCTGTTGGAATGAGTATTTGATTCTTCTTAAGTATGAAAATAAGGATTTTTGTACAGACTTGTATTTTTTCCTCTGGTGGCATTCCCATAGGAATGCTCTGTGTCTGTCCAGCATCCTGGTGGGCCTGGTTGGGTTGTAGTCCTCCTTAACCACTTACCTCCCATATGAAAGTGTGTAAAGTAGGAACATGTGCTCTACCTCCATTTAGGGACTTGCTTGAGGTACAGAAGAGACTATGTGTCTCAGAGGCTGTTAAGGGGGTTTTTTTTTTTAAACATTGGAGTCATGGCATGTGTGTAAACTTTATGCAAATAAATAAGTATGTCTTAAAATAGAAATCCACGGAAGTAAATAAGTATGTCTAAAAAAAAATCCACAGAGCTGGATGTATCTTGAGGTCTAAACATAGGTCCATGATGGAGGGGATCCAATGGGACCTTTAAAAACCATAAGACAGTTTAGCCATATTGGGGCCATTTTCTTCACTTTGTAAGGGAAGAACCACAGCCTCTCTCAAGGTCACAGGGCACCAGGATGAGGACTAGGGCCCCTGGACTTATGTAGGCTCTCTGGCCTACGTTTAAAAAAAAAAAAAAACTTCTTAAAAGATAATTTTCCTTAGCCAGGCATGGTGGTATGTGCCTATAGTCCCAGCTACTCAGGAGGCTGAGGCACAAGAATCGCTTGAGCCCAGGAGGCAGAGGTTGCAGTTAGCGGAGATCGCATCACTGCACTCCAGCTTGGGCTACAAAGTGTCACTTCATCTCAAAAAAAAAGAAGATTTCTTCAGCCAGATTATGATTGATGAAGAATTTAGATGATTAGTAGATAATTTAGATTATTAGTAGTTAGTACAGCCTTTCTTCAGATGTTGTCTCATTAGCTAGGGAAAGGTTTGTTAACCTCATTAGAAGGTTTCAGAACATGAGGACATTGAAAATCAGATCTTCATCCTGTTGAATTCTAACTCCTCATGAAGAAATGGAGACCCTGAGAGAGGAGTGACTTAGCCCAGGGTCACATGGCCACATAGTATTCCACGGTGTATATGTACCACATAGTTAGTCAGTCTGTCATTGATGGGCATTTAGGTTGATTCCATGTCTTTACAGTGGCCATTTCAAAATGCAAATTGCTCAGGCAGAGCCAAGACTGGGGCCTCTTAACTCTGGGGAGAGCAGGAGAGCAAACCTTCCTGGGGCCTGTTGTGGAGGGCTGGGGTGCATTTGGGGGTGGGTGAGAGAGGTGTCCTCGGGAAGATGTTAGATTGGTTAAATCTAACATTAGATGTCAGATTCGTTAAAACTAACATTAGATGTTAGACTCATTAAAACGAAAGTAATTGTAGTAAAGTCTCACATGGCTTTGGGAACTGGGGTCATTTCCAGACCACTGTAGCTGCTGTGGTGAGGGCCTCTGTGACCTGGAAAAGGCTGAGTTGGCATCTTGCTTGGTGGTGTGACTTGGGGCGTTCACAGATCTAATTGCTGATTCTTTCTTTTCCTGGCCTGTAGTTGCATCAACATGCCCCCTTTCCTGTTGCTGGAAATCATCTGTATTTTCCTGTTTTTCAGAGGTAAGATGTTTTTATTGGTGGTGGGGGAGTATTCGGGTGGGGGTAGGATTGCTTGTTTCAAATCCTGTTGATTTTCAATTCTAAAGGTCTCTTGAATCCACCTGCATCTCTCCCCTCTGTGGCCATCTCCCTAGTCTAAGCCATGTCATCCTGTGCTTGGACCACTTCAGTAGCCTCCTGCCTGGTCTCCCTGGGTCCCTGGTCATCCTCCAAACCATCCTCCAGGCAGTGGCCATTTCTTTTTTTATGTTTATTTTGAAGTTCCAGGGTACACGTGCAGGATGTGCAGGTTTGTTACATAGGTAAATGTGTGCCACGGTAGTTTGCTGCACCTATCAACCCATCACTTAGGTATTGAGCCCAGCATGGATTAGCTATTTATCCTGGTGCTCTCCCTCCCCCACCCCATTCCTCAACAGGCCCCAGTGTGTGGTGTTCCCCTCCCTGTGTTCTCACTGTTCAGCTCCCACTTACAAGTGAGAACATGCAGTGTTTGGTTTTCTGTTCCTTCATCAGTGTGCTAAGGAGAATGGCTTCTAGCTCCACCTATGTCCCTGCAAAGGACATGTGATCTTATTCCTTTTTATGGCCACATGGTATTCCACAGTGTATATGTACCACATATTCTTTATCCAGTCTGTCATTGATGGGCATTTAGGTTGATTTCATGTCTTTATAGTGGTCATTTCAAAATGCAAATTGGATCACATCTGGACCCCTCTTCACCCCCAACTAAGAGTTTTTAGTGACTTTCTGTGGCTCTCAAGAGGTTTTGTCTCATCTTATTATGTGGCCATCATGAGTCCGCTCTGGGGGCCCCTCCCTGTGCCCTTTGCACCACGACCCCACTCTCCTTCCAGTCCTGCCCTGCATCCTTGCTGCCCACCAAAGAGGTTCTGAATCATGGTGCTCCTTTGCTTGGATCACCCCCTTGCCCCACCAAGCCACCCCAGCAAACTCCTCCCCATCCTTTGGCCCCAGCACAATTCCCCAGAACCTCCTGGATCAGGTCACGTACCCCTCTTCAAGCCCCCTGTAGCCCCTGCTCTGTAGCAGTTAACACGGAATGGAGTTTTGTGTGCATTTTAAAAAATGACATCTTTTCCAAAAGATGTAAGCTCCTCAAAGAAAGAGACTGTACATTCTTTAACATTCTTTACTCACCATTGTATTATCTCAGGGCCTGCACTGGATGTGGTTTATGCTCTGGAAGTAGATTAATGAATGAATAATGGAGCAAATCAACTTTCTTTTTACTTCCCACTTTCTCCCTTTCAAGTTCTAGCCTCTCTGAAATGTGAGAAGGTAGGAAGGAATTGATGTGTCTGCAGATTGCTGTCTTACAAGGAAGAACAGGTGGACTTGTGAGGCTTGGGATCCTCCTCTGCAAAGTTGAGGGTGACACAGTGGCCTCTGGGATTTTTTCTTGCTGTTCCTCCCTGGTCTGTGTTTCTGTGAGTAGGTATTTGTTTTCTGCTGAACTGGCTACTGATAACACCTGCCTGTTTCCTGGAACCTAGCGGGGATCAGAGAGGCTAGTGGAAGTTGAGTGCCTGTGGCTCTAGCCTGGCTGCCAGCCCACCTGTTTCCCTCTGTCTGTAAGCCAGGTGGGGTGGATGGAAAGTGTAACACAGTAGCTTCATGGCCAAGGGGTTGGGGAGTGGTGAGACGTGTTTGGGGTCAGGGCCTGAATGAAGACTCTGGAGTTCCAGGCATAGTGCAGGTTCTGTTCCAGCTGATCATGGACCTTTGCCTTCTGTGGCCCTGTCCAGCCTCCTGATCATGGTCACATGCACTTGATCTGGTCATCCTTGGGTTGTACAGATGAGGTAGGGGATTTCCAGAGAGGCCTTGTGACTTGCCCAAGGTCGCACAGCCATGTAGCAGAGCTGGGACTAACACCCAGTTCTCTCTACTCCTGGGTTGGCCTTACCTCTCAGCTTTTTCTGGAAAGATAAGAATGTATGGAAATTCCCTCTAAGACTTGGCTGTCACGTCTGTAAAATGAAATAATTTGATTAGTGAGTCTCAATGCTGCCTGCTCAATAGCATCACCCATCCTGCAGATTAAAGTTCTGTCCCTGGCTGGGTATGGTGGCTCAGGCCAGTAATCCCATCACTTTGGGAGGCTGAGGTGGGCAGATCATGAGGTCAAGAGATCGAGATCATACTGGCCAACATGGTGAATGAAACCCCGTCTGCTCTCCAGCCTGGGTGACAGAGCAAAACTTCATCTCAAAAAAATAAAGGAGGCGGGGAAGTTCCAGAGTCCAGGCAGCTGGTCTTTAGAGGGGGCTGCTGACTTGAGTGGAAAAAGCAGTAGCAGTCACACATGAAGCAGCTGCCTGTCCGGAGGGAGCCTCTGCAGTCCTGAGGACATTTCACAGGGAGCACTAGGGATGTCACCCAGGCTCAAGGTGGGCTCACCTGAAGCCTGGCACCTGCCATGACAGCTGAGCACAGGGTGCAGAGAGGCACAGTTCACTGGAGTGCAATGGTGCAATCTCAGCTCACTGCAACCTCTACCTCCTGGATTCAAGTGATTCTCCTGTCTCAGCCTCCCGAGTAGGTGGGACTATAGGCATATGCCACCATGCCTAATTTTTGTATTTTTAGTAGAAACTAAATGAATGAAGTCTCTGGAGTCCATCCACGAGGCCTGGCCATGAAGGTTAATTGTTAAGGCAGTGAGCTGTCTTTCCTGCAGGGCCTGGCAGGTCGGGATAGTGAGGGAGCTTCCAAGGATGTGCCTAGAGGTAGTGCAAGGAGCTGCCCTCCCAGGGACTCCAGTTACTACAGCTGACCAGGGACAAAAATTTTCAGAGTCCCACTGTGTGTTATTTTTACTCTTTGTCTTTGAACTTCCTGCATTTAAATACAAAGATAACTTACAGAAGTGGGGGACCTAGGGGGTTTCTTTGTGTTATCTGTCTGGTAATTTTTGAGAAGCAAGAATCATCACTCGCTCACATTCTAGGTTTCTCTCCTGTTACCTGTTCAGTCTGGTCACTTAATGGAGATTGAGCCTCCTCCCCTCTCAGCATTTTAACGGTTGCTTCTGGTGTTTTCTCCTAGTGCCCCCATCTCTATCTCTCCAGGAAGTCCACGTAAGCAGAGAAACCATCGGGAAGATTTCAGCTGCCAGCAAAAGTAAGCCCAGGTTCTTCCTCACCCTCCAGATGCCCACTCAGGCCTCTGCGTGATGGACTGGAGGAGAACCGTGTTCCCCCAGAGAGTTTCTGCCCCTCTCCCATCTTCCTTTCATGCTGTGGCCTGATTCCAGAGTCAGATTCCCCAAACAGGGGCCTGACCAAGTTACTGTCCTTGGTTTAAAAACAAAACAGGGTGCCTGTAATCCCAGCTACTTGGGAGGCTGAGGCAGGAGAATCTCTTGAACTCAGGAGGCAGAGGTTGCAGTGAGCCAAGATTGTGCCATTGGACTCCAGCCTGGGCAACAAGAGGGAAACTCCATCTCAAAAACAAAAACAGCTCAGTAAGTCTTTTTGTTTGTTTGTTTGTTTCGTTTTTTAAAGACAGGTCTACCTCTTGTCACCCAGGCTGGAGTGCAATGGCACAATCTCAGCTCACTGTAGCCTTAAACCTCCTGGGCTCAAGCCATCTTCCTGTCTCATCCTCAGCCTCCCAAGTAGCTGGGGCCATAGGCATGCACCACTATAGATTTTTGTATTTTTAGTAGAGACAGGGTTTCGCCATGTTACCCAGGCCGATCTAGAACTCCTGAACTCAACCAATCTACCCTCCTTCCTTCCCAAAGTGCTGAGATTCTGGGTGTGAGCCACCATGCCCAGCCTCAGTAAATTCTTATTATTGAATTACTTGGCCTATACCGCAAGGATTTCTGTTATCTGCTCATCAGGTAACCGGGTGGCTACGTGCCATGCCCATCTCCCGCCATGTTCCTTCCTCTCTAATCAGTATCCCTGAACATGGCTGCTAGTACTGCTGCTGAACTCTTGGGTAACATGGCCTCATATATCAGGGTGCCTGTGTCCACACTAGATTGTGGCCCCCTGAGGCCTGGGACCAAGCCTTTTCAGTGCCGCTCACTGGCCCTATAGACCCCCTCATAGAGTTTAATTGGTGTTGTTAAACTAGGTTCTTCCATTATTATAATACAAGGGCTTTCATGTAAGGGTCCATTTGTGAGTATCACATCCATGGTGCCTGTGCCTCCTGTTTCAGAGGAGGGCTGCGTTCTGCAGGTTAGTTCTCCCCTTTCATGCTAAGAGGGGCAGCAGCCCGACCCACCACAAGGTTGTTTCTGCCTTCACTCTGCTTCAGGAGTGAGACTCACTTGCTGCTGGTTGTCACCTGTCTGTCCCACTCTCCCTAGTGATGTGGTGCTCAGCTGCAGTGGACATCCTGTTTCTGCTAGATGGGTCTCACAGCATCGGGAAAGGGAGCTTTGAAAGGTCCAAACACTTCGCCATCACAGTCTGTGACGCTCTGGACATCAGCCCCGAGAGGGTGAGTGCAAGTCTCCTTGGTGTTCGTGTTAGGGCATCTTCTGAAACCCGGTCTCAAGCAAAGGAGGTATCTACTGGCTTGTGGAGCTGGGAAGACCAAAGGGCTGAATCCTGGTTCCAAGCATGGTGGGATCCAAGGGCTGAGTTGAGGCTATGAGACATTCTTCTCTTTTTTCCCATCTCTCAATTTTGTTTTCTTTTGGTTGACTTCCTTCCCAGCCAGGTTTTCCTGATGTAGCCAAGTTGTCCTGCATTGTTCTTCAAGGTAGTGACCCCAGTAAAAATTAAAGAGACTTCTTTCTCTATAGATCTGGCCAAAGTCCTAGGGAGGGTTCTGATTGGGCAGGCCTAGGTCACATGATAATTCACTGACCAATTACAGTAGTCAGAGGGAAGAGAGTTTCCGGCCAGACCTTAAGAGCTCTGCCATGTTTTAGGGGTAGGGAGTGGATTAGACTCTCTTCTAGAAAGAGAGGTTGTGTTTGCAGAACAATGGGAAAGGGAAACATGCTAAGCAGACTAAGCTATTACTACCTCAGCAGACTAAATATGAAGCGCAGCTCCTACACTCTCTTGCACGTGAGAGGATCTACTACTGCCTGAATGAATCCAGCCAATGTTCTCATTTCTTGTTCTTAAAATAGTAAGTCTTAAATATAGCAGAGAGTGGTAGCTGTGGCTTTTATTTCTAAAAGAGGCATTTTTTGAACAATCCAATAGAAAAAGGGGCAAGGAACACAGGCAGTTCCCAGAAAACGAAACACAGAAGGCCTTTAGGCATAGGAAAAGAAGCCCAACCTCACTCACTGAGAGCGTCAGCAAACCCTCTGCCTAAGGTACAATTTTTTGCCTACTGGGTTAGCAAAAAAATCCTAAATTGGGTGACATGCTTCATCGGCAAATCTTGAAAAAACTGGTGTTCCCATAAACTACTGGTGGAGTGTGAAATGGTGCAGCTTCTAGGGGGGAATCCAGTAGTATTCATTCCAGTTACAAAGGCTTGGACCCTTTAACACAGCAATTCTACATAAAGGAATTTATTCTATAAATATTCACGCCCATGCAAAATAGTAACCTATAGAGTTACTCATTGCAGCATTATGTGTGTAACTATAAAAGATTTCAGGCAGGTTGGGCGCGGTGGCTCATGCCTGTAATTTCAGCACTTTGGGAGGCCGAGGCAGGCGGATCACGAGGTCAAGAGATTGAGACCATCAGGGCCAACGTGATGAAACCCCGTTTCTACTAAAAAATACGAAAATTAGCTGGGCATGGTGGTGCGTGCCTGTAGTCCCAGCTACTCAGGAGGCTGAGGCAGGAGAATTGCTTGAACCCCGGAGGCAGAGGTTGCAGTGAGTCGAGACCGCACCATTGCACTCCAGCCTGACGACGAAGTGGGACTTTGTCTCCAAAAAAAAAAAAAAGGTTTCAGGCAATCCAGATGTACATTGAGGAGGGACAGATAAATCCATTATGATGCATGCATATATTGAAACACTAGGCAATTCCAGAAAGTGAGTGAGGAAGCTCTGTGTTACGGAAAAACACCAGAACAAATGAAGTGTCAAAGTAAGGTGCAAATGGTGTGTATAACATGTTACTTTCTATGTAAAAAATAAGGGGGGATGAATGAAGATCTATCTTTGTATTTTCTTGTACCTGCATCCACTTTGGATGAATTTTCAAGAGGCCGAAAACTGCTTTTCATTGAGGGGGAGGTTAGGAAGTGAGTTGATAGGGCACAAGGCCAGAAAAGGCTCCTCAGTACAAACTTAAATATTTTCTGGGTTTTGAATCACATGAACCTACCCAAAAGTCAACTTAAAAATTGAGAATCTTGTAGTCGGGAAAAGCTGTAATTACTTGGATTAGAGACCAGTTGCATACAGGTTGAGGAAGAAAGTGGTTTTCCAAGATAACATTGGTAGATTAATCCTAGTAAAACCTCTAGGATTTAGGAGCATCAGTGGCTTTTCACGAGGGCCAGATTTTCTGCAGAATGCGGTGGCATTTTGGGAGCTGGAGCACACTCCTGTACCTGAGAACATCTTGCTTCTGAAGATCCATAGCAGCCATCATTCAAGCTAGGCACAAGCAGCCCAGAAGTTTTCTAGCCATGATGTTAACCCAGCATAGACCCTAAAAGGGCCAGGGCCAAGAAATGCCATTTCCCCACCATCCTCTGCACAGCACCCTGCTTTTAAAAGTCTACCTTATAAAGCATCACTAGTTATTCATGAAGGAGGTAGTATAACGATTAAACACTGTTGAACTTGGCATTGATGTAGCGTGTCCTGAAATGAGTAGCCTGGAGACCCTGGGGTTGGCAAGTTGGGAATGAAGAGTCCTATGGATAATTAGTGCATGTTTCACAGATGAAGGAATAGGCTCAGAGAGGCTAAGTGACAGCCGAGGGTCACACAGCAACCTCAGGAGAGAGTTAAGTATGAAAGAACTGGGGCTTTTGACTCTCAGCCCAGGACTTGCTCCATTAGGCCGTTTGCCTTGACCCTCAGCATTCATACCCTGCTATCACATAGCAAATGGCCAGCAGTGCGGCAGTGTATGTGTGTGTGGAGGGAGCGGTGTAAGAAAACCATGACAAGAAATTTCCTGGCTGATGCTGTTGGGAACAGATCCCCGAGTTCAGGGAACTTAACCGGGACATTGCTGGACCACAGGTAGAAAGGGTCATTGAGTCCTGGGGGCTGATTTTTTGGTTAGATGTGGACAGAACAGTCAGTGCCCATGAGAGGGAGCCAGGACAGCCAGAGGCCTGGAAACTTCTACAAATGAGGGAACCTGATTATTATTTTCATGTAAAAGAGAGAGGACAATGGCTCTGTTTTTTAAGGGTAGAGTCTGGGTGTTCAGGGAGTTAGATTTGGGCTTAACTTGAGAAAAACTTGCTCGCAGCGAGACTTGGGAAGCAGAGGAATTGAGTGCTTGCTTGGGTGAGTGAGTTAGTGTCTTGAGCTCCAAGGTCAAGTGGAGCCCTTGGCATGCTGCAGAAGGGATTTTGCATGAGGGTGATTTAAGGTGGGTCAGTCTGACTCGTGGCTGCAGGTTTTACGTTTTTGCTGCTGTGGTTTTTGTATTTTTGTTGTCTCCGTGTACAAGGGATTTGATTTGTGCCCAGTTTTTACTGTCTTTAACTTTAGTTTTCAAGAAGAAATGTCGAGTAGCTGTAAATTAAGACTTTTATGGATGCTCTGTTGTTGAGATGGATTTAAGGTATCTGAAGTCTTCCTCTTAACACTTGAAAGCTAAGAACTTCACTTCCTGGCTCTAATGTAATGACTGGGGCAGAGTGATTACAGCGTGCTGAGACAGCTGGGCGGACCTGTTTCTGACTATACAGTAAACTAAAGATAAAAGGCAACTATCTGGTTCCCAAACCACCAATTAAACAAAATGCCTTAACTACTGACTTAAGCTGCTTCCTTCTTGTTTTGAAGTTATATTCTTCCTGTTTAACCCAAGTAAATACACCCAGCTGTTGGTCTCAGAGGAGGTTATTTTTTTCAACTAATTCATTCATTCACATGGGTTCAATAAAAAGATGTACAGTGAAAAGCCTCCCTCTCGCCCACACGTCTTCCATTTGCCCAGTCCCTCAACTTGTTTTCTTGAGTCCCTTCCAACATCACTGTTGGCAAGATGAATATATATTCTTCTTTCTCCCTTATTACACAAAGGATAGCCTGGTAGACACATTGTTCTCTCACGCCTTTTCCTCCTCACATTTTCTTGGAAATCTTTCCATATCTGTATACAGGCATAACTTTTTTACAGCTCATTAAAATGTTTTAGCATAAGGATTTATCAAGGTCTAATTAACCTCTGTTGATGGATAGTTGCTGTTACAAATATACTGTGCTCTCGTAAATAACATCATTTCACGTGTGGAAGTAGGATAAATTTCCAGTAGCTCTGTGCATTTAAAATTTTCAATAAATATTAACAATTTGCCCTCCGTGGATGCTGTACCAATTTACATTTCTACAAGCAATGTTTCAGAACAGTTGTTTAAACCTGTAAATATTGCAGTTGGTTTTTTGCTGAACAGATGGGGAAAAATGCTATTTTATTATGGTGAGGCCAGGTATCTTTCTGTTAGAGTTATTTTGTATTTCCTGTTCTGTGATCTCTTTTTATATCCTTTGCCCATTTTCTGTTGGATTGTTGGTTTTTTATATGTTGATTCCCAGATACTCTTTTATATATTGAGGGAGCTAACCCTTTAACATGAATTGCACATAAATTTTCCATTTTGCCTTTTTCTTTCATTCCATTAAGGTATGTTTTGTCCTGTACAAGTTGTTGGGTTTTTTTTTTTTTTTTTTCATGCAGTCACATTTATTAATCTTTCCTTCATGGCTTCTGGATTTTTTTTATTTTCATTTTTTAATAGAGAAGTGGTTTCACCATATTGGCCAGGCTGGTCTTGAACTCCTGACCCTCGTGATCCACCCGCCTCGGCCTCCCAAAGTGCTGGGATTATAGGTGTGCGCCACCACGCCCAGCGGTTTCTGGATTTTAAATAGAAAGTAAGGTATTTTACACATTGAAATTTTAGAAATTCTCCCGAGTTTTTCTAGAACTTTCATATTTAGATTTTCACACCAAAATCTTGAATTCATTTGTAGTTTATTCTTTATTTTATTGTAGATTGCTCTCCAGTTGTCCCAATATCATTGACTGACTGAATCATCTTTTCCCCCTGGTTTGAGATGCCCCTTTTTAATCATACACTAACTTCAAGGAAAACCTAGGAAGAGCTCCTTCCCAGAAGCTTCTTCCTGAGACGTGGCTTTGTTTTCCTGTGTCCACCTCCCCGACATGCCCTCTGAAGACTGACATTTCTTCCTGCTGACAGTACCCACCAGCTTCTCTCCAGAGCATCCTGGGTGCAAAAGGGAACCCTACCCCACTGATCTGGAGCAGATGCAGCTGGCCTGGTGTGGCAGGGCATTTCCATCATCTCCCAAGTCCCAGGCCTGTCAAGGGAACGGCAGTGAGGGAATTCCAGTGGGGAGCAGAAGGCAGCATCATTGTTTAAACATGACTCACTTGGCCCATTTGCAGTCTTGGCCAGAACTGGGATTGGTTTTGAGAATAGTAACAGAATGTCATTTCTCCAGGGGTTTTGGAGAACCAAGGATTCAGTGCAGGGCTTGAGGCCTTGGGAGGAAACCTGAATATTTATAGCCTTCTCTGCTCAAGACATGCTAGTGACTTAAGGATCCAGAGAGCAACTTTACTCCGTGTCTTTTCTCCAGTTCTGCAAGGAATTGGATCTCCTATGGCTTCCTCAATTAGGACACTCAATCTCTGTGGATTCACCAGTGTTCTCACTCCTTCATTACGGAAGAACTTCAGCCCCAACCAATACTGGTTGTCTCAGTTGTGGATGCTGATTGTCCCCCCAGTCTGACTGTGGTCTAGAGACCTGGCCTTTCTCTGGCTTGGCAGGAGCAGCCCTGGTGGGTCTGACCACCCAGTGAAGGACCGGGTTGTGGGTGGCTGTGGTCAGTGATGGGTTACCAGTGATGGGGACTGTGGTTAGCTTCTGCAGCAGCGCCAGTTGGGTCAGTGAGCATTTTGCTACGGGCCTGTGCTGGCTGCTGAGAAGGCAGGAGGTATACTGGGCCTTAGGGAAGACCACAGGCACAAAGTCCAATGACCTGGCTGCCTTTCTTACTAGCCCTGGGCACGTAAGCCCTTGCCTTGGACCAGTCTTCCACATTGGGGTTTCTCCAACCATACTGTGGGTGTTAATAGTGTCTCCGTGGATTAAATGAGATAGTGCATGAAACTGCTCAAGACAGCACTGGCAGCTGGGAGGCAGTTGGTAAAAGTGAGCAGAGACCCTGCCCTAAAGATGCACAAACTCAGCTGAGAAAGCTGCCAGAATGTTCAGCTGCCTAGCAGGAGGTAAGTCAAGAAGAACGAACTGGGGGTTGTCAGTGCAGAACACAAACAGATTTGGCGGTTTTTTTCCAGATTCTTCAAATGAGTCTTTGGAGCCGCCTTCGAGGGAGCTGGAGAACGCTCTGGTGGCACTGGTGTGTGTTGAGTGGGTAGGAGGCAGGGTTGTTAACCTTTCCTGCCCCTTCTTTCCTCTTAGGAATGTTTTTGACTCGATCCCAGTCTCAGGGCCCTGAACCCCCTGTCTCCTCCTACAGGTCAGAGTGGGAGCATTCCAGTTCAGTTCCACTCCTCATCTGGAATTCCCCTTGGATTCATTTTCAACCCAACAGGAAGTGAAGGCAAAAATCAAGAGGATGATTTTCAAGTATGTATGATCAGACACTGCTGTGGTTACGGTGAGGCCAGCTACTCTTAAAATCACTCCCTTGAAGGGTTTGGCCCTGCTCTGGGCTCACAGAGAGGACTGTGGGCTGCCTATAGGAGCCCAGCTGGGCACAGAGAGTCATGCGAATTCCATTCTCAAGGCTGCCCCTCCTTATTGCATGATAATGTCCCAGGTGGGAATTTAAATGCAAGCAAAAAAATTGCTGCTGTGATGTATAGTTGTCAATTTCCCAGGAGAAAGTGCTGTTGAAGGTCACAAATAGGGTTTAGAGCCTGAAGGGACAGGAAGAACACTAAGTCTTAGTCCTGTTTCTGTCCCTTGTGACCACTGCAGCTGGACAGTTGACCACACTTCTCTGAGCCTCGTTTTTGTGGTCTAAAAAGAGTATGTGCCCCTCTTATTGAGAGTGCTTTACAAATTGTGAATATCTGGTTATGTGCTCAGACATATACACACCTAATGTGTTAGTCTGTTCTTGCATTGCTATAAAGAAATACCTGAGGCTGGGTAAATTATGAAGAAAAGAACTTTTGTTGGCTCATCTGCAGGCTATACAGGAAGTATAGCACCTACATCTGCTCCTGGTAAGGGCCTCAGGAAGCTTTCGGTCATGGTGAAAGGCAAAGGGGGAGCACATGCATCACATGATGAGAGCAGGAGCAAGAGAGAGGAGGCGGGGCCACACATTTTAAAACAATGGGATCTTATGTGAATTCACTCATCACCAAGGGGTTGGTGCGAAGCCATTCATGAGGGATCTGCCCCTATGATCCAGACACGTCCCACCAGGCCCTAGGTCTGGTAGGTCTGGGGCCTGGTAGGAGTGATTACAGTTCAACATGAGATTTGGAGGGGACAGACATCCAAACAATATCACCTCCTAAATATATGTATAGTCATATGTTTACTCACATTATAAGTTAGTTGATGTGTTCATCTGAATATGTGTGTGTATACACTCATGCTTTTATACACCTATATTTTGTGTATAAATATTTTATATATTATATGTACACATATAAATATACATGTGATACATAGATATATGCATATATACACATGCACATATTTACACGTGTATATATATACAGACACACATACGTAATGTTCCAAACCCTCACAGAAAAATGACTTTGATTTGCCCCTTGCCACTCTGGTCTCTGGATTCACTCTGGGCTCCTGCTGCCCCTTGTACTAGTATCCACTGAAGCCCTCCAAAGTCCATGTCACAGCCATTTATGGCTGTCTCCTCCCATTGCAAAGGCCCTGAGCTCTGAGCACTTTTTCCCAGTTGCAGGCCTCTGTAGGTCTACGAGTGGCCTCAAGAAGCCTGAGGCCCCACAATGGGTACAGGAGGTACTCTGGGAGCCCTGCAGGCCTCAAGAATGTCCTAGGAACCCTCACTGACTTTTACCTGAGACTATCTATCCCAGCCCCTTCCTCTGCCCTTGAACAGATTAAGGGGCAAGTCATCATGCAAGAAAGTACAAAAGGAAAGAGCTCATTAATATGTGTTTAAACAATATATTAGTGCACATCCGCCTTTTCTTCTTCCCCAGGAGCCTTTGTGCCCTTGGGGCCTCCAATAATTGATTTCTTACAGAGAATGGTCTCAACCTTGATCCATATCTTTGACCAAGACACACAGTGCAGGTGCTTCCTCCCAGGTTTGTGGAATCATTCTCTGCTCTTGGTATATTTAGGAATATGTGCTTTTTTTTTTTTTTTTTTTTTAAACAGTCTCACTGTTGCCTAGGCTGGAGTGCAGTGCAGTGGCCCTATCTTGACTCACTACAACCTCCATCTCTCTGGCTCAAGCCATCCTCCTACCTCAGCCTCCCAAGTAGCTAGGACTACAGGCATGCACCACCACACTGGGCTAATTTTTCTGTTTTTTGTAGAGATGGGGTTTTGCCATGTTGCCCAGGCTGGTCTTGAACTGAGCTCAAGCAATCCACCTGCCTTGCCCTCTCAAAGTGCTGGGATTACAGGTGTGAGCCACCATGCCTAGCCAGGAATCTGCGCTTTTAAAAGACTCCCCACCCTTCCCTATGACTGTTATCCACACTAACTTTTTAAAAACAGCTTTATGGAGATATGTTTTATATGCCATAAAGTTAACACATTACATATGTACAATGCAGTGGTTTTGAGTATATTTATGGAGTTAAGCAACTTTTATCATAATTTTTGAACACTTTCATCACCTCACAAAAACACCTTGTAAATAGACATTTTTCCAAAGAAGATAGACAAATGGTAAATTAGTACACAAAAAGATTGTCGACATCATTTAACTATTAAGGAAATGCAGACCAGAACCTCAGTGAGCTACCATGTCATAGCCACTAGGATGGCTCAAAGACTGACAAAAACAAGTGTTGATAAGGCCGTGAAAAAAAACAGAGCCCTCATTTGTTGCTTGTGGGATTGTAAAGTGATGCCTGCCACGTTGGAAAAAAAGTTTGGCTGTTCCTCAAAATGTTAAACATACACTTAGCATATGACCCTGCAATTCCACTTCAGGAGAATTAAAAACGTGTGCACACAAAAACACTTGTATGTTAATGTTCATACCAGTGTTATTTATAGCAGCTCCAAAATGAAAATAATACAGAATGTCCAACTGATATGCATAGACAAAATGTGGTATATCCAAACAATGGAATACTACTCAGCCGTAAGAATGAATGAAGTACTGATTCACACTATAGCATGGAGGAATCTTGAAAACACTATTCTAAGTGAAAGAAGCCAGGCATAAAAGGACACATACTATATGATTCTGTTTTTTATGAAGTGTCTAGAATAGGCAAATCCATGAATATATAAAGTAAATGAGTCGTTGCCAAGGGCTGAAGGGAATGAGGAATGGCTGTTAATGGGTACAGGGCTGCTTTTTGGGGTAAAGAATATGCCTTGGTCTTGGGTAGTGGTGATGGGTGCACAGCTTTGTGAATATACTAAATATCACTGAATTGTACACTTTAAAAGTGTGAATTTTATGTTGTATAAGTTATATCAATAAGGTAGTTTAAAAAAAAAACTTTACCCATTACATGCAGTATGCATTTTCAGAAGAAAAAGGCTGGTTAAGTTTAGGGCTCAAGGTCAAAGACCATTTGGGCGACTTTGACTCAAAGAATTCAGCTCTGCTCTTGTCTGAAAAACTAATCAAATCTCAAAGAATTGGTCCAAAAAGGACCAAGGAGCATTAGAGATCATCTAGTATGTATTCCATCTCATTATTATACAGAGGAGGATACTGAGGTTGAGAAGAAACAGGTGCCCTGGCCAGGATCAGCGGGTTACACTGACAATTCCGTAGGCCCCGCCCAGCTGTCCTTTCCCACTTCTCACCATGCTCCCTCTCCCACAGCCTCCCCCCAGATAATTAGTTGAGCTTCTTTTCAGCTGTCTTGAGGTCATAACTAGGGGCTTGAGAGCATTATTTATGACATGAAATGCAGAGACACACTAAGATTGAGGACACTGAGGGTGGAGAATGAAGACTTCTTGGGTGTCTGAACCAGGTCAACTCTCCTGGGGCTGTGTACGGTTAGCACTTATGGATCCCAGAACAACTGTAAGTGACAACAAACAAGGAAAGGAGGCGCGGATTTTTGGCCCCAGTTGTGGGGTCACTGAGGACACTAAAAATGAAGACAGGCTGTTATGAATCAGAACAGAGGAACATGGACCAAATGGGAGCGATGACCTCTTCAGGGCACTTGCTTCTTTTTCTACAGTGAAGTTTTGTTTTTAAATTTTAAACTTTCATAGGTACATAGTAGGTGTATATACGTATGGAGTACATGAGATGTTTTGATACAGGCATGCAATGAGTAATAATCACATCAAGGAGAATGGGGTATCCATCCCCTCGAGCAAGCGACAGTGAAATGTTGGAAGCTGGACTGATGAGGTCAGCTCGACCCAAACCCAGGACACTTGACTTTCTCGACCAAGGCAATCTCCCAAAAACATGTTTTGAGGTAGCTAAGAAACTACTCTGACAACCACGTTCTTGCTACTTTGCAAGAAGTTTAAAAAATATTATAGTCAAACCTTCCAACATTGCACCCCATGATGACATAAAATCAAGATAAGACCTGGCTGGTGATTGGTTCCTGAATACACAGAGCTCCTGGCCACTGGCTGCCCAGGCTTGCTCATTTCATTAATCTCACAGGAGCACAACCCCGGGTTTCCTGTGGCTGAATGTTTTGGACTCTCTCCATAGCTTCGTCCCCATTTTACCTTAGCACATAATCCTTTATAGCCTTCCTGGGCCCCTTTCAAACCACATTAACGTTTTAATATGGCTTTTAGGCTAGTTAGAATTACGAAGTATTTTGTACTTTTTTTCTTAATGTTATTTGATATGTGCTTTTACACAAAGCTATATTATTTTTCACATTGCTCCTTTTTAATGGTTATTTAATAATCCAAGTTCAGCTATCAAAATATATTTTATCATTCTCCTAAAAGGTAACATTTAGGTTAATTCCAGGATTTTTGTCTATTGCTGAAAAAAGAAAAAAAGCTGTACCTACAGTGGGTTTTCTTCACCCCACCCCACCCCTTTTTTTTGAGACGGAGTTTCGCTCTTGTCACCCAGGCTGGAGTACAATGGCATGATCTCTGCTCACTGCAACCTCTGCCTCCCTTGTTCAAATGATTCTTCTGCCTCAGCCTCCCAATAACCTAAATTATAGGCCTCCACCACCACACCCAGCTAATTTTAAAAATTATTATTATTTTTAGTCAACATGAGGTTTTGCCATGTTGGGGGGGGGGTTGAACTCCTGACGTCGGGTGATCCACCCTCCTTGGCCTCCCAAAATGCTGAGATTACAGGCATGAGCCCCTGTGCCTGGCTTCTTAGGAACTATTTTTCAAAGTCTGTTTCATGACTTACTGACATAAGAATGACTTGCACGGAGGTGAGGTGGGGAGGGAGTGCTGGTTTGAAATCTAGAACCTCAGGCCAAGTTACAGATTGTCAGGGAATAGGACCTGAACATCTATATCTGAGACATTTTTAAGAGTGCTAGAATTTGAGACTAGACTCAAAAGATAAACTTCTTCACAGTAGGCTGCTGTGGATTCGTTTTGGTAACAGCCACCCACTAGGTCCTCAGAGGTGCTAGACCCAGCATTTAATCCTCTTACATTATTTCTTTCCCCTTTTAACATGGAAGGATACTGGGGCTCAGGTCAAGTAACTTTTCCAAGTTTATCTGCTAAGATATTGCAGAACTAATATTTGGGCCCCTTCAATTCTGGAGCTCATGTTCTTAATTACTTGGCTGCACTGATAGCAAAATGTTTTGATTCTAGTCCTCCCTCCCCCAAACAGTTCATGCATGGCAATCATAAACCCCCCAAGACAGTAGCTGATCTGTGCGCCTTCAACTTGCAACCTAGTTTAGTCCAATTTGAGACAAATTAGAAAAATCCTGGTGAGACTCTGGCCTCAGAGCCCTCCTATCTGGAAGTAGACCATGAGCTCAGAATAGACTCTCAGGCAGAAATGCTCCCTGGAGTAAGTGAAGGGATTTCTTTTCACTTCTCAGAGGTCAAGCCATGAGGAATCTCACCTTACCTTGGTCTCAAGCCAGCAGACAGGGTTCTTGTGGGGAAGCCTTCACAGGGTGCCGAGGTAGAGAGGGTGACAGCGTCAGTGTCACTGTGCTGAGCAAGGTGAAGGGCACACACCTGCTGGCAGGCATGTGCAGTGGATGGGACACTGATGTACTGCAGTGGATGTCCCTGAAACTTTCTCTGTAACCACAGGCTGATGGTTGTGAAGAGGGAGGCCCAGAACCATTAGAAAATCTGAACGGGCCAGCCATGGTGGCTCACGCCTGTAATCCCAGGACTTTGGGAGGCCAAGGTAGGCGGATCACCTGAGGTCAGGCGTTCAAGACCAGCCTGACCAACCTGGTGAAACCCCATCTCTACTAAAAATACAAAAATTAGCAGGGCTTGGTTGTGGGTGCCTGTAATCCCAGCTACTTGGGAGGCTGAGGCAGGAGAATTGCTTAAATCCGCAAGGCGGAGGTTGCAGTGAGCTGAGAATGTGCCACTGCACTCCATCCTGGGTGACAGAGTAAGGCTCCATCTCAAAAAGAAAATAAAATCTGGATAGAACCCAAGCCTTGCTCTGCAGGTGGTAGATGGAAAGGAAAAACAGTTTAACTCTGAAGGGGCCAAGGGCAGACCCCTATGAGAAACAGAAAAGAGTGTGGGAACAAGTGCTTTTTCTTTTCACTCCTGAAGCTGTGAATCTGTAGGCAGAGTGATAATGATCATATGGGCCACAAGGGAGGGGGAGGCTTTTGGGAGAGAAGGCAAGGGCTGGTTGAGAACCTCAGGATCCAAGAACACAGCCAGGAGGCCATAGGGCTCACTGGCCAGTGGGTAGAGGCACAGGTTGCTTCAAGGCCACGGAAGCACCTCGACTTTGGATGAGAAGAGAGTTTTGTGAGCATTTAGGCAGGATAATTTAGAACAGGGGTTGGTAAGCTTTTTCAGTAAAATGTTGTATAGTAAATAATTTTAAGTATTTTCAGGTCAATGGTCTCTGTGTAGACAGTACACAAATCAGTGGGTGTGGCTGTTTTCCAATAAAACTTGACAAAAATTGGCAGCAGGTCAGATTTAGCTGACCCCTGGAGAGGAAAGAGCATCGGCTTCAAAATCAGCCAGACTGGGTTTCAACTCCAGTTCTGACTCTGCTAGCCAGATGAGAGCCAGGTGCCTTGATGAGTTTAAGAACTTGGGCTTTTGAAGTGGAGGGCCCTGGGTTCAAGTTCTGCCTTCACCACTCAGGAGTAGCATAACCTTAGACCCTTCTCTGGACTCCCGATTCCAGAGAGCTGTGGTGAGAATCATATGAGAATATGCTAAGCATATATAGATAAACATAGGTTGAGCACAGCGCCTGCCACATGCTAAGTGCCCAGGAGATTTTAGCAGTTATTAGTGTTCTCTGAGTGGAGTTTCCTCGTTTGTTAAATGTGGGTAGTATTAGTGCCTTTTACCATGTTTGTAAGGATTACATTCAGTAACAGGTGTATGAAGTGTCTGGCACAAAGTGGAATGTTAGTGCTAATATTATCCTTTAGAAATGGAGCCATTCTGCCCTGCCAGGAGCTCTGGAGGAACACTCTCTTTAGACACAAGAGCTCTTTGGTGAAGGAAACAGTATTAGTGGGAATCCGAACTGGGTTGGTGGTCTTCGGTGTCTAATGTGTGATTCAGCAGGGTGTGAGAGGAGTTAGGGGGTACCTGGCAGTCACTGACGCTGGTGTCGTCTTCCTCTTCCATGATTCATCCATGTTGGTTTGCTCTGTTTTTCTTTGATAAACCCATTGCCCAAGCCAAGTTCTGCTCACTAGCTCCAGAACACAGGTTGCATTGCTCACCTGTGTGTTTGCTTGAGCCCCTTCCTGTAATCAGAATGAACTCCTCCTCTCCTGATCAGCTGATTCACCAAGACCCCACTTATAAGCTCGTTCCCCTCTGGAGCCTGATTCCTGACAGCCCTGCCCCACAATGAATCTGCTCCTCCGAATTCCTATCAATTGCATCCTTGCATTCCTATTGACTTGTCGTCTTGTGGATCCCATTTCGTCAACTAGACTGGGAGTTCTGTAAGGGGTGGAATCATGGTTATATTTCTTTGTCTCCATTTCACTGTCTTCCATCCAGTGGATCCACAGTAAATACTCATGGGTTGAAAAAAGTAAATGAATTTTTAACTGATGCAAATGTCTATATATATATGTGTGTGTGTGTGTGTATTATAGGCAAGACTGGTAATTCTAGGAATTGTCAGCTCTTGTGGACATTTTTTAACTTTATGGAGCACTGCAAAGAAAACTGCCTTTTAAGAGCTTGCTTAAGTTAGAAAGCAATAGAAGCGAAGCGTATTCTAGGCCTGGCCCATAAATCCTTCCCAAGCACAATCATCATGCTCTTTCCCTGTCTTCCTGCTGAATGGAGGGCATTTTGAGGACTAAGAGGAAGGTGGACCCACAAAATGAAAGGAGCCTGGATTTCTGAGTAGCTGCTTGGAGAGGAGCCAACCAGGAGAGATGCCTGGGAAAGAGGACTCATGTCAGACTTGCATGAGAAATAACACACACACACACACACACACACACACACACACACACGCAGTGGGCAATGCCCATGCCTCTTGTCAGCTGGATGTCTTCACATGAGAAGGATGACCATTATCTAGATAGAGGGCTGAATTAAAGGTAGGCATTGCCTTAATTAATTTTTTTTTTAAGATGGAGTATCACTGTGTCATCCAGGATCAAGTGCAGTGGTGCAATTTTGACTCACTGCAACCTCTGCCTCCCGGGTTCAAGTGATTCTTCTGCCTCAGCCTCCAAAGTAGCTGGGACTACAGGCACCCACCACCATGCCCAGCTAATTTTTGTATTTTTAGTAAAGACAGGGTTTCACCATATTGGTCAGGATGGTCTTGAACTTCTGCCCTCATGATCTGTCCACCTCAGCCTCCCAAAGTGCTGGGATTACAAGCGTGAGCCACTGCGCCGGGCTGGCATTGCCTTAATTTATGGTGGTTGGTACAGTCTGAGTATAAATGTATCCCCTATCTAGAGTCTGTGGTTAGTCACTATTTCAGAATAATGCTCCCACAGGGTTTTGTCTGAGGGTATAGTTGATAACCACGGCATTTCCATCAGCCTCACATTGCTGATCATGTTTGCATGGGCTACCATCTGCTGAATGGTTTGGCTGCAACAGGGACTGACTCACAATTCAGTAACCTGAAATCCATTGTAGTGAGTCACTATGTTCTGTCCAGCTGACACTCAAAGCTGGCAGTCCTCTCTCTGATGGGATGCTTACAGGAGCCTCCTAATTTGAGATTTAGTGGAGATCCTGCTCTGGGATTCCAGGCTCAGTTAAAAGTTCCTGTAACTGAGCTGTGAGGATGAGAGACTCTCAGCAAGCCATGGCCAATAGAGGACCATTGTCATCCCAAAGAGATGGGACCCCTGTAACCTGCCCTGATCCTGGAGGTGGTCAGACAGCTCAGCCTTCCAGCTCCCAACCCTGAATTTGGACATGGCCCACAAAGGCCTGGATCACAGAAAGGACTCATCACACCCTTGCCTTGAAGCCCTGCCTTTCACTCTATGGATCCTTCCTCACACAATTTTCCTAAGCTCAGTTATCTGCTTTCCCAACCCAAGATGTTGAGCTGTAGCAAGGAGATGATGCAAGGATAAGGAGATGGGAGGCAGGTGTTAGATAAATGACAAGAGCCGTCAGAGGAGTCATCACTCGGGGAGGAGAAAATAAACACGCCCAGCACACAAAGAATGATGTCGTTACAGAATACAACAGAGACGTGCATGGTGAATCTCAAGTGCGTGGAAAAAGTAATTTCTGTTCATTGTTGTGGTTTAGATGGTAGAACTGTCACTTTCAGCCTCTGTTGGAGAAAGCAACCTTTCTCTAGTAACAGAAGAGCCCATCAATTTCAGGCTCTCATCCCAACCTTACCTCCCCGAACCACTCACTTTTCTTCTTTTTTCTTTCTGGGTGTGCACAGAGGAGGGCGCACGGAGACAGGACTTGCTCTGAAAAACCTTCTGCACAGAGGGTTCCCTGGAGGCAGAAATGCCTCTGTGCCACAGATCCTCATCATCATTACTGACGGGAAGTCCCAGGGGCACGTGGCACTGCCGGCCAAGCAGCTGAAGGAAAAGGGTGTCACCGTGTTTGCTGTGGGGGTCAGGTTTCCCAGGTAAGAGCCTCAGTCATCCTCGGTCAGCCCTTAGGTGGTCAGCCTGGGGATCGTGGCATGGCCATGGGAAGAGAGGGGACTGGAAGAGCCATCTGGGTCCTTCCCTAGATCTGTCTTTTCCTCACTTTGCCATTTTGGCTCCAGTGCACACATAGGAAGCTCCAATCTTGGGAAGGCTAAGCATTTGCACTGACTTTGGTTTTGTTCGAACACTTGGTTGCAAGTGCCAGAAACTCTGCTGAAATTTATTTGGGCAAAAATGGAAATTCATAGAATCATCTCATTTCACTGGGTGGGATAGGGGTCCCTTGGGGTGGGCAGGAGCCAGGGACTTCAGTGCCATCAAGATTCTTTCACACATCTGTGCTGTTCTCTGCCTGTTGCTTCCTCGCTTACCTTGACTTTCTCAGGAAGCTGGAACTGGAGCTGTGGATGATCCCCAGCTCACATCTCCAGAGCTCTACCCTAGAGAGAAAAGACCCCTTCCCCCAGCTTAACAATCCAAGGAAAGATTCTCATCAGCCTGAGGTAGAGCCTACTCTTGGGGCCAGGGGAGTGGGAGTCTGGCTACTCACCATTTACCCCATTTGTCTAGCTGCTGGGTAAATAGGGTTTCCTAGAAGAGAGAGGGGTACAGATCCTTAATGCTCTTAAACCTAAAAATGGATGTGACTTATGTCGTGGGCCAGTAATTATTGTGGGTGTTACATGAAATGACTCTGGTCTGGGCACTGTGCCTGCACACAGAAATCTCTATTACATTATTTAATTTCTCAGTTAATAAATCCAGGGTTGTCTTTCTCATGTTGGACATTATTCTAGGTCCTTGGAATACAAAGGCAATACAAAGTCCTTGCCCTCATGGAGTTTCCATTCTAGAAAAGGAACTAGATAATAAGTTTATGAATAAATACATAATATCATTTCGGATGGAAGTAAAATGCAAAAGGGAAAAATAAAGTAGGGTAAGAGGCTAAAGAATGATAGGGAATAGAGAGGAAAGCTATTTAGGTTGGAGGTCAGTCAAGACTTCTTTGAGAAATTGATTTTTGAGCAGAAACTTGCGTGAAGTCAACAATATGCCTTCCAAATATCAGGGGAAGGCAGGGCAAAGCAGGCAGGCGGATGGCAAGAGTGCAAAGACCCTGGGGCAGCAGCTAGGCTGCTGTGTTATAGGAAGGAACAGCCAGACGGCCAGGGAGGGGCTGAAGCCCAACAAGCAAGCGGCAGAAACACAGGAAATAAGGGTGGGAGAGGCGGGAGTCAGCCACAGAGACTTGTGGGCATGGAAAAGATGCTGGAGTTTATTGTGAGTAGAATGACAGACTTCAGAGGGTTTTAAACAGGGGAATGATATCTTCAGAGAATCACATTGACTGCTGTATAGAGAATAGCCTGACAGGATAGGGGTGGGAGAGGAAATAATAAGGGGAGAGGGGAAACTGATTGGGAGGCTTTTAGCATGGCTCACGTAAGAGATCATGGTGGCTCCTAAAGGGAAGCAGCTGCAGCCCTCAGCTTAGGATGCAGTGGTTTGTTGTTACCGTTTTTGAGACACAGTCTCACTTTGTTACCCAGGCTGGAGTGCATTGGTGTGATCTCGGCTCACTGCAGTCTCCACCTCCCGGGTTCAAGCAATTCTCACGCTTCAACCTTCTGAGTAGCTGGGATTGTAGGTGCACACCACCATACCTGGCTAATTTATTATTATTATTTTTTTAAGTATAGATGGGGTTTCACAATGTTGGCCAGGCTGGTCTCGAACCCCTTGCCTCAAGCGATCCACCCACCTCAGCCTCCCAGAGTGCTGGGATTACAGGCATGAGCCACCATGCCTGGTGTGGCTTAGGATATGTTTTGAAGGCAGAGCAATGAGTGGCTGCTGCCGAATTGGAGGTGGGTGTATGAAAGAAGAATTGAGGATTTTGACTTGAGCCCCAGAGCAAATAGTGGTGCCATCTCCTGACATGGAAAGAGAACAAAGCGGGAAGAGCCAGGGACACCGAGTTCTGTTTCGGACGGAGGAAGTCTGAGGTGTGCGTCGGACAGCTTAGTGGGGAGCCGAGCAGGCAGTTGGGTGTGAGAATCTGGAATATGGAAGAGGGGACAGGCATGGAGATTGAAATTTGAAGCGGTTTTTAGAGCTAATATAAGGTCACCTAAGTTGTGGGGACAGGGAGAGAAGATGACCAATGGCCAGCAAGTGCAGGTCAGAGAGAGGAAGAAGGTAGAGTGATGGAGAATGAAGAGCGGCCAGTAAGGTGAGGACATCCAGGATTGCGCCGTGTCCTGGAGATGGTGATGACATCATTGTCATCATCGTTGTGATCAGCAGCAAGTTGGTGTTTAACACAGCCTGCCTTATCCTTCAGTGGCTTCTTTTGTCTTCTCAAATATATGCAATATCAACTCCTTGAGAGAGGAGAGAGGGACTTTGCCTGATGGCCTGCTTCCCACCCTTTCCCACACTCTGCCAGACACAGTGCCTTCAGCATAACCATTGCCAAATGCGTGTCCATGAGGGTGGAACCTGCCACGTGGTGGAATCCCTGTCTCCTTCCCCTCCCTCCCTCCCTCCTTTCCTTCCTCCCCACCTTCCTCCCCTCCCCTCTCCTCCTTCCCCTCCTCCCCTCCCCCTCCTCCTTCCCCTTCCTTTCCTTCTTCCCCTTCCCTTCCTTCTTCCCTCCCCTCCCCTCCCCTCCCCTCTTTCTTCTTAGCTAGGCCTGGTGGTGGGCACCTGTAATCCTAGCTACTAAGGAGGCTGAGGCAGGAGAGTCACTTGAATCCAGGAAGCAGAGAATACAGTGAACTAAGATTGTGCCACTGCAGTCCAGTCTGGGTGATAGAAGGTGACTCCATCTCATAAAATAAAAATAATTAGGGGAAAAAAAATCAAATAAACACAATGTAAGTTCAAATGATCATTATTTGATTCAGCAGACATAAAAAATGACTGTCTCGTCACTGTCTGGTTTCTCAATGCTTCCTCTCGGTGTCTGTGCTAGTCCCCTCTGCACCAGTGTTTAATGCTTAGGGAGCTGCATTGCCCACCCATTGCCCTTTGAGCAGCCCTGGTCTAGAGACATGAGAAGCCATTCCTTGGGTGGGGGATGGCCTGAGCTGAGGGCCCTGTAGGGCTCCCGGGACCACCTGACCCACCCCTCCCCACTCCCACTGAAGGGCTGAGTCGCTGTTGGCCACTAGTTCTCAAAGTGTGCTCCCTGGACCACAGTATCTTTATCACTTGGGAGCCTGCTGGAAAGGCACACCCTGGGGCCCAACACCACTGAATCAGAAACTCAGAGGAGGCAGAGAGTCTCCGTCTCTGCAGTTCATCCTGCCATCTGGGACTCTGATGCCCACCAGAGTTTGAGGGTCACTGCCAAGGGTAGCATGAAACTCTACAAGCAATAAAGCAAAAAACTGAGACGGGTTCAGTCTCTTTCCCACTTTTTATTGTTTTGAGACAAGGTCTTGCTCTGTCACCCAGGCTGGGATGCAGTGGCACGATCACAGCTCACTGAAGCCCTGACCTCCCGGGCTCAAGTGATCTTCCCGCCTCAGCCACCCAAATAGCTGGGACGACAGTTGTGTGCCACAGCACCCAGCTCATCTTTAATTTTTTTGTTTTTCTTTCTTTTTTTTTTGGAGAGATAGGGTTTCACTGTGTTACCCAGGCTGGTCTCAAACTCTTAAGCTCAAGCGATCCTCCTGCCTCAGCCTCCCAAAGTACTGGGATTACAGGTGTGAGCCACTGCAGCAAGTCTCTTTCCCCCTTTTGAGCCCCTTCTCTGACAGTTCTCAGCTCTGGCTCAGCATCTGAATTACCTGGCCGCTTGTAAGAAAGTCCGTTGAGAGGGTGGAGGGCTCTGGGGCTGGCAGCACCGCCTACAGGTCGTGGCTGTGCAAAGCCTCTCCTGTGCACATGTGCCCTCGGGGCTCAGTCCTGGGTCCTGGGAGGAGAGTTGGTTTTATGTGCATTCAGAGGAGAATGGGAAATTTTACACACCTGAATTTTAGAGATGAATAGGATTTTCGCCTATCGTTTAACCTTGGTCCACCCTGATCACTTTTCAAGGTCAGAATTCTTCTAGATGCATTACTGACTGTGTATCCTCTTCTAATTTATTTATTTTTTGAGACTGTCTTGCTCTGTCGCCCAGGCTAGAGTACAGTGGCATGATCTCAGCTCACTGCAACCTCCATCTCCCGGGTTCAAGCAATTCTCTTATCCTAGCCTTCTGATTAGCTGGGATTACAGGCACGCACCACCACTCCCAGCTAATTTTCATGCTTTTAGTAGGGATGGGGTTTCACCATGTTGGCCAGGATGGTCTTGAACTCCTGATCGTAAGTGATCCTCCCACCTCGGCCTCCCAAAGTGCTGGGATTACAGGCATGAACCACTGTGCCTGACCTGCCTGCGCGTCTTTTTAAAATGAGGTGTCTCAACATCACTTAATCCTTTCTTCACCTCATAGGGTCACCATCTGCACATCATTTTCCTGCTGGCGCAAACAGTGCTGCCCTTTGGTTATCGAAGGTGCTGGCTGCTTCCTCTAGATGGCCTCATGTTGCTGGCCTTTGAGTTCTTCTGTCCACTGTTTATCATTCTTCCCTGTTTTTATCTGTTTCCAGATATGCTTGCTTGTGCTTTGCTTGCTCACCTAGAACCACGTTCTTTCATTTTCTTTCTGGTTAACTGTTTTCCTCACCAGCTATGGGTCTCATAAAACCAGACACTAAATCTGTACTGCCATCCACAAGGAGCCCACGGCCTAGGAGATGAGCAGGCAGGAAGAGGGTGGGTACATGGCCACAAGCTGTCACAACCCCTTGGCACAGGTGGGAGGAGCTTCACATGCTGGCCAGCGAGCCGAGAGAGCAGCATGTGCTGTTGGCTGAACAGGTGGAGGACGCCAGCAACGGCCTCTTCAGCACCCTCAGTAGCTCTGCCATCTGCACCAGTGCCATGCCAGGTAAGACCTTCCAGCCTGGAGGGAGTAGAAGGGCTATGTGGGGTCAGAGAGGGTTCCCCGAGGCAAGAGGTCGGGACCCAGGAGCCTCACAGGGAGGGAGAGCAGGCAAGAGAAACGGACCAGCGGCCTCCACCCTGGACGCCCTGCTGTCTCCCTTTTCTCCCAGGAAAGCCCTATGAGTTTTCCAGCTGGGAGCCCTGAGCTTATCTTTGTGGAGGGAGAGGGGCCCGGGGCTTGAGATCCACATTTAGTAAGTTTCCTGTCCCCTGCTCAGGAGATAGAGCCAAGTCTCCTCCCCCTGCCTTGGTCTGCACAGAGGAACACAAGGAGGCTTTGTGCTTGAGGCGAGATGCCTGCTTTCTAGTTGTCCTTGTCAGGGTCCACCCAGGAGCCATAGTGAGGATATTAATGTGGGATGTACGTGCGTGCGCATTGTGTAAAAGCTGTGTGGGGTGGGGCCCAGCAGAGGAGATGCTCAGAACGGGATTCCCCCCTGAGCAGGAAGAGCAGGGACCCTCACCCGGAGGTATGCTCTGACCTGAGAAAGCAGAAGGTGGCCAGGTCGGAGGTGTGGTGGAACCTCCAAGGAGCGGGAACAGCTGCTGGCAGTATGCGTGACAGGGAGAGGTGGAACCCTGTCTCCTCCATTGGTGTGGATGTGTGTTGTGAACACAGAGTGCAGGGTCGAGGCTCACCCCTGTGAGCACAGGACGTTGGAGACGGTCCGGGAGTTCGCTGGCAATGCCCCGTGCTGGAGAGGATCGCGGTGGACCCGGGCAGTGCTGGCTACACTCTGTCCCTTCTACAGGTTTGTCTGCAAGGTCTGGGCTTGGCTTGGGTAGAGATGGAGGCCCCTGACCCTGAGCACTCACAAGCTGCGGGAGGATAGCACTTTGGGGCTCTGCCATGGTGATCATGACAGGATTGAAGAGGAGACCGGGGAGGGAGCCAGGGACATAGTGTGGGAAAACAGGGAGAGGCACAGTTACTCACTGGGAGCCTTAACACACAGCCCAGGCACCCAGGGCGAGCGCCGGTGACAAGGTCATAGGCATTCTGCAAGGCTGGTGAGCGAGCCAAGAGCTGCCCTGAAGGGCAGTGGTCTGCACTTGTGTTACTGATTTAGTAATTTGGTTCCTCTGACACCAGTTTCCACATTAGAGGGGCTGAGGGAGGCAAGAGGATCGAGATCCTCAGATGAATTCCAGTCAGGGAGGCTGTGGGATGCTGGGTTCTTTGGGATTGGAGCGCAGGCGCCCAAGAGCACCTGCTACCCGGCCACCAGCCTATCCCTCCCAACACCCCCGGCACTGTCCCTGGGCACTTCATCTAGACTACCCCACCAATCAGCACCTCTGTCCGGAGACCAGTGATCCTGCCACTCTCCCTTTCCAGGGGGCTGGGGCAGCTACATCTTTGCCCCTTGGCTCTCTCCCGGTGATGAGCTCACAGCACAGTGCACAGCAGTGAAGTGGATTGGCTGAGAAGCCTCAGGGCCGTGCTGAACCGATGGAAAATCCAAAGACTGTTTCTCTGGGAAAGGCTAGCCCCCTATATGAGGGTTGGAGGAGAGGGGGCCTCTTGCCACGCTGGGGCACCACAGGCTCTCCTCAGCACCCAAGCTCTCAAGTGAAAGGAGTTTATTCATTCCTTGGTGGCCACATTCTAAGTGCCCCTTCTGAGCCAGGCAATATGTGATAAGGAGATAGCACAGTTGCTGCCCCCAGGGAATTGTGGTCTAGAGCAGGGCATTGGAAAAGGAGACCAGCGGCCACCCTGAGGCATCCTAGGTGCTGGGGCAGAGTCTGTCCTCTCTGGGATGTCACGGAGAAAGGGCAACTTGAGCAGTTTTGCAAGATTTGGAACCATGGCAGTGTGCAAGGCACTCAGACCCTAGAGCAGCTGGGAGAGGCTGGTGGCTGCAGTGCAGACTACGTGGGCCTTGTGTTCAGACTGTGCTGTCAGGCTGCTGGATTTCTAATCCCAGCAGCACCACTAGGGAGCTGTGAACTTACCACTGCCTGTTTCTGCATTTGAACTTACCACTGCCTGTTTCTGCATTTGAAACGGGTGGTAATCATTGCATCTGCCCTACAGGGTTGTTGAGAGCTAGCAGTGATTTAATAGGTAGATGCAATAACATTGCAGGCTCCTAGAAGGAAGCATTTGGGAGCTCTTCATCCATTTCCTCACTCCGGAAAGACATACTGAGGGCCTCCTGTGCTCCCAGCGCTCACCCTGGTCCTGGGGGAATCAGCACCAGCATCTCAGAAACACATCTGCCCTCACGAGTGATGCTCCAGTGATGAGAGGCAGCCATTCCAAAATGAATACAGAACATAACCTGTTGAGTGGTGGCAGATGCTGTGGAGGAAAATGACAGCAAGATGGGGATGTGGAGGGGTAGGCCAGTGGTTGGGGCAAGGTCACAGTTTGAAATAGAGTGGCCAGGGAGGGCTGTGCAGAGAATGTGGCATTTGTGTCCAGACCTGAGGGAGGTGGGGGCAAGCTATGTGTGGGTCCCTGCAGAGCTCTGTTGATAGTGTCAGCTCCATAAATGCCAATTTCCAGAGCAGGCCTGAGTTGGGGACTCAGCTCCAGGGAGCTTTCTGGGCTAGGACTTGTGGCTTTATGAAGTCACTAAGAGTGGATATGGAAGGGAAAACAGTTTCTCTTGAATGAGCTGGCACTTTGGCAACCTTTGTTTTTCTTTTTAGTGTTATTTATTTATTTATTTATTTTGAGACAAAATCTTGCTCTGTCACCAGGATGGAGCACAGTGGAGTGATCATGGCTCAGTGCAGCCTCAAACTTCCTGACTCAAGTGATCCTCCCACTTCAGCCTCCTAAGTAGTCGGGACTACAGACACGCACCGCCATGGCCGAATAATTTTTGAATTTGTTTTTGTAGATGTGGAGTCTCACTAGGTTGCCCAGGCTGGTCTTAAATTCCTGAGCTCAAGCCATCCTCCTGCCTCAGCCTTTCATAGTGCTGGGATAACAGGCGTGAGCCACCACGCCCAGCCTTGGCAACCTTTATTTAAGCAACACCATGAGCTCTTAGTTGACTTGGCTTTTATTCCATTTTACCCCAGGGAAGACCCTGCCCTAGAGGGGCACCTGGTTGGACTGCCTCTGGGGTGGGCAGCCCAGGGTGGGATCTTGTTGGGAGAAACCTTATTTGGAAAACTCGAGGGAACTTTTTTGTCAAGGCCCAAGAGTCTCCTCAGGTGAGGCCATCCCAGGAGCTGCTGCCAACCCAGAGTTCCTGATGAGGAACTGCCCCTGTGGCAGCAGGGCACATGGCCCCAGAGACTCTGGAGAGGCACAAGTGAGGTCCAGAGGGCAGAGTGGTGGGCTTTGGAGTCAGATGGCAGGGTTGGGGCCCAGCTCTGCGGTGTTCCAGTTACTGTGTGACCTCAGGAGACCTAAGTCAGCCCTTGGAACCCATTTCCCTATCTGGAACATGGAGAGAACCATCTCTTCCAGTCGTTGTGGTTCCTGGAACACCTGCAAGTGGAAGGCACCCCAGGAATCATGGCTGCTGTGTTATCACAAATGTTAGTCTCCAGCACACCTGAGAAGTCTTTGAGTCCAGTGGCTTGCAAGTCTCGAACTGCAGAGCCTCATGTGGACACTTGTTGTACAGACCAGATACAGGCAGCACACCTGGGAAGAAGGGGCGGGGCTTGGGCCCCCCAGGAGGCCTGGAGCCTTGTTCCCTCAGTCCTCTTCTCTCCCCTTTGAAGCTTTAAGGAATACAGTTGAAAACTGCAGCAATTCTATAGATAGAATTGCTATACAAAGAGGGAACTGAAGACCAGAGAAGGAAAGTAACATGCCTGGGGTCACAGCCAATATCCAGTTACCCAGTTCCCAATATTTCTCTCCCTACTGTGTTGTGAGCCTCAGAAAGTAACTTGTAGTAAAAAGCTGTTGCCACAGTTAGGAGTTTTGCATGTGGATGTCTCTAACTTCAAATGTGTCAGCCAACTTATATTACCTTTTCTTTTTTTGAGATAGAGTCACACTTTGTCACCCAGGCTCTGTAGTGCAATCTCGGCTCACTGCAACTTCTGCCTCCCAGGTTCAAGTGATTCTCCTGCCTCAGCCTCCTGAGTAGCTGAGATTACAGGCACATGTCATCATACCCACCTAATTTTTGTATTTTTAGTAGAGACAGGGTTTCACCATGATGGCCTGACTAGTCTTGAACTCCTGACCTCAGGTGATCCCCGTTTCAGCCTCTCAAAGTGGTGGGATTACAGGTATGAGCCACTATGCCTGGCCTATTTTTTTTTTTAATTGTCACTGGACAGTTTGAAATGTTCCCTACTCTGTGTGCAGAGAAAAGTTAGGGTAGAATCAAGAAAGAAAATAGGGAAGTCTTTCTTAACTCTTTTCTACATTGGGATCTTCTATCGGCTTTTGGTTTGTAAATAATCTTCCATTTTCTGCCCTCCCTTTACACCTCTGATATGTCTATCATTCTGTTTACTTGGATTGTAGCTGGAAGAGAGTGTTCCGAACCCAGCCCACCACCTGCTACAGGACCACCTGCCCAGGTACAGTCCACCTCTTGGATTTACCAGTTCTTTCAGGGCCCTGGGCCCAGGCTGCTTTGTAAAGGGACTTTTACACTCCTGGGACAGAGGGTGGAGTTGCAGCTGGCTCCATGGCAGAGGGATGGGGCCCTTGGGAGGCAGAGAAGAATGTCATCTCCACTCACTCGTTGGTGTTTTCTCATTAAGAATGGAGTGGCAGCTTTGGGATTATGCCCCTGAACCAGTGTTTTGTGCATTGGTGAGAGGCAGAGAAAGGCAGGCACTGAGCACCAGCTTTGCAGACATCCTCAAAGCCAGCACCAAAGTGAGGGCGAGATAACCTGAGTGATCTCCTCTGTAAAATGGGTGATGTTTTCCCCATGTCTGGAAGCTCATTTCCCTCCTCCATATGAAAGGAGGCATCGTGCATGAGGTCCTGGTGAAGATTCAGTAGATATTGCCCATGGAAATACTCCCTCAGCTGAAAAATCCCAAATTAACATGAGGAATCATTGATGCCGTTATGCATCACTCAGCCTGGTTCCCCAGTGTGCCCCCACTGACCTGGGAGCTAGAAATTGCACTTGAATGTGTATATGTCAGTCCTGGGGTGGATTTGCTGCTCCCAATAAGTAGCCTGCCTCCCAAAAGCAATGCTGGCAGTTAGACACACAGGCAGGGAGCGAGCGTCCCTATTGGGGATTAGGTAATCCCTTCAGCATGTCCTCAAGGTTTACATCACAGCCTCTGAAGCGTAGGAGGATCTGAGAGTGGGGCTATTTCTGCTCAGAAATTAGGGTTCAAGCACTTATGGTTTGGAAACTAGAGTGAAACAGCTTTCAGTTTCAGCTCTCCCTCATACCAATGATCTGACCTGGGGCACGTGACTTCTGTTCGTTGAGCTTCAGCTTCCTCATCTGTCAAATAGGGTTTTTACAGTTCCTACCTCATAAGGTTGTGACAATGAAATGAGACCATGCATGTATCGTGCTTAGCACAGTCCCTGGCACGGAGTAGATGCTCAGTTAAAAGCCAATGTTTCCGATGTCAGTGAGCCCCTAGTTATTTCCACGGTCTTCTGGCTGATAGGACAGGAGGCCCAGTGAGGTGCCCAGACTCAACCTCAATCTTCTCTGCCTTTGAAAAGTCTGTATTTTAATTACAATGATGTGGCCCTCAAGGAACAGATCAATATTTTTCAGCAAAAAGGACAAGAAAATGCCAGTCTCAAATGTGACCATGTTCAGTGGCTTATCCAGCCCTTGGAATACATGAACACATGAAGACCCTGTTTTCTGTCACCCTGGGAAGGAGGTCCCATGGTTTCAGTTACATTTTGTAATAATTGATAAGGAAAGCGATGAGATGCTCAGGCAGGAACCACAGGGAATCACAGATCAGACACTTCAGAATGGGCCCGATTTTGACACAGGCTGTGGTTTCCCATGTAAACTTTCAGCTTTGAAGAGGCCTTGCTCATAATTTGCGCCTCACATCCAAAAGTCAATACCGTCATTACCTGTTGGGGAGTGTGTGTTTTGTGCTGAGACTTCCTGTGGATTAATTTTATTTAATCCTCACACCAACCCCATGAATGAGTTCAGGTCCCATCAGTCCTTTTTAAGTAAGGATATGCAGCTGGGAGAGGTTAATTAAGGTGCCCAAGGAAGTGGAAGAGGCCATGTTCAGTGCCGAGCAGCCCGGCTGCAGGATCAGAAGGCTTGTGTGCTTTCCTCTGCCAGATGCAAAGGCCATTAAGAACCCTGTATAGAACTTAGAAGACAGGTCCCCTTTGGCACCACAGCTTTCCTTGAGTCTTGAGATACTCACACTTGATGCTACCCAGAGCTTCCTCCTCGCCAGGCTCCAGTCTGATAGTAGTTCATCCCACAGAGCCTTCCCAAGCCTGCTACAGAGCGTCCTTTACCAGCTGTGCCCAGCCCCTCCTTTATGAACTTGGTAGTGCTTTTCCCTCTCTGCTGCACGTTTCCTCATGGACCCTGGGGGACGGAAGGGGCTGGTCCCCGCTAGAGCAGGCAGCCAATTGCACCCCCACCTCTGGCCAGCCCTCTCTGCTCCTGTGTGCTGCCGTGTTTAGTAGTTAATGGGCATCTCTCTGATAGGTCCCTGTGACTCACAGCCCTGCCAGAATGGAGGCACGTGTGTTCCAGAAGGACTGGACAGGTACCAGTGCCTCTGCCCTCTGGCCTTCCGAGGGGAGGCTAACTGTGGTACGTATGCCCCGGCCCCGCAAGACTGACCCCTGGGCGGCAGGGAAAGGACAGGCTCCCCTTCTCACTGCCCACCCTTCCAGCTGCTGGGTAGAAACTGGCCCTCAAACCATCTGCTTTCCAGTGCAACCCTGGTCTGCAGTTCACGTGGCGCAGCCTCTCAGTGCTCCGTGAGTAGGTAATTCGGGTGCCTGAGCTCTGGATGAGACAGCGGCTCCCAGCTTATAGATGCAGAATGGCCATTGCTTGAAGTTTGAGCACTGCCCAGCCCAGCTAAAGACAGGAGTCTGCCCAACTCTGGCTCCCAGTTCTGGGGAGAGTGTTTTCTTCTCTATGCTACAAAAGCAGAGCAAGGAGCTCCAATTCCTTTTGATTTTAGAGATAGGAAATGAAGATGATAGTAGGCTTTTACCTCATTGGGTGGTTGAGAGTTTTAAGTGAGATTATGCAAAATGCTTAGTACTATGCTCGGCGCATATAAGGGCTTGCTGAATAATAACACTTAAAAACGTGATACTGAGTTAGTTGAAGATCTATATGAAAACCATTAATCGTGACCCTGTACGTCACAACTCTACCAGAGGTCCATTCTAGCATGGCTCTAGACCTCCATGCAGAAGGCAAAGCAGTGAAGCCTCTAGAAGCAAACACAGGCGCATATCATCATGATCTTGAGGTCGACAAAGATTTCTCAGCACACACACAGGACTACCCATAATGGAAAAAATAACATAGACGGCATTTTTCTTTTTAAAAAGTGGTCAGATGGAAACCCTTAGTGAGTGCCAGGAGGGAGAGCGCCATGTCTGGCCTTGTCGCTAACTCTGAGATGAGCCACCAGTCACTTAACTCCGGGTGGCCACAGTTTCTCTGCCCCATCTCCTCCTGGGAGGGAGTTCCTCCTGCCCCGCATGGTGCTTAGGCATCTCGGGTTGGACAGATCACATGCCGTATGGCCACGGCTTGACAGTGGGCATTGCTGTGATCCCCGCAGCCCTGAAGCTGAGCCTGGAATGCAGGATCGACCTCCTTTTCCTGCTGGACAGCTCTGCAGGCACTACTCTGGACGGCTTCCTGCGGACCAAAGCCTTCGTGAAACAGTTTGTACAGGCCGTGCTGAGCGACGACTCTCGGGCCCGAGTGGGTGTGGCCACGTACAGCAGGGAGCTGCTGGTGGCGGTGCCTGTGGGAGAGTACCAGGATATGCCTGATTTGGTCAGGAGCCTTGATGGCATCCCCTTCCGTGGTGGCCCCACACTGACTGGCAGTGCCTTGCGGCAGGCGGCAGAGCGTGGCTTCGGGAGTGTCACCAGGACAGGCCAGGATCGACCACGTAGAGTGGTGGTTCTGCTCACTGAGTCACGCGCTGAGGATGAGGTGGCCGGCCCAGCTCATCACGTAAGGGCGCGAGGGCTGCTTCTGCTGGGCGTGGGCAGTGAGGCCATGCGGGCAGAGCTAGAGGAGATCACGGGCAGCTTGAAGCACGTGATGGTCTACTCAGATCCTCAGGACCTGCTCAACCAAATCCCTGAGCTGCAGGGGAAGCTGTGCAGCCAGCCGCGGCCAGGTAAGGTCCTAGTTGGTCAGTAGGCCGGTTAGGTCTTGGCCACCACCTAACCATCATTCTCTGCCAGCACCTGTGCTAGGGGCGGAAACCACAGCCCCACTCTTTCAGGTACCAGTTACATAACAATTTCTCAGTTTACCTGTCAATAAAATGGGACTAATAGTAGTACCTCCTGAGAGGCCTTCAGCGAGGATTAAATAAGATAAGCAGTGTACATGCTTGGTACAGAGCAAGCACTCAGCAAACCCTAGGTGTTGCTATTAGCATTATTAATCATGATTTTATTGTTGTTACAAAGAGCTCTGAATCTACTAAGCAGGCTCCAGAGCAGCAGCGTCCTGGCTCCTTTGATGGGAACGAAGGAAGTGCATTCCTGGTGCACACATGCACGTTTGTGTGTGCGCACACAGGTGCACACACATGCATACACACTGCTATAGCCATACAAAACTGAAACAAACGCTTCCTGAGAGGAGACGTATCCTGTCTACCTGGGATGCATTCTGACATTTTTCTATTCTGTTTTGCAAGCCATGAAGTTGATTTTTTTATGACCCCTATTGGAAGGCACTCTAGAGAACACTGTCCCCGCATGGAGGCCTGGCCCATGCCCAGAGATGTAGTAGCTGAGACATGTACTTTTTTTTCTTCTGAGACAGGGTCTCGCTGTGTTACCCAGGCTGGAATGCAGTGGCATGATCATAGCTCCCTGCAGCCTCCAGTTCCTGGGCTCATGTGATCCTTCCACCTCAGCCTCCTGAATAGCAGGACTACAGGTGCACAACACCATGCCCAGCTAATTGTTTTATTCTTTATAGAGATATGGTCTTGCTGTGTTTCCCATACTGGTCTTGAACTCCTGGGCTCAAGCAGTACTCCCACTTCAGCCTTCCAAAGTGCAGGGATTACAGGCATGAGTGAAATACATCCTTTATAGGGCTCCTGGAGTTCTCTGCTTGCTAGGTGGGCATGGGAAGCTATGGATGCCACCACTGTCCCCAAGGCAGGAGGCTTTCTGTCCTGTAAGGGAGAAGGATGAATTGGCTGCCCACTCCCACCCTGCCCCTCAAGGCTGGTCTAAGTGCTTTGGTTCTGCTTTTTTTTTTGTTTTTTAATAATAATTGTAGATTTATAGGGAAAGAAATTGACAATAGTGGAGAGTTCTCTACATCCCCCACCCAGTTTCCCCTCCCTTTAACACCTTGCATTCGTATGGTACATTATTACCATTAACAAATCAATATGGATCATTATTTAGTGATCCATGTTTTACTCATATTTGTTTAGTTTTTACCTAATGTCATTTCTCTGTACCAGAATCCCATCCTGGACTCCACAACACATGTATTTAGCCCGCCTTCCCCGTAGCTGTGATAGTTTCTCAGCCTTTCCTGGTGTGGGAGTGGTTTTAAAATCTGAATATTTTTAAAATAAAGCATCAGATCCGCTGACTCCATACTTAGAATTTCCAGTGGTTCCCCTTTGCACTTGGAATAAAACCCAAATTCCTTCCCCTGGCTTCTGAGACCTCCCTGTGGCCTCGTCCTCACTGGCCTCTCTGCATCCCCTGCATGGGAGAGGCCTTCTGGCTCATACTTACTTGCCTTTCAGTTCTTAGCTGAAATGTCACTTCCCCAGAGAAGCTCTGATCTCTTTTCCCAGTCTTGTTATGTTACCCTACTGGTCTCTCTCGGAGTCCCCTGCTTTTCCCTCCACGCTGCTGACATCATTTGTAATTCTATATGCATTTCATGTCTGTTCCCCTAGACTGTCAGCCTATCGACAGCAGGCATAGGCCCATTTTATCTGATTAGTGCCCTGCATACTGGGGATGTATGAAGGCACAGGTGAAGATGCTGTCACAAAGGGCTGCCCCCAAACCCCATGGGTTACATAAGACAGGAACTTACACAGTTCAGAGGTGAGTGGTCCAGGCCAGCAGAGCTTGGTCATCTTTTGGCTTCCACTTTGAGGTGGAAGTTTGAAATTGATCACATCCCATCCGATAGAACTTAGACACATGGCCACCCTCACTGCCAGAGAGGCTAGGAAAGGTGGTCTGGCTGGGCACTCATCTTTCTGCTAATATACTAGGAAAGGACTGTTCTGAGGCTAAAAGCAGGCATGGAGGGTGGATTCTGCACTGAACAGAGCACTCTGGCTGACCGGGGCCCCACCCAACCCGGCAGTCTTTGGGTCCCATGTCGGGGCTCTGGCTGGCAGATCTACTGCTAAAGCCCCTCTGCTTGCTCCCGCAGGCTGCAAGACACGAGCTCTGGACCTCGTCTTCATGTTGGACACTTCCGCCTCAGTAGGGCCCGAGAACTTTGCTCAGATGCAGAGCTTTGTGAGAAGCTGTGCTCTCGAGTTTGAGGTGAACCCTGATGTGACACAGGTTGGCCTGGTGGTGTATGGCAGCCAGGTGCAGACTGCCTTCGGGCTGGACACCAAACCCACCCGGGCTGCGGTGCTGCGTGCCATTAGCCAGGCCCCCTACCTGGGTGGGGTGGGCTCGGCCGGCACCGCCTTGCTGCACATCTATGACAAGGTGATGACTGTCCAGAGGGGCGCCCGGCCTGGTGTCCCCAAAGCTGTGGTGGTGCTCACAGGTGGGAGAGGCGCAGAGGATGCAGCTGTCCCTGCCCAGAAACTGAGGAACAATGGCATCTCTGTCTTGGTCGTGGGCGTGGGGCCTGTCCTAAGCGAGGGTCTGCAGAGGCTTGCTGGTCCTTGGGACTCCCTGATCCACGTGGCAGCTTACACCGACCTGCGGTACCATCAGGACATGCTCGTTGAGTGGCTGTGTGGAGGTGAGTCAGGGAATCCACACCCTCATGGCTGTCTCCATGGCAGGCCCTCAGCCTGAGCCTTCACATACATCATTACAAGGATGGCAGCTCTTCCCAGCTACTGAGCACTTGCTTCCCAAGTGCCAGGTTCTGTGCTAAATCCCATGCTTGCATCAAATCCTCCAGTAGGCATAACTGTCCCCATTTCACATTTAAGGTGCAGAAAATGTAACAGATAACTCCCTCCCAAACTTGAGAATGTATGCATTCCCGTGAAACAGAACACATTTTTAGGTTACCCACAAGCTCCGTAAGGGTCTAAAGATCCCACGTTGACACCGACTTGGGCAGTGACAGAGCCCAGAGCAAATGGCCAGGCCAGCCTGAATCCAAGGCTTCCTTTTGCCAGTGAATTCCTCTTCACCTTCTTGAACGTCTGCCATGTGTATGGCACATCTGAGCAATGGAATCTCCATGAGTCTGTAGGAGAGCTGGGTCTTACCTACCCAAGTAGTATGCAGTACCAACCATGAGCTACCAGGGCAAAGGAAGACGTGACTCTAGTAGCCTTGCACCGCTACTGGGCTTAGGGTGGGGGTCTTTGGGTCTAACCCATGCCTGGCCTGGCGGGTGTGTTCTCCATTGTAGAAGCCAAGCGGCCAGTCAACCTCTGCAAACCCAACCCGTGCATGAACGAGGGCAGCTGCGTCCTGCAGAATGGAAGCTACCGCTGCGAGTGCTGGGATGGCTGGGAGGGCCCCCACTGCGAGAACCGTGAGTGGAGCTCTTGCTCTGTATGTGTGAGCCAGGGATGGTATTGTGAGTCCTGCCAAGTCCCACAAACTCAGCAGAAGGCAGGTTCTAAAACATTGATCCAGTGGAAGGAATTATTCAGTCATTTATTTACCCACGAAACATTTAGTGAGTACCTCCTGCATCCCAGGCGTTAAAGTGCGAGAACACAGCGGTAAACAAATGAATACCACCTCTGCCCTCATGGAGCTTCCATTCTAATGTGGAGACAAACAACAGCAAATTAATTGTCATACGACACGTGGTGTGTTAGACAGTGCTAAGCACCCTGGATAAAGTAATGATAACTAGCAGGGAGGCAGGGGTGGGTAAATTCGGTGGTGGGAGCTGCTGGAAACTCTTTTGGCGTGTTTTCTATTTGCTCAGTAAAATGGGAGGAACAGCTGAGAGTGAGGAAGAGGAGGCGGCGCTGGAGGTTTGAGAGAAAGAATAGCAAGTGACAGTTAAGAGTTAACAGGTTAGGACCTAGGGAGTGATTGTTGGGAGGTATTAGGGGCCCACTTATGGCTCCTGTTCCTGAGTTTGAAGTTAGAACAACCAGAAATCAGATGAGTCTAGTCAGAGCCTTGGGTTTTTGGCTACCAGCAGAGGTTGGCTTCCTAGGGCCAGAGGGAGGGTGTAGAGGACAATCAGATGGGGTCTCTGATCTGGCATCTTCTGCTGTGGGCGAGGTGGGTTGTGGAATAAGGGCAGGGGCTGCTTGGTGGGCCAAGAAGGGGATGCAGACACTCCTGTCCTCAGAGTTCACTTCCTTCCCCAGGGTTATTGAGAGGAGATGCCCCAGAGGCACATGGCTCCCGCGCAGGAGGGCAGCAGCTGTACCCCTCCCAGCAACTACAGAGAAGGCCTGGGCACTGAAATGGTGCCTGCCCTCTAGAACATCTGTCCCGTTGGGGTCCTTCCTGCTGTGTCCAGAACTGCTATTCTCACCAGGGTAGGAGGATGTTCCGACTGCAGCCATGCTGCTTAGGGACAAGAAAGCAGCTGATGCCACTGGTTGAGGACGTTGTTGAAACCTTTCGATGTGTAAGTAAAGACCGACTTTGTGTAACTGCTTGTGCCTTGTTGACGCTATGTCATCTGCCACCTTTCCTTTCATAATCAAGGGGTCCTGGAGACTTAAATTTGGTGGCCTGTCTGACGTTCCTTTGCCCACAATCAGTGTTAGCCAGAATGCTGTTGACACAGTAATGCCCAGCAGGGGCCTTTACTTTTGGACCTCAAAGGCCATGGCCTTTCAAAATGGAAAGCGGCAGCTTTTCCGCCTCCCCAAGACATTCTGGATGCATTTGCATTGAGTCTGAAAGGGGGCTTGAGTGGCATCTGTGACTTTTGGTGACTCCATTTTGTGTGTGGGAGAGACTTGAAAAGATTCCAGACTGAAATGTGACCAGTTAGCCAGCTTGCTTGCTGAGGGGGGAGAAGCTGAGTGTGCAACTGGCCGAGGTCTGGAGGGGCCACGTGAAACTGGTCTGAGTAGTGAGCAGTGTCCACTTGAAGGGCCTTCCTTTTAAAAGTTTATGGCTGGAGGCTGTGGCTCACACCTGTAATCCCAGCACTTTGGGAGGCTGAGGTGAGTGGGTCACCTGAGGTCAGGGGTTCAGCACCAGCCTGGCCAACATGGTGAAACCTTGTCTCTACTAAAAATACAAAAATTAACCAGGTGTGGTGGCGGGTCCCTGTAATCCCAGCTACGCAGGAGGCTGAGGCAGGAAAATGGCTTGAACCCGGGAGGCAGAGGTTGCAGTGAGCTGAGCTCATACCACTGCACACCAGCTTGGGTAACAAGAATGAAACCGTCTCAAAAAAAAAAAAAAAAAAAAAGTTACTTACAAGGGGTTAATTCTGGCATGTTTATGGAATTCTTTCCTTATTCTCCTTTTAGTGGGGCAAAGAAAAGATTCTTAAAAATATAAAGAAATTTACAGAGATTTTTGCTTTTTCAAGCATTGATCTTATGCTGTCTAGGTTTTAGTTTAGTTTTGCTTTGCTTTACTACACAGTTTTTAAAGGAATATTTCAAGAAATGTCGGTTATTTATTAAACAGGAATATTTGTACCTATGTGGCAAAGAGGCTTATTTGGAATATTCTCTAGCAAACTAGATACTTTCCCTTGCAGTATTTAGGAATTACTTCTTCTCCTTGGTTGTGTTGTTTAGAGTTGGATTTTCAGTAGAAATCTTTCTAGAGCTCTGACGTAACTTGAGACTTTGTCATTGTCTTTTTTTTTTGAGATGGAGTTTCGCTCTTATTGCCCAGGCTGGAGTGCAATCTTGGCTCACTGCAACCTCTGCCTCCCACGTTCAAGCAATTCTCCTGCCTTAGCCTCTTGAGTAGCTGGGATTACAGGCACATACCACCACACCTGGCTAATTTTTGTATTTTTAGTAGAGACAGGGTTTCACCATGTTGGCCAGGCTGGTCTCAAACTCTTATCTTCAGGTGATCCCCCTGCTTTGGCCTCCCAAAGTGCTGGGACTGCGGCTGTGAGCCACCATGCCCAGCCTGTTTTTGTTCGAAAGATAAATATTTTAACATAATGTTTTACATACAAACATTCAAGGGTACTTTGGCTTTAAGGACTTTAGGATTTCTGGTGCAAGAAAAGTGCTTGAAGCAGTATCACTAGGATTTGAAATATTAAAAAGTCTGGTGGAGCAGACACTGAGTTAACAGCCATCTGTGCTCAAGGGATACTTTCATTGATAATTTTGTTATTATGCTGCCCTTCACAGAAGGCGACATCCAGGTCAGGATCATGTGGACCCTGGCAGATGCTGATCTGTGATGTAATAGAAATTATATGAATTCACAGTCTTTAATAACAGTTTAACCATGTTATAATGTAGGCTTTTTGTCTTGTTCAGGGCTGGTATTTGGGTGCCCTGATTGAATTATTTGGATTTAAACAGCTAACTGTGGGCTCTGGACTTACACAGTAAAGGCCTCTGCTGTTTCTTTGTAGGAGATGGGGGTCCCAGCCTTTGAAACATTATTTTTTCCCTTTTTTGTAGTGAGGGTGCCACTGAATAGTTCAGCTTTTGTCAGTGTCCCCATAGTAGCAGACGGGAGTGCTAGCCGATGGCCTAATTAGTCAAGCCTTTTTCTTTCACTTAATAGGAATTAGCTTTAATTTTTATTTTTACCTTTAATTATACAAGATAGAAATACTTTCTTTGCAAGAATTAAAACATTGCATATAGGCCTTAAATTTCCTTATTTCCTCTGAATGATCCTGATTCCAGTCATCTTGCTGAACACCCTAGTTCTGATAATCGACCCTTGCTTTTCTAAAGAGAAATATTTCCACGCTAGTTCTGTTTCTTCCCTTTACAGTGGCATACCACCTCTTTGTCATTTTGCATTGTCTAGGACTTCCAGAATAATGTTTCACAAATAGCAGTAGTCACAGGCATCCGTATCTGGTTCTTGACTTTTTCATCATTATAATTGTTTTCTATGGGTTACTTGATCAGTTTCCTTAATTACTACTTGGGCAACCTTCCCAGTATTGGTATGTACTTCCAGTATTAGTATATTCCTAGATGAACTAAGAGTGTCTTTTATGTGCTGAGATTTATGGTATACTTTTTCCTCTTCCTTCAAGATAATGTATTTTTTTTTTACATTTAATCTGTTAATGTGATGGATTACCCATTTCTGTATTTTCAATCATTGAACCACCCTTGTTTTTTTAGATAGACTATTACACATCATTCTATAAACCCTGCTGAATTTCATTTGCCAACATTTTATTTCAGATTCTTTTAATCTGTGTCCAACAATGAGAGTGGTTTTCTTTTACATTTTGTTTCAAATTTTTGGTATCAGAGCTATACTAACTTTGCAGTAGAAAATACATATAATTTGAAAAATCTTGTGTCTATATGTAAGGCCTCCATTTCAGTTCTATTTTATATTGCCTTAGGTTGTCTCTTTATTGTATTAGCATTTTTAACGAACCAGATTTTGGTTTTGTCGTTTTTAAAATAAACAGATTTATGCTATAAACTTCCTTAATTACTACTTGGGCAACTTTCCCAGTATTGGTACGTTGTTTCTTTTTTCCCAAGAATTCTTTAAGAGTATATTTCAACTTCTGGGCCTACTGATTTTTCATTCACTTATATGTGATCAATTTCTGCAGATGTTTCCTGTGTCTTTGGTACATTGTTAACTGTATAACTAAAATTTGCTTCCTGCCTTATCTATGTTCTTTGATTCAAGAAGGCTGAGTCTCTGGCTAGGTGTGTAAATAACCAAAACATTTCCTTCCTTGAGAGCCCCCCAGGCCCTGTCCCAAGTCATTTCATGAAATACAAGGAAAACCTCAAATACAATGAACATTTTATTTTTAAAAAATCTAACTCACCACTTGGTAAAAGGTTACCAAATGTTTGACAGAGGAAGTAAATGCCCTGGTATTAGAAAGAAAATAAGAATAAAAAAAGACCTTTAGTTCTCAGGAATCAGTGTTAGAGAACTCTCATATACAACCCTCAGAAATGAGGCAGAGATAGATGAAATGTTTCAACCTGTGTTTAAAAAAAAAAAATGCCATCAGAGGAAAAGATGGGGGGAACACAAGGAACAGCACTGCCAATTTTAAGAGGGAGACTACCCTAATCAGAAATCACCACTTTGTTCTTGGAAGGGGAATGGACATTAAACAGAACTTAAAATCAGGGACTAAGAGAGCATTATATTAAACAACTCTTTCCTTAAAAATGGCCTAACCACAGGAACGAATCTGTAAACACAGGGTAATTTTTTTCCCCCTATAGTAAAGAGTCAGTTTAATCTCAAAAGACACTTCACTGTTCTAAATGAGAAGATTTTAAACATTTTTTCCTATGTAATACAGCATCACTTAAAATTTTATTTGAAGACAGTTGATTCAGGTCTGCCTTGGACTGGAAAGAAGGCTTTAATTTACTGGGATCAGTGCTTCAGCTTGGTCCCAAATATTTTCCCCATTACTGTTTCTGAAAACTCATGTCATAGATGGTTTTATAGATGATATCAACACTGTTTAAAATCACTGAAGACTAAGTTGGGCCTGGTAATACTGGAAAGAAGTGAAGGCAAAGATGGTTTAATCCCCAGCTGCTAAGTATTAGATAAGAGATGATGGTCTTCTCACTCACCAAAGCCACATGACCCGTAAAAGAGGGCCCTGCTTCCTTGATTCATCTTCCACCAAAGTCTAAACATGAGAAGGTTTTCACTATTTTAAGATCTTGATAAAGCAATTGATGAAAACTTCAAAACAGAAACACAGAGCATCCCGAAATACAATGTCTTGTTTACGTCCAATAGACTTAGGTCTCCAAAGAAGCATCTTTTTTTGTTGTATTATTTCCTTTGGCTCTGAAAAGGGACAGAGCCTCCTCTTAGCTGAAGCTCTCCATTCACAGTACTTCAGTCTTTGCTTTTTCTTCTAAACAGACTCACCTTTTCACAGAGTTTTTGCTTTAACAAAGCAGGATTGTCACCAAGGTCCATATTGACATGAGAGTCTGTAGTTGAAGCTGTTTTCTAACTTGCTCCTTTCTTCTCCCATTCCTAGGGTACCATTCAAATACCAGCACCCACCCACAAAAAAGAAAGTTATTCACTGTAGCAACCTTGACATACATAGAAAAAAATGTGACAAAAACTATTTAAAGCATAGAAAAGTCATAGAGATGACAAATACTTTTCAAACCTTGTGTGTTCATCACTGCTTAGCACACCTATTCAGAAATTTTGAGACTGTGGCACAATAAAGAGTGCTGTAAGTGATGTCTGCCACAGCAGCAAGAAAGTGGAGGCTCAGAGGCTTGCATGGATTTATTAGCCACTGTTGTTGGTGCCTCCAAATATCTCTAGCAGGTAAGCAGGATAGGAGCAGAGTCTGCCAAAAGCAAAGGCAGCCCTAGGCATGTTCTTTAATGTACAAATGAGTAAATGACACTTTTTGTCTAGCCCTCAGGAAGAAACCCCATCATAGCATGCATTCCTCATTTACAACTTGCTGTGAACTTTGCCACTAGTTGGGTGGGCAATTCATACCACCTATTTGAGTCTGTTTTAGTTTTAATGGTAGAAGTCCTGTGGGGTCACTGACTTTTTGATTTGAAAACTCAGTCACACTCTGTCCCTGAGCTGCAGCTGTCCCCCTGCAATCTATCCCTAACTGTGTGGAGGGCAAGGACACTTGAACTGAGTGCAGGCACCTTTCTGGTTGGTCAGTGCCAGAGACTGAGCCAAAGGGATGGCATTCCAGAGCCACTATCCCTCCCTGGTGAGCGCTGAGCCCTGGTTCAGAGCAGGTGCCAAAGCCACAAAGCACCACCTGGGTCAGAAGATGGGCCCTACCTTAGTGACAATTCTGGCCCCAAGGGAGGCTGAGAGTGGCTGCTTACCTTGGCTTTCTGGAGGACCATGCCTTTGCCTGTGACCATGACCGAGAGAGGCCTGTTCTTGAGCGTGGTTGCAGAGTTGACTGGGGTACAGTCTGGGGCAGAGGTGGGTGTGACAGCTTTGGGCTGTGGTTACAGGAGGAGAGCAAGGACTCAGTCAAGGGGAGGGACATGTAACCCACCTGCCCCAACCCATGTCCAGAGAGCCCTGCAAGCAGGCCAGGAGCCATGACTCTGGCACTCACGCGGGGGCTGATGTTCTCCAGGTGGGTGGTGTCCACGGTGGTGCCTAGCGTCACAGGTCCCGCTTCAGCCTTCTTCAGGTTGTCCTTTACCTCCATGATGCTGAGTTCCAGGTCCACGCGCCTACTCTCCTCCTCTCGGCACTCCTCGTCAATTTCCTTCAGCTTCTGCTCCAGGCTGGCCAGGACTTCTTTGTCTGGAGAGAGAATTATGCAGACCTCAGAGAATAGCATTTCAGCTCAGGCCAACTGCTGGGTGGAGGCAGGATCTACACACCCTGCCACTCCCACCTGAGAAGAACCACAGGGAGGAGCCTGGAGGCCTACACTAGCATTCTGCAAAGGCTGGCAGGCTTGGGGGGAGGAGAGCTCTGGCTTCACTAAAGGGTAAGAATCTGAGGCCTGGTCCCTTTTTGTAGCTTCTCAGAGACTCAGGGTTGTTTTGACAGCAACCCAAAAAGGTGAGGGGCTTTATTCATGGCCTATGGAGGAGGGCTGGGTGGCTTGACCTGCCCCACCGAGTTCCTTCAATCCTCTGGCTTCCCTAGGCCTAACAGAGCAGGAGTCCTCAGCCCTGGCTCCTCCTCTTAACCCTGGGCCTCTTGGATTGATGCCATAGGCATCATTCCATGGTGTGGCAGCCTGTATCCTAGGAGCTCACTGCTAGAGGAAAGGAGGGTTTCACATATGTACCACATAGCATCCTGAGCACAGGGCCGCTGTTTAAGAAAAATTCACAGATGCCATTGAAGGACCATCTCTAAAGACAGAAGGAAAGAAAAAGTATGCCAATGATGTTTTGAGGAATGGAGTTTAAAAAAATACAGTTCAGGCTGGGTGCAGTGGCCCATGGCTGTAATCCCGGCACTTTGGGAGGCCGAGGTGGGCAGATCACTGGAGGCCAGGAGTTCGAGACCAACCTGTCCAACATGGAGAAACCCCATCTGTACTAAAAGTACAAAAATTAGGTGTGCGTGGTGGTACACGCCTGTAAACCCAGCTACTTGGAGACTGAGGCAGGAGAATCACTAGAACCCAGGAGGCAGAAGCTGTAGTGAGCTAAGACCACACCACTGCACTGCAGCCTGGGCAACAGAGCAAGACGCTGCCTCAAAAAAAAATAATAATACAGTTCAGATTTAGAGGTATCAATGCTTTGAGAATCACTTTTTGATGATCTGTGGTTTATTAACCCAGGACCAACAGGGCTTATTTGCCAGGTGAGTGACTTACAATGAAGATTCTCTCTCTCCTTCCACCTACAATATCCACAAAGGAGACGAAGGGGTGCGAATCCCTGGTGCCCTCCTCACAGCCCCAGCTCAGTGATTTCTTGGGGCTTTCAGAGAATTGTCTTAGAGGAACCCCTGGCCACATTCATCAGCTCAGGTCCCACCCTCTAGTCTCAGCTGGGTGGTAAGGAAGCCCGGCTACTGCCCCATACCTCTGTGCACTGGCAATACCCAACACTGCTGAACCCTCAAAACCAGAGCTGCACGTTTAGAGAGAGAAGGCAGGTTGGTGGCTGTCTAGGGATAGGAGAGTAGGGGAAACAGAGCGGCTGCGAATGGGTACAGGCTTCTGAAACTGTGTGTGGCGATGGTTGTATAACTTCATGACTACACTAAAAACCACCGATTTGCACACTTTAAGTGGGTCGATTGCATGATATGTAAATTATCTCTCAATCAAGCTGTAATTGAAGAAAAGCCAGTGGGTGACTTCGCACCCTCAAGACCTTCCCTCGTCAGCCAGCTGAGTTTGTCCCAGACCTGCGCTACTGCTTGTGCTTGTTCATGCAACTCTACAGTTTAAATAAACACAGTTACTCCATGAAAACTAAGTCAAAAAGGTTCTAGAAGAGGCAGGTTGCAGCCGGGCATGGTGGCTCGCCCCTGTAATCCTAGCACTTTAGGAGGCCAAGGCAGGTGGATCCCTTGAGCTCAGGAGCTCTAGACTAGCCTGGGCAACATGGCAAGACCCCATTTCGATTTTGACTTTCTTTTAATTTAAAAAATTTTAAAGAGGCAGATTGCCAGCAAATAGCTGTCAAATGATAATGTGGTTTGGAAGATAATGTAGAAGGACTTCTTGGCAAGTGTCTTAAGGTTTTGTTCACTTTAAATAAATGAAAGCCAGAAATGAAGGCTGATGCATTAACAGTGTAGTTAATGCATGGAGGAGGACACAAGACTCCAGTCAGCTGAGCAGAGCTCAGAACGTCTGCAGTGCCAGGTCCTCAGAAGATGGGCCAAGGAATATGCATTTAAATGACAATAAAATACTCAAAGCCTAAGCATAATCCTACAAAACTTCCTCCTTTAACTAGCTTTTATGACGACCTGCTGGTCCTGTTGATGTTCGGTCAGAGGTGTTCTCTCTCTGTGCAGGAGAATGACCTTTCAGACAGGATTGAAGGAGAGAGGACATGCAGGGAGCACCCACCTAGGCCCAGGGTGGAAGGGGCCAGGGCCACCAGGTGACAGCCAGATCTTCCCCCAAAAAGTGCAAGCCTACACGGGCCTCTGAGCTGAGGGTCCTCCCTACTGGAAGGCCTCTTA